AAACTTGAACGCTTTTAAACTTTTAAACTTTTGACCATTTCAACCATTTGTCTGCTGATTCCCTGAATGTTTTGCGGCTTCTAAACAGGGTTCCTGGGAACAAGATGTCTGACATCTAAACACAAACAAGCAAAGGTAGTGACTGTATATCTGGCTGATCGTGTTCAAGGATAAAATACGATTTTGTCAATGCCTGACGCTAAAGAAAAGAAAACGTTTATTCTGCAAAGATTTCCACTGAAAACTCTCTCCTTAATAGCCAATCTGTGTCCTGATCGTCAGAGTATAAAATCTAGCCATAAATCTCTTCCAAGTTAAATCACTAAATTACTGCACTAATCAATCAAGTCTAGTATTGACTATCATTAGAAAGAAGGAATATAGGCCACTTATTTAACGATAATTATCTAAATAGCTTTACAAATTGATAACCAAGTTCTAAATAATGGAACTAAATTAACGTCCTACTGTTCTGCTCCAACTGGGCTAATGAAGAAGACAGGCATAGGTCAGTGTGTTATGAAGGCAAACTTTTCTTGGATGGCGGCGCTACAGCCTACTCTAATTTTGAATCCAACTGCCCTCTGTCTGGCATCACTGACAAGGGGGGATCACGCCAGAATTCCAGATGAACTTTCGAATACAGGGCCACAGGGTTACTAAGCCACCACAGCCCCAGCTATATCTGGCTTAAAAATTTGAATTAAATCAGATATTTTAAATATTCCATCTTAGTTTTTCTGAAATGGTTTACCAGTATCAAAGTCTCTTTAAATCATGATTTACAAAAAAAAAAAAATTTCTTCATAAAATTCCATCCAAGAGTCTAACAATGTTGAGAAGCAGTAAGGCCACACCAATATCATTTTCCGTTCTTCTGGAACACCTCTTAAAATTTGACTTCTTATTTCCTTATGAAATAGACTTATTTAAAAACCAAAACCTTTTAGTTCCAAATTAAAAATTTAAACAAAACAACATTCTTGTGATTCAGGTGGCTATTTCTTTAATGTCTGCTCGACACAAACTAAGTCATTTTGGGACTAACGCATGGTTTAATTTTATTTCAACAATTTGCTTGCGCGTGGGTCTTTTAGCAGTGGGAGGAAACTGGAGGACCGGAGAAAACCCACAGGGTTGGACAGGGGAGCCTACTCCTTTTCAGACCCCGAAGAACTGAAAATTAAATTGGTGTGGCCAAAGGAAAACAAGAAATAAAATCTTAAAGGGATGAATGGGGTTTTTGAACAGAAAATCCATTGGTGTGGCCAAAACAAAGCAAGAAAAAAATCTTAAAGGAATGAATGAGGGGTTTTTGAACAGAAAATCCATTGGAGTGGCCTAAAGAAAACAAGAAATGAAATTATCAAGGGATGAATGAAGGTTTATTGATAAGGTTAATCTAACAGTTTAAACAGCTTTCTAGCCCATCTGATTACAAATATCAATCCTGAGAAAACATCTTTGTGAGTTTTCATACATGTTCTAATAGGTCACATGGCTAGTTATGGGTGAAAAGCATGTTGATAGCCACACATGGACGTCAATTACTCTAAATGGATTACCACAGAGACTGGAGTTAAAGCCATCAACTTGATTCTGTACCATTAACAACAATGAAGGAAATTACCACCAGACTTTCTCAATAGCTGACAATCCTGATGGATTAGACAACACAGGCTGTCATTTGTTTTGATTGACCTCAAGGTTGAGGTTCAGTTCATTTGAAATATTTTTCTTAATTATTGACACTAAAGGTCAGGATAATAACCTTTCCCAAATGATGCTCTACTAATTATTAAGTTACATTTTTTTTTTTTACTTCATTCAACATTTCTGAACTTTTTAATTGTAACATAATTTCAATTATAACAACTACCCTAGTATCCTGCACAGGTAAATCAAGTACTGGCATTAACTGTGTATAAAATTATAACAGAATTCAAATCTTACTGCATTCAGAACCTTTTAATTATAATATAATTACAATTTTAACAACCACCCCTAATACTCTGCACAGGTAGATGAAGTACTGGTATTAACTGTGCATAAAATTATAACATAATTCAAATTTTACTGCATTCAACATTTCAGAATATTCTAATTATAAAACCTAGTACGCTGCACAGGTAAATGAAGTACAGGTATTAACTATGTATAAAATTATAACATAATTCAAATTTTACTGCATTCAACATTTAGGAATATGTTAATTATAACACCTTATACCCTGCAAAGGTTGATAAAGTACTGGCATTAACTATTTATAAAATTATAACGTAATTCAAATTTTACTGCATTCAACATTTCAGAATATTTTAATTATAACACCCTAGTACCCTGCACAGGTAAATGAAATACTGGTATTAACTATGTATAAAATTATACCATAATTCAAATTTTAATACACTTAAAACTGTAGATGAAGTACTGGCATTAACTGTGTATAAAATCATAACATAATTAAAATTTTACTGCATTCAACATTTAGGAATATTTTAATTATAACACTCTAGTACGTCATATGTAGATGAAGTACTGGCATCAACTGTGTACAAAATTGTACCATAATTCAAATTTTAACAATTACACTGCAAACTGTACATGAAGTACTGGCATTGACTGTGTATAAAATTGTACCATTATTCAAATTTTAACAACTGAACTGTATATAAATGTGAAGTATCGGGAGGAAATTAGATTGATGGAATGTGGTAGGAACCAAGGGCAGCACTCTATTGTTATTCATTCTAAACAAGCTGGTATAAACTGGTATAGCATCCTTGAAGTACTCCCACAACCACTTTCATTGTTTATGCCATCTGAATGGGCCGTTGAAACAAGCCAGAGAGTGTGAAAATGATTGAGATTTGTATATTGTCTGGGTTTTTTTTGTTGATAATACCATATTTCTACATTTACATGTAGTTAATTTGTCTTGAGATTAAAATTATTTATGAGGAATAATAAACAGGGATTATGGAAGGTATTTTAGGAAGGGTTTATCATTCAGCCAATTTGTGAAATTTTGCATGAATGAATACTAAATTTGTGAAAATTTGATGTCATTTTTCAGGTTTAATATTTACAGAGGGCATTTGGTAATGTTTAACTTCCCTTATAAACATAGTGGTAATGCATAATTGATTCGGTGACAAAACTCAGACTTTCTTGTGTCTGGATTAGCTCTGAACAATCTTTTCTTATCACAGTCATTCAATTTGCTAACACTTTATGCTACATTTGTTGGTAGTTCACTCTTTGTCAGTGAAAAAAGTGACTGCCAACTGACACCCCCATATTTCCATAGCAGAAAAATTATTGATTTACAACATATTTTACAACTATTTTTATACCGGGGGGTCAGAATGGGACTATCAGAAAATTAATCGTGAAATTAATTAGAAAATTTGACCTCTTCTTGGCTGTGGGAAGGGTTCACAAATTAGACCTTAGGTAATCTTTGATATCCTCACATCAAGTCAGAAAAAAGTCTATGTGGCTTTGAAGACATGTTTCTATCATAATAGTTGATACCCTTCAAATCTATTTTGCAAAATTTATAAATACATGTAGATACATTTTCTGACTGAAAATGATAAAAATACCCTGAATTCATTATTGATCGAGAGCCCGGGCAAGCTTCAAATCAAACATTGCTGACAGGTAATTGTTTTTCAAGTCGGCCAATTTCAGTCAGATTGGTAAATATAATTGAAACAACAGCCTTGGTTATAACAATGTACAATAAACCACAGAAGTGTGTAAAACTTTTAGATTCTTTAGTACAAAGCACCATGTGTAGAAGTTATCTATTCTCTGGTACGGAACACCATTTAAATGGTGTAAAACTGATCTATTCTCTGGTACAGTATGGAACACCATTTAAATGGTGTAAAACTGAGTAAGGAACACAATTTAAATGGTGTAAAACTGATCTATTCTCTAATACAGTACGGAACACCACTTAAATGGTGTAAAACTAATCTATTCTTTAGTAAGGAACATGATTTAAATGGTGTAAAACTGATCTAATCTCTAGTATGGAACACCATTTAAATGGTGTAAAACTTATCCATCCTCTAGTATAGTACAGAACACCATTTAAATGGTGTAAAACTAATCTATTCTCTAGTATGGAGCACCATTTAAATGGTGTAAAACTGATCTAATCTCTAGAATGTAACACCATTTAAATGGTGTAAAGCTGATCTATTCTCTAGTATAAAACACCATTTAAATGGTTTAAAATCTATTCTCTAGTAAAGAACATCATTTAAATGGTGTAAAGCTGATCTATTCTCTAGTTTTTAAATGGTGTAAAACCTTTAGATTCTTTAGTACAAAGCACCTTGTGCAAAACTGATCTATTCTTTGGTACATAACACCATTTAAATGGTGTAAAACTGATCTATTCTCTAGTATAAAACACCATTTTAAATTTAAATGTGTAAAACTGATCTATTCTCTAGTATAAAAAACCATTTAAATGGTGTAAAACTTTTAGATTCTTTAGTACAAAGCACCATGTGTGAAAGTGATCTATTCATTAGTAGTCTGGTGTAAAACTGATCTATTCTCTAGTATACAACATCTGTTCTCTAGTATGGAAAAACATTTAAATGGCGTAAAACTGATCTATTCTTTAGAATGCAACATCTATTCTCTAAAACCGAAACACCATTTAAACAAATTATTTTCGGCTGAGTACAAAGATTAATCTATAAAACAGTAGATGTGGGTGATCACAAATATAGAATCATGTTACTTATATATTAATTGTTTTCGTTCCAAGTGACAGTTATCTGACATTCAACAGACACAATTACACCACTTGATAACTGGGTGAAGATCTTGTGCGGGTGGGTACTCGTTGAACTTAAAATAGCTCAACGCCATCAAAAAAAAATAAAAAAAATTGACATATTGACAAGTTAATATCATAACTTATCCAAGCTTTTGAAGACAAAAATGGCATCAGAATAGTGATAGGTCATTACCTGGTATCCTGGAATGCAAGGTATGCTCGTTGACAAGATCACATGATGTCACATGACGTTGACGTGATCCCTCGAATACCAGATATAATTCTGCATCTAATGGGAATGACACATCATCTGAGAATACGATGTAGAGATTTCCGCCCTGTAAGATAATATTGATTATTAATAAAGACATGTTTTATTATATAGACGCAGCACTACATGTCCCTGTCAGTATAATGCACTGTCATTAATAATAAAAAGAGAGAGGAATTGGGTTTTAACATCCATTCCTCTGGCTTAAGGCCAAATAAGAGAGAGAGAGAGAGAGAGGGGGAGGGAGAGAGAGAGAGATCCCTGTCATAAGACCATGGAAACAGGGTTTAACATCTTATTGTGGTTATACCACTATGATCAGGACCAAAAGTGTACTTTGGGGACCTACTCCTATTTCACTTTCCAACTCTCAGGGGATGTTTAACAAGAGCTACTAATGATTCATACATGTACATTGTATCCGCTACCCCTACCAATTTCTCAAATTTTGTTTGTCAACTATATAGTTACTACCCTTGGCAAGCCCAACCGAACTAGACAAATCTTGTCAGTGGTGCAGGATAGAGGGCCTAGTGAGGAATAATGATGAAATGAAAAATGAAGTCCCATATTCATATTGGTTAGCAAACAATAGAGCCCTTGACAATTGGAAAATCAAATTCAGAGTAGTAGATAGCGCTGCTGTCAAGGCAAAAAATATAATATGTACATTAAATCTCATTTCTTTTATTTCCTTTGGGGGTGAGAAGTAGAAATGTTTAACATACACTCAGGTCATTTTGGGACTAACAGGATTCAATTTTATTTAAATAATTTGCTTGCTCATAGTGAACGTGTCGGCGTCTCATTAAGTTTCTGAAACAAAATCTTTAATCCCGCTTTCTGTAATCTATAAAGTTTCTACTTACATAGACTGGCGATATTTTAGTAGACAGGGTCATCAAGTCTTCTTCTGAAATAAAAAAAACCCAGTTTAAATCTTATAGAACATAAGCTACATGTATAACTTTTGAGAGAGAGGGTTTAACCAAAGTAGGTCATTTCTCTCTACCAAATGATGAGGGAACCTAAATCAAAGAGGTTTAAATCCACTGAATATGAATTAAAACATTCATAAATCGAACAACACAGCCTTGAAAAAATCAAAATGTATGCACGAACAGAATTTCCTCCCTGAAATCACAAATATTTATGATGAACTACTCTATATTAAACATATTAGCAGGAATAGAATAATTTGCTATCACAGTCAAAATAGAAAATAATTACGGTGATTAATGGATTGGGGTGGACGAATAGAATTATTCTTAATTTAGAATATGCTGACTAAGTATTTTATGATAGTTCTTAGCCATAAACCTTGTATTATCATTACTGCCTCTTATTGATTTCATAGATCCAGAGCTTGTTTTTAGACTAAACTAGTCTTATTGTTTATTAATGATATCGGTGTAACGATTTTAAAAGCTTTTAAACTAATTTTTTTTTGTTCCCAGAGTTGACAATCTTTACTGCGATCGTTAGTTTTTTCAGACAAATGATTAAGCAAAGTGTGACAGAAAATATATCTCTTTCAATAAACTCATTCTCTATGGATAAAAAACCAATTAATGTTCAAAATATTTATTTATGTTATATTTTCTAAACCAATTTAGGGAACCACAGTGGCTAAGTGGGTAAGTTGCTAGCTCGCTAGCCTGGAGGTCGAGTGTTTGATCCCTGCACTGGCTGAGAAAGTTCATCTGGATTTTCAGATAAGGTTTTCAGATAAGGACAGTTGTCTAGTTGTTTGGATGGGACGAAAAAATAAGGTCCTGTGTATAGATTGACGTGCACGTAAAAGATACCTTGGCAGTTGGAATTCAATATAAGAGTAGGTCATAGTGCCGATGCCAGAGCAAATATTCCCTCATAGTACACGTATGGCATATGGCGTTTTCAATAGCCCAGTCAAAGCAGAACATTTCATTTCTAAACCAATTTAGCAGAACAAACCAACAGGTACTGATAATGTCCCCAGTCTTAATCCCACAATAAATAAATGATACTCATAATTACATTTATCTTTTTATAACGTTTCAAGATCATTATCACTCGTAGTTAAAGTATGGATGTAATGAAATTAAACAGTCAGTTTTATCATTCTCACTCAAAAGAATCAAGAGTCATGGACAAATCAAATTTCTTATCTCAATTTAACCTAAGTGGGCAAGACAAGAGATTCGTCTCATGAACATTTACCCCAAACTGGGTTCCAAAATGTGTGCTTGACAGACAGACGGACAGACCTATTTTAAAAGTGGCGTGCTTTGTATGAAAATAAACAATTAAGCACAAAAATTTCACAGAAGCCCACATTTACTCAAAAATCTTTAAATCTTTTAATGGGCCTCCTTATATTCCGACTAAATCCAAGCTGTCAATATTTTAACTTTGTTTTCTTAATTAAGTGCTAAATAATCGATTTGAATACATTTAAGCGTGGATTAAATGGTAAAAATTAAAGATATTGTTTGATAAAATAGGTGTAAAATTACCATGGGGTGAAATATAACCTTCTGCTTAACATCTATCATTGAGTCAAGTGGCATGGTTTGGGTTTTCTCTGGGTCCTCCGATGTCCTACCACTGCTAAAGACCCCTAGGCTCAAGTGAATTATTGAAATATAATCGCCATTAAGCAAACCATATGTTAGTCCCAAAATGACTAAGTGTCCCAAAGTGTTGAGTTAATCCGTGTGTGTCTCTCTATATTATATAGTTTATATAAATAGTTAATGAGAGAAATCCGGGACGGCCACTCGCCACTCAGAGATTTCTAATTTTATTATATAGTTGGCAAACGATATAATAGCTGAGTTATTAGTTCAAATTTTATGAGAACTATTGGTCATTAAAATGGGGCATATAAATACAGTATTAAAATGTACTGAAATAACATTGATATCACCACAACGATACAACTTTACTGCGAAGAAGATATAAAATGAAAATAGAGTTTAACTTCCAATTGTTTTACACCAACCAGGCGAAGATGACCATACAGTACATCAAGCGGTGTGATATGAGGGAAATCTTGTCCAGACAGCAGCATTTCTCATCCAAATCCAACTAACGTGTATAAAATATCTAGTTTTTATCAATGACTTGGGGAAACCAAACTCAAAAATTCCACCAGACGAACTTTCTCGACCAACACCAGGATTGAACCTGTGCTGCCCTCATTTAGTAAGCCAGCGCCCTACCCACTGAGCCACTATAGCTTCCAAACTAAAAAGGTGGCAACAGATGAAAACATCTTGGCATCTAAGTGTTCATGGTCATTACATGTATGTTACAAATACAAACTCATATAGGGGATTGGTTGGCCAAATGGTTAATGCATGCGCGTTTGATAACAAAGTCTGTCATGAATCAAGCGGCATGGTTTCGAATCCCTGCATAACAAGCCAAGGAGTAGGGTCGCTTGACCAACCTCATGGGTTTTCTTCAGATCCTCTGGTTTCCTCCCACTGCTAAAGACCCCTACCCACTAGCGAATTATTGAAATAAAATTAAACCATATGTAAGTCCCGGAATAACCTAGTTTGTATCGAGTGGACATTAACCCCATTTCTCATGTTATTCATGTAATCTAGGCCATACCAATTTCATTTTCTGATGTTCAGGAACAAATGCAAAAAGTTTCTTTTTATTTCTTTGGAAAAAAGACTTACTTAGTTGTGCTTTTAGTTCCAAGTGTCTTTTTATTTATCAAGATCCTAAAGAACAGAAAATTAAATTAATGTGGCCTTATACATGTACATAGGCAAATTGGTAATCAAGGATATCACCTAATGAAAGTCACAATCTTATCAATAAAACTTGGCCACATACAGACTCTCTGTTCCTTCCAAACATTTCTTCTATAGTATTATGTTGTTGAACAGGAAGTTTTATACAACTCAAAAATGCTATGAAATGAAATGGTGTTTAACAACCTACTGTTCTACACCAACAGGGCTTATGAAGATGGGGAAAATGCTATATTATTCTGCCAAAATTTCAAATAGGATATAATATGTACATGTATGTGTTCTAAAAGACGGGGTTGGATGGCCGAATGGTTAGCACCTGTGCGTGTTGCATCATAAGGTCTGTCATTGAGTCAACTGGCATGGTTTCGACTCCCTGGTTTCTCCCACTGCTAAAGACCCCTATGTGCAAGCGAAATATTGAAATGAAATTGAACCATGTGTTTGTCCTGAAATGACCTAGTTTGGGTCAAGTGGACCTTGATCCCCATTTCTCTCTCTCTCTCTAAATATGAAATTAACATCTGAGAAATGGTACTAGGTGTTCTAAGGGGACTGGTACACTATCATGTGTTCTAGCAACAAGGGAATTCAATGAAATGGACTTGAATATCCTACTGTTCTAATGAAGACTGGCATACATCATCATACAATGTGCTACAGCCTACTCTTATTCTTAATTCCAACTGTCATTTTGGTTCTTTTATGTGCATGTCAATGTGTACATTGGACCTCGATTTTTGTCCCATCCGAAAAACTTTACATGTGTATGACCCTGTGGCCGCCGCCGCCACCTCCAACATAAAAGCCAAGCAAAATCAACATCAAAACCGGTTTTAACCCAGCATTTTCTTTGGTCAAGAGTTAATGAAGTTAAAAGACTGTTTGTTGACTGTAATTATATAGAGAGAGTAAATGTCAGAGGTCTATTGTTAATAACTAATATTATAAACATAACTACATATAGTGACATTTGACAGACTTAATCATTGTAAATCAAATACTGGACAAAATTATTTTGTCATTCTATCATCATCATAATAATAAAGTACCAACATGTTATCTAAAATAAAGGTTAAATGAAATGGGGGTTTAACGTCCTACTCTTCTGCACAAACTGGGCTAATGAAGATGGGCAATACAAGGGGCAATGTGCTACATGTACATGTATTGTTTGGGTTGGACCGAAAAAACAAGATCCAATAATGTACTTATTGGCGTGCACTTAAAAACAACCTTGATGCCATCATGTACATTGGATCTTGTTTTTATTCGTCCCATCCAAAATATTAAGACCCTGTGCTCCGCATTTTTCGAAAAGGCGGACCAGACATGAAAATCCTGACAAAAAATTGTGTCTAGTCATTCGAATGAGACTGAAAAAAAACATGATTCTGTGTACAAATTGGAAAGGAGTTTACGTCCTACTGGTGTAATGCTCAAAATTCTCAAAAGTATTATGTTGGTTAGACTTTACTCATGTTGACTTTCAGAATGTTCTTTACTGTTACTGGGAGCCACGGTGGTCTGGCGGGTAAGACGTCGGCTCGCTAACCTAGCGGTCGCATCTTCAATCCCTGCGTTGGTCAAGCATGTTCAACACGATATTCCGGGGCTGGTTCCCCCTTGTCAGTGGTTCAGGACACAGGGTCTGGCAAGGGACAACGTTTGCATGGGATGAAAAACCAATGTCCCGTTTACACATATAGCATGAACGTAAAAGATCCTTTGACAGTTGCAATTCAATATAAGAGTAGGCCATAATGCCGCTGTCAGGGCAAAATTTCCCTTATCGCACACTGTATGGCGTATGCCCATCTTCATTAGCTGAGTCCTAACAGAACAGTATGACATTAAACCCCATTCCATTTCATTAATACTGTCAATATATTCAGATTCTAATGCTGTCAACACCCCCTTGTTACTATAGTCATTATTATATAACACATGGTCAAAAACTTTCTTTGATAAGGTCACAAAGTTGAAATTCTTGTAAGAAAATGAGGTGAAATGGTATCAGATATCATATAGTTAAATGGCTGATTCCACTAATTATTCCTGACACTAAATGACAGTTGATGGCAGGTGACATTTAATACTAATTATTCCTTACATGTATCTGGATGGATTTGACGAAAACCTGGTTTGAGTGTAGGACTGATACACAGGTCACAATTCTATGGAATACAGTTATCACATTTTACTTATCAACTCTTTATCAAGCTTAGTAACAAGCTATTCCTTAGAATTGTGATCTGTTTATTCCCAGTTCAATAACTAACCTCATGGGTTTTGTCTGTGGTCCTCCCACAGCTAATGCCCCTACATGTACGTGCAAGAGAATTGAAACACTAAAACAAATGCGTTGCTGGAAAAGACACAAAGTTTTTTTCTCAGATTTTTTTGTGATATAATATACCCAATGCTCTCACTGACCCAATAGTTTACATTTCTATAACACATAATTAATGTACATTTTCTGTCAGTGATCAAAAATCATGAATAAAATTATTCAGATGTAACTGTATGTAGAATAAAAACTATTTATTTATATAGACGTAATTGAAATATCTTGATGCTCTATTTAACATGAATATGTCATTAATTTCAAAAGAAAATACCTTTGCTGAAACATCTGGGAAAATACCTCGTTCAAACAAAGTACTTAACATAATAGAAATAAAGAATACAAGTGAGCAATGCAAAGGGAAGAATTTGGCCAAGATGGTGGAATTTCTGTCTTATGATAGAGAGAGAAATGGGGTTTAATATCCACTCGACACAAACTAAGTAATTTCGGGACTAAAACATGGTTCAATTTTAATTCAATAATTCGCTTGCGCACAGGGGGAGGAGACTAGAAATCCCTGAGAAAACCCACGAGGTTGGACAGGCAACCCTACTCCTTGCCACGTACAACCGGGGAATTGAAACCACACCAGTTGACCCAATGACAGACTGTATGATACAGTGTGCACGTGCTAACCATTCGGCCATCCAACCTCCCTTAAGGATTTCAGTGTATTAACCGTATAATAGTAAGTTATATAACAATCTACCTGTAATGACCTCTGTTATTATAGTTTAATATAATATACATGTAATTATAATCTGAGATTTTACTTTCCTAATCTACCTTCAGCTCTGATCCCCTGGCTTATGATGTAACATTCATAATAATATCTGACCTATAACCTTTCACATTAAAAATCTTTGTTTATCTCTGAAATCTCCACAAATGACCTTGTTACATATTAATAGCTACATAAAATTTATATATGTACAACACAAAATATTTTTTTTCCCATTATAAAACAGGTACATAAAATTTAGACATCACAAAATACAACTAATTGCTTTGTTTCCCAAAATAAAATTACAAGTGTGTATACATGTACAAAAGGTACATAATATTTAGACACCAGAAAATACAAAAAAAACCCACTATATATTGTTCAAATACAAAACTGTCTGGACTACACAAATGAGAAGTGGTACCAGGTCGTTAAAATGAGTATGCACATCCTGCCTTGTGTATGACATCCTTTACTGTTTGTAGCTAACATCAGTAATGTTTTGGACTTGGAATTCAGAAACCTGAGTAGAAGATAACCTAAGGGCCAAAGGCCACCGACCCAGAGAGACTAGTCTGAATCTTGGTATCGAGTGCTCTAAATATATTTAAATGGGAAGTGATATCAGATGTTAACAGAAGAAATAATTAGATCCTCACATTGTACTTATTATACATGTACATGTATGTATACAGGTATCAATCATTTTATGACAGAAATGAGGAAGTCCAGTTGAAATATTTCCATGCAAGGAGAAAGGTATATCAAAATCACATTCCTTTAATCAACTATATAAAGGGACATTGTTACTAAGACATACTGCATGATATATAACAATACCCTTTAAAATACAGCAGACGTCAAAGACATATCTTCCAGTGATACTTGGATCCAATCACTCGGTTTGATATTTGTTGTTTATTATTTGCAATGTCTGTGTAGTTTGTCTTGTCCGTAGGTTTGTCTTATCGATTGTGTTTGCATGTAGTGTGGTCCTCCTGCACTTACTATCAGTAGTAAGAATCTCTTTTCAACAATAATACATTAATAATTCAAACTGTTACATTTGGGAATTAAATCTTTAAATCATAACATTCAAGAGATTTGCAAAACATGTTTCTTTTGTTTGTTTTGGCTGTCTTCATACATGTATGCCATATCAGTGCAGAAAAGTAGGTACATGTACATGTAGTTAAACCCCATTTCATCTGGTTCTTTTCTTTTTTCATTTCATTTAAACAATATTTTTTCCACTGGATACCGAAACAAGCCAATGGTTTATGTAAATCAGCTTCCCATTTGTTTCTTTGAATTGAAACAGTTGTCTGCACATTTTAAAGATACATTATGGGAGAATCGATAAGGTGTTGGCAGTTCTCACTATCATAGTTAAAAACTAGATAATGTAAAGGCAATTTGCTGAAAATTTAAGTCAAATTGATCCACTATGATCCGAGAACTAAGCGACTGAAATTTCCGCCTAGCCTCGATCATCATTACTAAAGTTAGTACGATAAACAGCATAGTCTCGATTATCCATTTAATCGTTAAATTGTGAAGGAAAGTTATGCAGTAAATCGGCTCATAATCATAATCTAAAGATGCCATCTAGAGTTGATTATACTGGATAGGTAAATTAATGTCTAATTATTAATTTAGATAACATTTCAGGCCTAAAGAAAGACATGCAATAGACAGATTTAGCTCTTGCATAATGTATGTTTAATCTGTGCAATTACACAACAGTTAACATGGCAGCCCTTTATTATTATCAATAAAACTAATTATTGATTTTAGAAGACCCTAGGATAAAACCCTAGCACTTTCTATTTTCAAGGCTAGAAAACATTCAAAACTAGAAAAAAATAAAATAGGTTTTACCTTGATCAGCCATCGCTGGCTGTTATTGACGATTTGTGTTTTTCTCAGTTTGATTTGATAGCACAATACAATAGATTCATCCAGTTGACGACATACCGAGCTAAACCAAGACCCTAGGTTTGTTTTTCATCAACATTCAAACAGTCTTGATACTCGAAAAGGGTCAGCTACTACTACACAAAACGGCCACACTCTGTTGAACTAGTAAATAAGATACTTCCACTCGCCGATTACACATACTTAGTCTCACCATCCACCTGTAAAGAAACTAAGTAAATAAGTTTATGTATGAAACATCCATGCTTAATTCCGATAGAAAAAGAAACTTGACAAAAACACACAATCATCCATGTAGGCACCTACACTACAATAAGCACATTGTACGACAAGTTGTGATTCACACATAATCCTCCCCACTTCAGTAATCCCCTTATTTCTTCGACTGACTTCAGGCAAAATAAATTCTCATGTTAACTCAAATATTTTTATCACCAAATATATTTGGATACCTGATAACAACAAGTATATGTTCACTGTTTAGTCACCTGAATATGCAATTCATATAAATCGTTAAAGATAGATTATGTAAGATTTAGATAAAGAGCTGTCCGTTCCTGCTTAAAATAGTTTAACAATAGAAAATTAAAGAAGAATATATTGAAAATTTCAGTCAAATTACTTGAGCAAAATTATGAATGTTTAGCAAGGAATAGCCGATTGATAAAATAACATAGTTTCAATTGTCAAGTGAATATATGTCTAATTAAATAGAAGATATTTGTCGTTTTAGAGTGAATAACATATTTTATTTCATCGAGAAGCAAGAAAACTTATATTTTCACGAATGCGTAGCATGAGTGAAAATATAAACGTTTTCTTGCTTAGAGATGAAATAAAATATGTTATTCACAACAAAACGACAAATGTTCTATTTATTTTATGATTTTACAATCATTTTAGGTAAAAACAACATGGACTACTTTAGCCAGTGGAATAACACTTTTATTTCACTGATAAAACGCGGTATTCCACTACTGATCATGAAATAATAATTTATATAACATTTGAAGCTAGAAAAAAAAAGACTGTTCATTAAGCAGATTTAGCTCTTACTAGTCTTACATAATGAATCTTTCACAAAAAGATAACAAACCCCATTGGAATTAAACCAGTGTACATTCATTTTGTAATTTGTGCTGTTTTTCATGGGTTATCTTTAACAAATTGATTATTCAAACCATATCACAATTCAGTCATTTTGGATTTTTTCTTTAAATTCTTTTCAATCATTTCTGTTTTGTTTGGGTTTTTTTTGGTCATAAATGTGCCTTAAGCCAAATTACCACAATTAAAACCATCAACAATACACAGAATAACTGTTGTACTTGATGCAGGGTATGCTTACAGTGACCTTTTTTATTGTATTCAGAAAGTTTCAAATAGCACCTAGTTAATGATCTGTTAAGTTTTAATTTTATTACATTGTTACTGTATATTCTATAGATGTTTTTCTACCATACATATTGTTACAGTAATCGTTTTTCTTTGAGAGGCATACTGTGTTAAGTTTAAATTGTATCAAATTGTTATTGCTAGTACATACATGTACTCTCTATATATTTCTCTACCATCCACACAATTGTTAATCGTCTTCTTTGAGAGGCATACTGTGTTAAGTTTAAATTGTATCAAATTGTTATTGCTAGTACATACATGTACTCTCTATATATTTCTCTACCATCCACAAAATTGTTAATCGTCTTCTTTGAGAGGCATACTGTGTTAAGTTTTAATTTTATTAAATTGTTATTGCTGTTGCATACTCTGTGTACATTTGTGTCTTTTATCCAATTCAGAAAAGCAACAAAACACTGATGTTGTGAAAATGGCGTCTGATAAAATGACGGTCAGTTATTTAATTACAAAATTAGAATAATATGAAATTCTAATATTCATGAAAAATATGCAAAACATTATGGAAACTAATGTCTAATACTGAATGAGTTCATATTTGTCTAACATCCACATTATTTTTATCATTTGCTTGAGAATGGCTATTGAGTATCCTCGATGAAGCGTTGCACAGTAATAAACTCCATAATTGTGCATCCATAAAAATCGTACCATGTGTCAGTTAATTGTCATAATTTTGTTTATCTAATGATTCTACAATGTATCGGAAAAAGAGAGAGAGAGAGAAATGGGGATTAATGTCCACTCGACACAAACTAGGTTATTTCGGGACTAAAATATGATTTAATTTTATTTACATAATTCGCTTGCGAGTAGGGGTCTTTAGCAGTGGGAGGAAACCGGAGGATCCTACTCCTTGCCACATACAACCGGGGATTCGAAACCACGCAGGTCGACTCAATGACAGACTTTATGATACAGCGCGTGCACGCTAACCATTCAGCCATCCACCCCCCCAAAATGTATCGGAAAAAATGATCAAATAACTGTTTGAAAATAACTGGAGAATGGTGTCTTAAATTCAAGGAAATCTATCTAATAGTGTGTACACTGTCAGTGGAATGGTGTCTTAAATTTAATCAGTTTGTACACCGTCACTGCCTGGCAAATGAAATAAATGACAGGAGTACCATATTGACAAGATATTAAAAATCAATTCCTTCTATTTTCTTGTCAAAATTTTGATTTAGTACAAACAGAAATAGGCTTATATTTGTTACATATCTTTTCAAAATTTGATACCAAGACTTGGACAAACACGTCAAAATTTCAACATAGGCGAAAATTTGTTATCTAGGCAATGTCCAAACAAAAAGGTTTAAAAGAGATGTAAATTTAAAAAAAAACAACTATTAAATTTTGCGACCTACCTACCGGCTACTATCTTTGTCCATTATCCTTCATGAATGGAAAATCAATTTGTACAAGTGTAGTAGTAGTTTTTTTTCCTATAATTTGTAGACAGTAGTGAATAGATATACTAACCTCTTGAACTAACCAACAACCTGCCAGGTTTGTCAATAACAGGTATTTAGTTTTACTGCCTGAAGCACAAGGAAAGGCTAAGCTACCACCATACCATAATATTATAGAGTCGTTTATATCGAACCAGCAGGGTACTAACAGCTCAGTGATTTGATAGGTGAAGAAACTAATAATAACTAAATTAATACTCCACACAGATTTATAGAAGCTCAATCCGAGTTTTGATTGATGTACATGTGGAGACAAATTAATATGTTGATTTGATATTTGTAAAACGAAAGGTGTAGATTCTGTTACAAGTAGAGTCTACATGTATTATCCTCGCCAGGAAAATAATGCTAGAACACCCTCCAAGGTTCCTGCTAGCTTTGTTAAAGGGTGTATGACTCTATTCCTCGGAACCATACATGTAAATGGGTCTAAAAGCACATACATGAACATGTATTAACATAATATGAATGTATATAAAGTGATCTATATTTAATTTTTAAAATATTTATTGTAATTTCTAATCAATTAGGTTCGGTTAAATATGTGAACAGTTCAATTTGAAAGAAAGTCATTTACGTCTGCTTAGTCCATTATACATGTTTTTTTAATTATTATTTTCTTGTTTGAGAATCGGCCATTATTAATTACTTCCGCATTGTCTTATAGAATATGTTTTACTTTGTTGATTACAAATGGCACCCAAAACCACAGATATTAGGATCCCATATTTTCACGGCAAGGTAACATCATCAATATTGATTGAAATGGACCAAAACTGAATTCTAATTTGTATTTATAATTTCTAATATTATGGAAAATATTGATTTAGAAATTTAGTTCCTTTAAGTTGGATCCCTTATTTTCACGGCAAGGTAACAACATCAATATTCATTGAAATGGACCAATAATGAATTCTAATTCTAATTTGTATTTTTAATTTCTAATATTATGGAAAATATTGACTTAGAAATTTAGTTCCTTTAGGTTGCAGTCATGAAAGCTTGAATCAGTGAACTGCAAACAAGAAGATTAAAAGAAGATAATGCAATCAGCCATTAGACTGTATATAGTGCCACATGGAATTTTTTTTAAAGAATATCTTCAAAGGGGTAAAAGGCAATCGGCTACCTGTTTTCTTGTCTTTTAAAATATTATTAATCCATCCTGTTATTATCAACAAAGGAGTCATGGTGGCTCAGTGAGGAAGACGTTGGCTCCCTAACCTGGAGGTCCCATGTTCAAAAGCTGCGTTGGCCAAGAACGTTCATCAGAATTTTCTGGCGCAGTTCCCACTTGTCAGTGATGCAGGACGGAGGACCTGGCAAGGGACAACATATAGCCATTCGGATGAGATAAAAACCATTGTACACATTGGCATACATGTAAAAGAACCCTTGGCAGTTGCACCTCTGTCCGGGCAAAATTTCCCTCATAGCACACCACATGGCGCATGTCCGTCTTCATTAGTCCGGTCAGAGCAGAACGGTAGGACGTTAAACCCCACTTCATTTTATTATTAACGATAATCTAGATTAGTATTAGTTATATATTGTAATATATCTTCAGGTTTGATTGGGCATATCTGTCATTAGACTTTTGTTTTCCAGGTGAACATGTCCATCATATTACCATAATGACGTTAAAGACTAATTGAAGAAGAAGGTATAAGATGAAACATAATCAAAATAAACGACTGCATCTATATTTAAAAAATATATATATATACTTCCAATGCTCTTTTCCATGTATTATGTATTACATGTATATAATTCATTGTAATAGTATTCAGTTTTATGTCAAGAAAGTCATTATTATTATTTTTAACATTTATGTCTTTAAAATGACAGATAGAGTTAACACCCTATTGCAAGACATAAGATCATCAGAAGATTACACCAATGTATACACATGTAATCTTATAATTAATTAATGGTCATCACACATTTCCTCCACAAATTATCAAGCTTTTATTGCCTTCTACTGTTAATAATGGACATTTATTACTTAATAAACTAGTATCTAGTGGAGTTAGTGTTCCTCAGGGCCTACGCATCAAGGTTTTATCTTACATGTTACAATATCTGTGTAATCATCATGATTATTATAGCCATCATAAATATTAGAGAATCTGTAAGATCTGTATACCAGTATATAACTCTTATTTATGAGATTTGCTTGTTACATTGATGAATGATGGATGAATAAATGAGGTTTAACATCCTACTCTTCTGCACCAACCGGGCTACTGAAGACATGATGTGTGATACATGTACATGTATGAGGGAAATATTGCACTGGCAGTTGGTGCTACAGATATTCTTAATATATTGATCATGATGTTGGCCGTGAAAGGAAAAGTCCCCCCTCCACCCTTGGATTTTACAGCATGATTTCCCCTTGTCAGTAGTGCTGGACACTGGACAGAGGGCCTGGCAATGACAGTGTTTAGTTGTTTGGACGTCCCCTGTACACAATGGTGTACACGCAAAAGAACTTTTGACAGTTGGAATTTGATATAAAGTTAAAGAGGGGCTTATGTCGACCTTGCAACTGAAAAGTTGACACCAACTTTTCAAATGCTGATGTACACAATAACATATTAACAGAATTGTGGAAAAACCGACGATGTCTTTGGGGTGCTTCTTCTAAGGTATATGCCATTTTGTTGATCATGTGATGAATAAATTAAGTCATGTGTTAAGCATAATCACTATCAGTTCCGGGATGAATTGAGTGCCCCGAATTCAGTTACTCTCAATTGCTGATATGATCGACATAAGCACACTTGCAACTGACTGGAACTAGTTGCTTTGAGTTGCAAAGTCGACATAAGCCCCTCTTTAGAGTGGGGCAAAATTACCCATATATAAGCACTTTGTATGGTGTTTGCACATCTCCAATAACCCAGTCAGTGAAGAAAAGTAGGATTTTTAATAGTAACTTCTAAAAATCTTTCAAACAAATTAATATATATTTTTTTTCTTCCATTATATCACAATGTACATATACCATAGGTTGATTGAATTACCAATTGATTTTATCATTCATTCTTTTTGTTTGGCTGTAAAAAAAAAAACAATACTGATTCATTTTTGTTGATTTTAATATAAAATTGATTAAGTCATTCCAACTTATCCATTTTTTGTTGGTTTAAATCTATAAAATAATCCATTCATGCAATCTTATTTTTATCTGATTAAATCTGAGAAAAAAAAATATTTATGCCTCAGGGGAAGCAACTCCAATTTTAATGACTTGACAGTTAATACCTTTTTAACAACTGCCATTACATGTGTGCACAGCCCTTGAAATATCTCTAATTAATGTATAAAGATACTACATGTATGATGTATTGCTGATAAATTTTTACCATGTTATATTTTCGGATGAGTTAAGAGAGAGAAAAAAAAGCCCAGTCAATTACCTGTCACCAATATGATTGACTGGTCAATGGAATGTAATTTATTATAAAAACTATCTTGACTGACAGCTCACATACCTTGCGGATATTACGGTAATAATGATCCAAACTGATATCGTAGATAAGCCGACTTTCTTAGGGAATATTTGCCTTGGGTCAATTCAAGAATATTAAAAACTTGAAGACCATCATGATTTAAGCTGAAATGCATTTTTAAATGCATAAATTTTTGTTTTCATATCTTTTTAATTTCTCATCATATTTATGAAAAATAGGGCTAAATTTATGTATTTCAATTTAAAAATTTCATTATCAACAAAATATATGATTTTTGTCATAATTAATATAATCAGAAACACAGATCAAGTACAAATTGTTGTAGACATTGTCCGATACATTAAGGTTTTGATAGGCAGAATACCTCTATATTAAAATTTCTATGTTTTTATTCATATCTTTAATACACATCTTGTAAAGAGATTCAAAATATTAGTTACTAGTTGATTAGGTACAACTAAAATCTGGTATGTTATTGTGTAATACAGTACAGAGCTTTAAATGGGAGAGGAATTTAACGTCCACTTGATACAAACTAGGTCATTTTGGGCCTAACATATATGCTTCAATTTCATTTCAATAATATGCTTGCGCACAGGGGTCTTTAGCCGCAAGAGGAGACCAGAAGACCCGGAAAAAATCCACAAAGTTGGACTGACAAGATTACTCTTTGTCACATACAAACGGGCAATCGAAACCACGAAATGAAATGGGGTTTAAGATCCTACTGTCTATGAGGGAAATTTTGCCCGGGCAGCGGCACTATGGCCTACTCTCATATCAAATTCCAACTGCCAAAGGATCTTTTATGCGCATGCCAATTATATGCGGGACCTTGATTTTTTGCCTCATCCAAATGACTAGACAGCTGTCCTTGTTCTGCACCACTGACAAGGGGAAACCACGCCGGAAAATCCAGATGAACTTTCTCAGCGAATGCAGGGATCAACAATTGAAACCATACTACTTGATTCATCCAATGTGTGCAGCTTAAAGGGACAATAACACTCTTGCTGGCTTGACAGCTCCAGAAAATAAATAATAGCCGTATTCTAAATATTAGATGTTTATGTGTCCTACCTGTTGTGTAAATTATCTATTACATCCTATTTTACTTGTCCAGAAAGTTCGAAAATAGTTTTAAATCCAAGTCATATTTGAAAAGGTTTACGTTAGGCTTTTCAAATCATTTAGTTGAATTTTTCCAATTTTTTTAAATTAGGTGTGTTAAAGTGAAATTTGTATTATCAATTAATTGGAATATTGTAAAATAGTACAATTTGTTGAACAGAATAAAGATTGGGACATATTATTCAGTTACAACAAGAGTGGTATTGAGCCTTTAAATCATTTGGCCACCCAACCCTGTTGCTTAAAATGAAAAGAGAGCTACACGTACACTAAGCCCTCGAATTCCTTGACTTCCCTAAAATCAAATCTGGGAGTGCTGTTAGTCGGCTCAGTCTTATCTGATTGGTTTTAATTAGCAAACAGTAACCAATTGTTTCATAAAAAAAATTATGAACAGTAATTCCTTGAATCTCCTTTAGCCTTTATAAAATGAAGTTAATGTCCTACTTTTCTGCTCCATCCGGACTAATGAAGACATCAAGCTCCTTTATTGGAATCAATGTCAACATTGACAAAAACTTTGTCTATAAAATACTGATTAACAACTGTCATTCCTTCATACATAGCAGAGGGCCTGACAAAGACAGCTGTCTATTTGTCCGGATGGGACGAAAAACCGAGGTCCCTTGTTGTAATATTGGTATGGTACTATGTTTGTTGTAATAATGTGAATGTAACTGTAGGCCCATGCTGCTCCATATGAGCATTTTAATGCAATAAATTTATCTTATCTTAATACTAGTAAATTTGACAAAATAGTCAACACTGATTTTACATGACGCTGCAACTACATGTATTTTAGGAAATATAATATGTCTTTATTTACTCAATATTCAACATGTAAAACTGCAATGACACTGTCTCTACAAGTTAATATTATCAAGTTCGGGGTGACCTGCATATTGACACGGTTTGCAAATATTTATAGCTTGTAAACGACAGTGAACACAATGGAAAACTTGCTGTGTGGTACATACAACACCATTCTTTCTGCAGCATCCACTCGTGTGTCGCATTGCATCCATTGGGAACCATGCAGAGATCTTACCGACCAGAAACAAGGGAAACTTACTGTTTTTTCCCGCCTTTATTTAGCTTATTGCATTGAAATAAACAATAACCCCGCGTTGAATTTATAACCTTGTAGTATAATAAGTAGACTCACCATGTTTAAATTGCATATCAACACATTAGCCATACACAACTTCCGTATCTATTACACGACACTTGTCAAGCTTTAGGTTCCGCCATGGACCAGAGGGACAGTGACGTCACGTGACCTAATGTCATCAGTATGACCCAGTTCGTCTCAGGTGATTGACGCCGATTGTAAACATAGAAACATTATCCAGGCCGTCTGACCACAATGCTATCTATTATGAATGAGTCTTTTATGATAGGCTAGTTAATTGGTTAAGCTTTAGTGACTTTGAACAAACACAGAGACTCGAGAGGTCATTTACCTTGATGTTTGATGTTAAAACCATACTGTGCCAGCAGAGAATTTTCACCAACTCTTTTCATTCAACATAGAAATATGTTTCATGTTATATAATAGTTTCAAGCCGTAGCCTACGATCAATGAGATTGTGTGACTGGGCTGGGTTGAACCATAATAGGCTTTGGACATAGGAATATGTAATTTCCATTATTAGCCTTGGCAGTTGGTTGACACTCATTATCTCATATTTGTTTATACTTGATCTATTAAACTTAAACATGCATTATGCAAGAGCTAAATCTGCAAATAAGAAATCTTTCTCTGGCTTCAAATCCTATATAAATTATTGTTAAACATTTATTTCCATGACAAGCCAATACTCAACACTCGACTAGATCATCAGATGGGCGAGATATTGAATGGATTAGAACATCCAGTCATTTAACGTTAATGTGAATAATCAAGACTTTGTTATCATAGTAATTGTACATGATAATCAAGACTATATTTAAGTTATTATCTTGTCCAGACTTCAAACACCCTCAATTTCACTCAGAATAAAGTAATTTGACTGGAATTTTGAATATATTATTTTTTGAACTATTATAGCAAGAATGACCAGCTCTTTATCTAAATCTTATATATTTAAAATGCATCTTTAAAGATTGAGTAACAAAATGGTGACCATGGCCTCCAGTTAGCCTGACCTATAGGGTCCATGGTCAGACTCTCTTTAAAGGTCTAATTGCAGAGATCCAATTGGTTAAACCAACCATTTTAACTTTTAACAGGATGATGCCAATCCTTTCGTTATCTCAAAAATTGTTAAAAACACCAATGTGAAGAAAAATAGTTATTTTTATTTTATAATTCTTTCATTTATTAATTTACATATATTATGATGTGATATAAATATTTATATATTAGATATCATACAATAATTGATTCAGAACAATGTTTGTGAGTGATTGGCAGGGTGTGATTACAAATATATACAAATAAATCTCTATTCTGCATGCCCAACATGTGCTGGAAATCAAAGGTTTATCCACCAAATATTTAAATCTTTTATAATCATAGATTTAAATATTTCTGAATAACTCCCTTAAAATTGTCAAGTCAATATGTGCACAATTCCTCATCAAGACATCCAGGCCAGGAATTAACAGTTTAAGTTGTATCTGACTAATTGTCAGACATGACTAAACTAGCAACTGACATTTTCTACTTGTATTAATAATATCAAATAAAAACACAGTAAAAAAGACAAATTAATCATTCAGCAGAGGAACTGTGCCTGACATAACTCAGGGGAGGATCCAGTGGTGGGATGGGATTGGCATTCAAAGCGTGAAATAATGATTTAGACATGTGTGATATCACATTAATGCTTTGCATCAATGAAATTGAATCACAATGTGATCCTATTAATTCATTATAAAAATTGACATCAATGTGTTTGTATGTCTACGTAATTTACAGATGATGATGGCATCATGCATTGTCAACTGTCAAATTTCCTTAACCTGGCAAACCCCCTCCTGCAAAAATTCCTGGATCCGCCCCTGATAACTTAAATTCTGTCAATGTCTGTGACAGGTGCTCTATTTCCAGGGTTCATGAAATCTATTAGCCATGTGATAAGATAATAAGTGTGTGACTTGATTGTGTGTATAAACCTTCACCCCTTTCTCTAATTTCCATGGTTATATTTTTATAAATCAATTCAATAACACAGCAGGATAAGCGATTAGTCCACAGCAGTTTTTCACTAGTAATTTAAACATAGATGCACATGGGCTCATGCCCCATAATACAAGCACCACCAACAGAGTCTTCTGTGCTAGCTCTAAAATCTTTGTCAACAAATCCCACAGAGCAGGATTTTTTTATTATTATATCTAGTAAAACCCAACATGTGAACAGGTAACTCTGTAACCGTATTTGAATTTTTGCATCTTAAGATTATAAAATACAATAAATGAGCAATAGCTAGTGATGTACCTACTCCACAACCCGTGTTTGGAAGATTTGTTAATAAAATATTTGCGGGTAGTCAACGGCATGCAGATATTTTGTTGATGCCCGGGATCAATCCCTTGATTGTGTGTGTCATAGGGCTGGGTACCGGTATGGAATAATGTGAGAACAGATGAACTAAACTAATTTTTATACAAATTAAATATCAATCAGTCACATTAATTAAAATTTGGTACCCCAAATGAAATGTCAGAAAACTTTATTTTAATTCCCCTCTGTGATTGGACAGTCCCTGAAATGGATGCCCAGGCCACATCTCTCCCTGCATGCCATTGGCTATAATATTCATTATTAATGGCAAGTGAAATATAATTAAATGTTGTACCTCATAATTTCATTCAAGCATAAATCTCAAACAGAAACAAGTATACATGTAGCTGTAGCTTCTACTACTCATCACTACTCAAAATGTGAAATTTACAGGTTCATTTTCCAAGAATAATAAAAGAATGAATATTTAACATATTGTAAAAAATCAAGGCAAATAATTAAACTAAGATGACCATGTGGGTTCCAATCTGAGGAAAATACAGATCTATATTTCTTTTTTTTTTTATTTATACTTTCGATGGCCTACACTACATGAAGATATGACCTTGTTGTGATGGAAGGTCGCGTCAGCGGTTATATGACAGGCTTTTGAAACTATGACGTCAGACATTGATTAATCAATGAGCGTTGACGTTTCTAGTGGTTTACCACAGTTATGTGCACTACATGCCAAGGACTCGCCATAATAGACCGTTTCATTGGCTAATTCCTAACATCAACCAGAACGCGGGTTATATAACAACTCTTCCAGATCCTAGATTTGTGAAGACAAAAACGAAATTTTGAACTATAAAAAAACGTAACGAAATAGGATCTGTGTTTTAATCATATTGAGTGGGTTCGATCCTGCTGAGAAAGTACCATTGGTTACTTCAGCCTGGTTTCCCCATCATTCGGATGGTACAAAACAAACACGGTCCTGTTACATATAAAAGAACCCTTGATGGTTGGAATTTGATTTCGAGTAGGCAGAAACACCTCTCCGTCCACATAAAATTTCCCTCAAAGCACACTGCATGGTGTATGTCCGTTTTTATTAACCCTATTGGTGCAAAAAAGTAGGACTTAAATCTCATTTCACATACATAAATCTCATTTACACAATAACCAATATGGTCACATGACTCATGTCAAATGTAAGTTTCATAAATATCAAACAGAAAATTCAAATTTATCCTTAACACAATACACATACATAAATCTCACATTGTATATAATAACCAATATGGTCAGGTGAAATGTGTGTTTTATAAAAACAAAAAAAAAAGCTACAAAATACAATCTCAATTTGAATATTAAACAGATGAATAAAGTCGTGATGATACTTATATTTATATTATATTTCAATATAACAAATATATCAACTGAAAAGTGTTTCTTAGATAGCTGTCTTTATTAGCTCAGTCTGTGTAGAACTGTAGGACCTTAACCCCATTTCATTTAATTTCTTAGATAATAATTATGACTGACCCTAGATAAATGAAAATTGTTTTTTTAGATAGTATTTCGAAGATAGTAATTGTGACTGACTGTAGATAGACGAAAATTGTTTTTTTTTTAAATAGTAAGTGTGACCGACTCTAGATAAATGGAAGTGATTTTTTAGATAGTAATTGTGATTGAAAGTACTGGTAGATAACTGAAGAGCGTTTTTTTTATAGTATTTCAACTGCCTCTAGATAACTGAAGAGCATTTTTTTATAGTATTTCAACTGCCTCTAGATAAGTGAAAAGTGTTTGTTTGATAGTATTTCAACTGCCTCTAGATAAGTGAAAAGTGTTTGTTTGATAGTATTTCAACTGCCTCTACATAAATGAAAAGTGTTTTATAGACAGTAATTGTGACTCCATCCAGATAAATGAAAAGTGTTTTTTGAGATAGTAATTGTGACTGACCCTAGATAAATGACAAACGTAAATAACAAAATAAAATCAAAATACAACAGAGTAAAAATTTAAATTCTGTATTAATAGACTTTTGAATTGATATGTAACATATGTATTCATCTTGTAAAATCCCTGCAATATTTGCCATGGGAGTTCGTAAACACCATACACCTAATAAAGCGTAGGAAGATTTAGTTATTCATGGTCTTAATAAATAAATAGCCCCTCGAATCCTGTAAATCATATTTCTCGTTTCAAATGTGGAACTAAAAGCTTTTAAGAAAAACAAGAAATTACTATTTGATTTTAAATAAATTCTGACCCCAAGCGATAAGATTTCAAAATTTAAATAGATGTCCTTAAAAGAACAAATTTTTTAATTGGTGTAGCCTTAATTTCCTAAAATTGTAATTTCTAATCACTACCTAGATACCATTTTAAGATACATGTCTGATTTTTAAATAAGAAGCTGTTTAGACTCTTGCTGACATATTGAGATACATGTCCATTCCTTATATTTTGAATTTGAACTTAAAATGTATTCCAAGCAATTTATATTTTTGTTTGTAAAGTTCCTAGGGTTGTACTAGTATGTACCATTTATATAAGTTACAGTAAAGACCTAATAAGTCTTGTGAAGAATAATACAAATGTATCTTAGTTTACAAAGTAACTACATGTATTACAAAACCAAACTTACAACATAAAATAAATAATATTTCTGTTACATCATTTACATAAAACATTGTCAACCATCACTCATGTGAGTCTATGAACCTGACAAACAAAACCATTGAACTGTGTAGAAAACGGAAGGCTTTGGTTCCTAGATTCCCAGAGTAATTCCAGGTTCTCAAAATTAATTTAAATCTACATTTAAATGTACATGTCTGACTAATTATTTCTTTATTAATAATATTTTTTTTCCTGATTTTGGCACTCAAAAATATAACTTTTATTTTATATACATGTAGATTTTATATTACAAATATATACACCAGTCATAATACAATACACATTCCAAGTTTTATTACATCCAATATAATTTCATTAAAGTCTCTGAATGTAATTTGGAAGGAGGGTGGGGGTGGGTGGGGAGATGAAGGGGGGGGGCGAATGGATAGCCTGTGCACATTGTATCTCATAAGATCTGTCATTCAGTCAGCTGGCGTGGTTTCGATTCCCTGGCTATATATGACAAGGAGTAGGGTCGCCTGTCAAACCTCCTGTCCAGTAGCTTATTTCACGACACATGACATTTCATTCATATTATTAAGGTACTTATGTGCAGGGTACTTTTGACAAGAGGCGTGAGAGAGAAATGGGGTTTAAGTTAAACTGTTTAATGTCCACTCAACACAAACTAGTCATTTTGAGACCAACACATGGTTCAATTTTATTTCAATAAATCTCTTCAGTGTAGGGGTATTAAGCTGTGGGAGGAAACAGGAGAAAGTGGCGACCCTACATCTTGTCATGTATGGGTTAAACCATTTAGCCACCCAACATCCGCCACCTCAGAATGTTGCCATCAATTAAACATAACTAATATAAGAAGAAGTGAGTTTATCTGTTATTATATGTTCAAGCTTACACAGTAATATACACCCCTTATTAGACTGAAGATACAACCCATAATCTAAAGATGGACTTGCACTTTTTTTACCGGTCTGATTAAAATACAGATCTATATTTCGTTTAATTTTTTATACTTTCGATGGCCTACACTACATGAAGATCTGACCAGTTGTTTTGGGAGGTCGCGTCAGAGGTCATACGAGTGGCTTTTGACCTATGACATCAGACATTTGATTAACCAATCAACATTGATGTTTTCATTGATAACCCACAGTTCCATGTAGCTCACACCAAAAGCTCGTCGTAACAGACCGTTTCATTGGCTAATCCCTCACATCATCCTGAACACGTCAATGATAACAACTCTTCCAGATCCTAGTGTAGGACAAGTAAAACGAAATTTTGAACTAGAAAAAACGAAATGAAATAGGATTCTGTGTTTTGATCAGATTGACACTTTACAGACATGTCCATAAACCCTGGTTGCAACTTACTCTGATCGTTAACCATTTACATACAGTAGTAAGGCCATACCAATTTGGAACTTTTGAACAGTTACAGCACAACCAAGTATTCTTGGTTTTACATGTGTTCCTGAAGAACAGAAAATCAAACTAGTGAGGCCTATTCTATATTTTCATATTAAAATGACAAGACAGAATATTTTCTTTTATCATTTAGAAGGTCATTATAAATATATCATAGATTTTATCATATACATGTAGACTGTCAAAAGAAATATAAGGGTTGTCTATCGAGATATTTATACATGTTTTAACCGTTGCAACAGATAAAATGAATTTAAATACAAGTTTATTTATTGTCACACTATTTATAGATAATTTCAATTTTTGCCATGAAATTTCACCAACAGTTGCAACAAGTTTTTTATTGTCACCCTAGATAATTTCAATTTTGCCATGATATAATCCAGACTTTCCATAATAATGATATATTACATAATCGAGGGTAAAAGACAAGTTCATCAAGACTTTCCATAATAATGATATATTACATAACCGAGTGGTAAAAGACAAGTTCATCAAGACTTTCCATAATAATGATATATTACATAACCGAGTGGTAAAAGACAAGTTCATCAAGACTTTCCATAATAATGATATATTACATAACCGAGTGGTAAAATAACAACGAAGAGCAAAATAACTAACAATACACTCCACCACCGTATACCACAGTCAGCACCATTTAAATGTTCCGGCTTTTTAGCCCGTAATGGAAAAACACTTTTATTGGTTAACACAGATATCACTTCACTCAGAGACCCTCGTTCTTTACGAGTATAGTTCCGCACACGTTCTAAATCTTTGTCCATACTTTTCAAAAATGCCTCGGCTTCTTCATTGTTGTTAGACAAGTTTTCCTTGATACTCAAAGTTCGCATTATTTTCATCTGCATCTCTGGATCACTAAAGTCCTGAGCAGAATCTGTGTCATCGTAATTATAGTTATACGAATTTGGTATTTCCATCAAGGGTTCAAGATCTCCATTGTACGAAGCTCCGCTGCTAGCAGGAGTTTGAACTTTTAGTTGGTCTATTTGTTCTGATAAAATACCATAGCGTATAACAGGAACCTTGACATACTTTAAACCAAAGAAATCTTGATCCTGTATTAGATGATTGATTCGCTTCAATTCGGAGATCTGAAACAAGACAAAGTTAAAGATATTATTTGCATATTTGACAGAGAAATGTGACTTAACGTCAATCAACACAAACTAGGTCATTTTGGGATATTTCATTTCAATAATTCGCTTGCAAATAGGGGTTTAGCTGTGGAAGGAAACCGGAGGAAACGGAGCAAAGCCACGAGGTTGGACAGGTGACCCTATTTCTCATCATGTAAAAGCAGGGAAACACATGTTAAACCATTTGTCCACTCAAGAACCCTTTTGCTTATTTGAAGCACCAAGCAATAACTATTTTCCTTAGTAACGACTTGCAATAACAACAGCGCAAAAGGTGCAGTCAATACCATCTATGGTATGATAAAAAAAAAATAAGGATCGAGAATAAAATAAAACAGAAACTGAAAAAGACAAAAGTTACAAAATTCATTTTCTTCTTTTCAAAATATTTACTGGTAGATGTCATCTGATTTGTTGTTCTTTTCTGAAAGCCATTTTGAGATTAATATATGGTTACAATAATGTACTTGTGAGTAGGGGTCTGTGCAGTGGTAGGAAACCGAAGGACCCAGAAAAAAAAACATGAGGCAAAACAGGCCTTAGACCAATTGGCCATACAAACCCCCTCTGTCACTTTCAGATATAGTGAAAGTAAGTAAATAATATCTCATGAAAATTAATGTGACCGCCAAGAGGTCAACAGAAATGTATATTCAAATTTTCTAAAATTACGACTTGGTAGCTCTATTAGGTTGAACAAAGAATCAGGCTATTTCGTAGATTTTACAAGGAGCAACTCTTTTAAAATTTGTAGATTTTTAAAGAAGAGACAATGCTAATATTTGTAGTTTTTTAAAGGAGCAACTACAGGTATGTTAGATTTTGTTGATTTTAAAAGGAGCAACTCTGTCAAAATTTGTAGATTTTTGAAGATATTAAAAGAAGCGACTATGCAAATATTTGTAGACTATAAAAGGATATTTACATAAAGTAAAAATGTCATATCTTTGGCAACAAATTTATTTCCCCCTAATCGTGGAAATAGATCTTTAAATACAATTTTGTGAAGAACAGACAAATATGGTTCATAAATGTGTATATATAGACATAGATAATGGCCATTAAAATGCAACTAAATGAATACTGATACAGGTGACTAGGCCAGATGTAAATGAAGTGAAATTTATTACAGTAATGAAATGAGCTGTAATGAAGCCTTTTACACTTACATGTAGTTTCAATAGTTAGAATACAGATATTCTCCATTTTACAACCCACTCGACTTGACTTTCAATGATATCCATTAACATTAAACAATTGTATGATAAACAGCTGTTATTAAAACTAATAGCTCTTAATATTCAAACCTTTAAATTTAATTACTTATGTGCAGGGTACTTTTGGCAATATGATAAACCCCTAGAAAACACAGCAGAATATGTGAGTGTGAGAGAGAGAGAGATGGGGTTTAATGTCCAATCGAAATTTCGGGTCTAACATATGGTTCAATTTTATTTCAATAATTCGCTTGAGCTTATTGGTCTTTAGCAGTGGGAAGAAACTGGAGGACACCACAAGGTTAGACAGGCGACCCTATTACTTGTCACGTACAAACGAAACCACACCACTTGACTTAATGACAGAACATATGATTTCATGCGCAAACATTAAACCACTAGACCCCACCCCGCTCTGTGAAAAGAAGGATGACACTCCTTAAAAATGTTTTCCTCAACCATAGGCCTACATGTATTTGTACTGATAGGCAGTCAAAACCAAAAATAACAATTTTTGTTGTACCTGACATAATCGCAGGTGTGAGATAAGTTAGTTCCTTTTACGTCAACTTCCACCTAGGGTGATATCGCAGACAAGGTGTGGAATAATGAAGTAATTAACTTATAAATGAGCGAAATTGTCCAGCTACATCCCCTCCTTATAACAAAAATCGGGGGTCACGGTGGCTATGTGGGTAAGACACTGGCTCGCTAGCCCGGAGGTCGGGTGTTCGATCCCTACATTGGCCAAGAAAGTTGATCCAAATTTTCCGGCGTGGTTCCCCCTTTTCAGTGATGCAGGAGGGAGGGTGTGACAAGGACAGCTGTCTAGTCGTTCGGATGGAACGAAAAACAAGGTTCTGTGTACATATTGGCGTGCGTGTTGAAGATCCCTTGACAGTTGGAATTCGATATAAGAGTAGGCCGTAGTGCCACTGTCCGGGCAAAATTTCCCTCTTAGCACACTGTATGGTGTATGCCCGTCTTCATTAGCCCAGTTCGGAGCAGAACAGTAGGACGTTAAACCCCATTTCATTTCATTTTTATAACAAAAAAATGGAATCCAAGAGATCATACATGTACTTTAGTAAAAGTAAAGACCATCATCTAACAAGTTGCATTAATAATCAATCATCACATGAACATAAAACAACTAGGACTGGAAATAATGGTTTTAGGTGCATTTAACAAACTGACTGACACTTACTAAAAATATCCATAAAAACACAGGGGAGGGGATTTGGGATGGACAAAATGACAGGTACCAGAAGGATTGTGTCTGACAATGTCTTTGACAAGTGTCTCATTTTATATACAAGCCTAGACGAGAGAGAGAGAGAGAAATGGAGGTTTTATGTCCACTCAACACAAACTAGGTCATTTCGGGACTAACAGGGTTCAATTTTATATCTATAATTCGCTTGTGTATAGGGGTCTTTAGTAGTGGAAGGAAATCGTAGGACCCGATGAAAACCCATGAGGTTGGACAGGTGACCCTCCTCCTTGTCATGTACCGTACATCCGGGGAATCGAAACCACACCAGTGGACTCAATGACAAATCTTACAACACAACGTTCACGCACTAATCATTCGGCCACCCCCCCCCCCCCCAAGCCTAGACAGGACATAAGGTACCTGTCTCAGACATTATCAGACACAAACTATCACACAATATATATAAATTAAGCATAGGTGCCTTATGTCTATGCTTAATTTCAAAATATGACACAAATCCTGAATTTGTGATTGACAAATTCTGTGACAATTGCGTTATGTCCAGGTACATGTGTATAAGGAAAGAAACAACATAGAAATATGCACTACATGTACATTGTTTTCCTACAATATCTACTACACGTAGTTTACAATTGGGTTATACAATAGTAATACACAGGAAAAAACTATGTTCCCTTCAGATTTATAGGGTCATATATTTCAACCACAAAACTTATCTTAATGGGGCATTATGGGAGATTAGATAAAGAGTTAACAGTTGTCGCTATAATCATTAAAAAATAGATAACGTAAATAGAGTATGCTGAAAATTTCAGTCAAATTGCTCCATTCTGAACCAAGATATTAGCTTTTGAATTTTAAACTAGCCTTGATCATCATTACTATATATCAGTATGATAAAAAACAAAGTCTCGATTATCCATTTTTACGTTTAATTTTTAAAAAAAAAATGCATTCCAATCCGCTAAATATCGCAGGCTAGCTATGGTATCAAGAGCTGATTATGGTCTGGATAAGTTAGTTAATGTCTAATTGATAATTTAGATAACATTTCAGGCCTAAAGAAAGACCTGCAATAGACAGATTTAGCTCTTGCATAATGTCTGTTTAACTAAACAGCAGACTCATAATAAATAATATAAGAAAACATAATTAAAGGTCGACCATATATTACAAAGTGAAGAAGCAGTGGATCATATACCTGAATCTTTAAACATTTAGATAAGATTTTATTTTTAGATAAAGAGAAACAAACTCAATGTATTAAATAGGTCATAGGCCACTGATCAATATACAGAAACTACCAATTCTCCTTCTTACATAAAGATCAATCAAACAGTACGCCTTTGTCAGGCACAAAGTTCAAAATGCCAGGGTTTATTAATGCCTGACAATTATATTTCCAGACCTGCCAACTTATTAAAGAAACATAAATGAGAAAAGGTTTACAATTCTTACTGGTCATGAATATTTAAGTAAATAATCAAGTTGCAATCTCTTTAAAAGAAAGTATTTCAAAACCTAATACTTGTGACAGCTGGCAAACTAAAGAAAGTGAGAGTCATCAATATCTACCTGTATTTGTTTTTTAGTTGTGTTTTAATATACATATAAATTATATGAGGATACACCTACTTTGATTTTGTGGTTTGGTTTTGTTTATGTTTTTCATCTCTGAGATAATTTGAATATAAAGATTTTTAAAATGTCTTTTAATTTGCACCCAGTTATACTATAGAACAATTTTAAGTACGGTAGGCCTACTCATTTGAAACTATAAATTCTATTGTAAAAAGATAGGCCTAAGGTAATACATGTGTATCTAGCAAACTGTTAAACAATCAATCAAAAATTATGATACACATGCATATTCTACTTTTATGGCATAAAGATTGACAGACATGGCACTGCCTTTTCCATATGCAAACACCACTATACACATGGATTTCAGAGTGCTTTTATTGTCTGGTTGTCTGAAGTGACCTACTGCTCATTAAAACTGTATGTTGAGGTCTAAACTGATTCCAAATTTTTACCGAAACTTATTTTTGCATAAAATAGCCAGTGAAGGCAAAACAAAAATTTTTATGAATGAAGTATCGATAAATGGAATGGCATTATCAATGATCCTATTTTTCTGCACCATCTGGGCTGAAGTGGGCCATGAGGGAAAGTATGCCTGGCCAAGGGTGTTTCGAATTCCAACTGTCTTTATGTGCATGCTGAAGAACACACATAGCTTTTTTCTTGCAAGGCCCCCCGGTCCTGCACCACCGGCAAGGGGGAGCGACTGAGGCTTGAAAATGACGAGGAACTTTCTCAGCCAACACCAGGATCAAACCAGCAAGTTCCAGGTTAGTAAGCCATGACCATACTCAACATGCCACAGTAGCCCCCAAAATTCTATACTTGTAATGTATTAAAATATTTTTCAAAAGGCGCGGAATGTATCAAAATGTGGGTTCCATATTTGTTATGATTATTAAAGTTAAGATTTAATGATAGAATGACTTGTTGGTCTGCAATGATCTTTGTTTATTTAGGGTTACTGCTAATATATTTGAATTGGAGTTATTACGAGTCACAACACTCAGGAATGCCAAATTTAGGATTGTCAACGCACCGAGCAGCAGGTCAGGTCAGTTCCGAGCTGTTTCCCCTTTCTGTCCATCATCATAGGTTGCAGTAAACAACCAGACACTAAAATCTTTATAAAATATATGACTATACACACCGGACACGAGAACTGAACAGACAGACTTTGAAGACTGTCTCCTTCGGTGATTTCTCTGTCAAAATAAATTGGTTCATCATTTTGTTGGGAAGAATTGGATGATTTGTCTTTAGATCTGCTTCTGATTGAAGTCATTTCTACATCGCCATTTTCAAGTTCATCTTCATGGACATTACTCTCACCAAAGACATAAACTCTTGCAGATTTGACATTCTGGACCTGTCCTTTGTTGTAACTGACAGCCCTGTCACGATTTTTTGATTTCTTATTCTTCATCGGCGATGACAGGGATGTTTCCACAGTGGTCCCTCGTAAATAATTGCTCATACTCAGAGCGACTGGCATTGATTATTTGGATGGATAGAGTTTGCACGGCTGACAGACTGAACAATATTTTCCATTCTTCGGTCACATATTGTAACCGAAATAACTTATTAAAACTTCCAATAACAATCCACGTCAAACCAAGACAAAATCGGCGAAAAGTTACACATGCGCACCAAGGGGGGTAACTCTCATTAACCTCAACTAAATCCGAAAAATCAACTTTATCTGGTCTTTGGATCAATGCACAAGAACAAGATTTGGTTACAAATGCAAGTTCGTAAGTTCTGTAACCTAACAAATCTGAAAATAATCAGAAGGAATCCAACGTTTAAAAACTGGTCAAATACGAAACTACGGCCGGTGACCCCAATCAGTCAACAATAAACGTACTTCCGGTGCAATATTAACGTCATTCTAAACTTTAGGTTACGTGAGGCTAGTATTTTCATCAACAATAACATAAAAATGGTTTGTGTTCCTTGCTTAGTTATTCCATTCCTCCTATGGTTTTTCAATCGATACGTGAGACCATTTATAGGAAAATTCTGGAAGCCATCTACAGAAAAATTAGAATGTCCCTTTAAAGGGAAATCTCAAGATACAGGTGGCACCGTGGGGGATGAACAGGTAAAATATCTTATAGATCTATATATTTGATTATTTCTATTACATTAACATATGCGCCTACACAGCAGTGGTTTACTTGGAAATACTATTAAATGTAATGTAACTCGTAATGGGTAGCTGACTATGAATAATGAAGGTTATGCTGAATTAGATACGCACATAAATTTAATTAGTCAAGGTCTACATAGAAATAACAACTCTACCTTTTTGCTGTTTCATCAAAAACCTCATCTCATCTGATAGATCAACCCTTTTTTTAGGGGCTGACAAGAAAGAATGTCTGATCTTTCGGAAATGACCCAAAAACGTAGGTTCCATACATGTTGAGGTTCATAAAAGATCACTTGACCGTTGGAATTCCCTCAAACATGTATAGCACACTGCATGTCTTATGCCCTTCTTCATTCAACCCATTTAATTTCATTTCAAATCAGCTACACCTATCCTAAAACTAACTATATTGTACTGTCTGTGTAATACAGGCGTAATACAGGCCTACAATATGCAAGAGCTAAATCTGCCTATTGCAGGTCTTTCTTTAGCCCTGAAATATTATCTAAGTTATTAATTAGACATTAATTAACTTATCCAGACCATAATCAATTCTTGACGTCATCGCTAGCCTGTGATGTATATTGGATTAGGTTCCGTTTTGCTGTTCGGTTTCCATTCATAATTTAATTATGAAATGGATAATCGAGACTGTTTTTTATCATAATGATGATCGAGGCTAGACCGAAAATTCAATCGCTAAAATCTCAGTTCAGTGTGGATCAATTTGACTGAAATTGTCACCAAATTCCCTTTACATTATCTAGTTTTTAACTATTATTAATAGTGAAAACTGCCAGCTCTTTATCTAATCTCCCATAATGTATCTTTAATTAACTGATAAATATAGTAAGGCACTAGAATTTATAAAAACACAAAATCTTTTTATTTTTTTTAAGCTGCATACTAAACCAGAAGAAAATGGTGTACCAAACGGTGTACCAAATGGTCATGCTGTCGCAGCTGGTGGAGAAGACAAGAAAACATTATAGTGCTTTCATTCATACTTAAAACTATTATTGAATGGACGCACTATTACCATTAGCTAGGTTGGTTCAGTCAAGAGTCTAATTTTTCAACTAAATTTTAAAATAACTGGAATTCGTTGAGAAATTTGTCGAATTAGTTGGGATCAATCAGCTGATATTGGACAAATTATGTTTAAACTTCAATCCAGGCAAAAGATTTTTAAACCAAATTCTTTTTTTTAGGCATAAAGTTATTTTATTCAAAATGAAAATAGAATAATTGAAAACAGACATTTTTGATTAATTCCAAACCAATTTAATGTTTAGTTCTTCCGGGTGCCTCTTGAGTCTTTGTGATCGATTCTTTGTTTCTAAATAACTGGAATTCACTGAGAAATTTGTGGAATTAGTTGGGGTTAATCAGCAGGTATTGTATAAATTCTGTTTAGTCTTTAATCCAGGCAAAAATTTTTTTAAACCAAATTCTTTTTAACCATAAAGTTAGTTTATACGAAATAAAAGTAGAATAAATGAAAACAGACATTTTTGATTAATTCCAAATTGATTTAATTTTTAGTTCTTCTGGGTGTTGATAAGCAAGTACATGTTCATAGCCTCTTGAGTCTTTGGGATCGATTCTTTGTTAAAAGAAGTGAAACCAATCATTTTATGTTTTAAAATATTGTTCATTTTCAAGAAATGTGACGCAAAATTTGAACAGTTATTCCTGATGAACTAAAATTTAGATTGATGTGGCCTAATTTACAGTTTGAAACAAATGAATCACAAATCTTATTTATAATATTATTATTATTATATTCCCTTATATTGTAATATTATTGTTTCAAATTTATATAGTTGATATAAATATTTTTTACCTGGTGATGTATATGTTCACTTAAGGAAACAAGTCTATTAACTTAATAATTTACTAAATTGTATGTAATTTTTTATGTATACAGTATATCATTGTTTTAAATATACATGTAAAACTTGTGGGTTTTTTTAATTTGTAAATTATGAAAACTGTGTGTCTGTTATATAATTTGTAAATTATGAAAACTGTGTATCTGTTATATAATACTAGAATAAGTGTATAGACAGAAAAAAAAACGAAAGCACATACTACTGGAAAACAGCAACTAGTATACCGTATTTAAGACTTGATAATTTGGTTGAGAGAATACTCTTTGAAACGTCGCCTTAAAAATACTAGTAGCTGTTTTCTTAAGTATGTGTTTTTGTTTTTAAAGATTATTGTATTGACAAGTGACAAAGACTGTTATTTCCCTTTGTCACCTTTATATATACAACTCATTAATAATTAACATTGTTGATTGTACCTATATATTTCACTTACATTTATCTTATATGTACATTAAGTTTTAGCTTACAAATGACTTGTGAAATCTTGTTGAAACATTGCAGTTTAAAAAACATAGTGATTTTATACATATCAAATATTCTAGTATTATATTTTAAGTCAATCGCTAAATGCCTCTCAAGGATTATTAAAGACATTAACTTCATTAAGTCAGAATAAAATGTTTAGATTTAAAGAAGACAATATTTTTCTTAATATTACTTTAGAATATTACAATGTAAATATGTTTTTCCAATGGCATTTAATAATTCAACTGGAAATTCACAGATCACAATTATATGGAATAAAATTACTGTTTTTTACTGAGCAATGATTCCAATAGGAACTTTCTCGGCCAACACTGGGAGCAATCCCCGACCCCCCTCCCCGAGACCTCCTGGTTAGCAAGCCAGCGTCTTACTCACTGAGCTGGGTTTTTTTTTAATCTGCATCACTCTGTAGTAAACAATAATTGTATTCCATAGAATTATGACCTGGGCCCTGTTTCTCGAAATCTTAACTAAAGATAAAATCCAATTTTAGTAGATACTTCAATTTTGATTGGCTAAGCACAAAAATTGGCTAAGCACAAAAATCAATCTAATATTATCCAATTAAATTACTAAAATTTGGATTTTATTTCAGTTAAAATTTCGTGAAACAGGCCCCAGGTTAAGATGTAAATATGGTTGTATACATACAATTAACATGGATCTGACTATAGTGTAAATTGTTTTTTTTTTTAAAGACATCTGAATGATATGTATTCATATAAAATCTAATTGTTGAAACATGGTCCCACCCTATTGAATAGGATATTGTAATTTGTTCGTGCTTACTATTTTATTTGCAAAAGGTTCCATGCTAATGTAGGATTTTTTTTTTCAACCCCCACAAAAAAGGTATCAAACTAAGATACTGGTGTTAAATTATATTGTGATTGAGTCATCAGTTTTAATGGATCAAAATTATCTATAAATCATTACAAAGTTGAACTTATAAAATATATGTTAATAATATAAAATTTTATCTAAAACTGATTGTTTGTGAATTATTATAATATACCTGGATAAACAAGTACAAGCGTAGTTTGGACCAGGAACCGAGCATTGACCTCATCGCGGCCATCTTGAAATTGTGACATTAATTATATCCAAAATCTGAGTCTATTGATCGATGTGCACTTGTCCAAGGAATAAGCATGCCAAGTTTTATGTCAATTGTACTTGAATTGGTGGATTAACAAGATGTTTAGTGGGTGGGTCCCAGTTTCTTGTCCAAAAAGTCCTGTTTTTCCAGTTTATGTCATAGACCCAATTATTCTAAATATATCACAGATCTTGGACATCAGTTGCCGATTTGCACGTAGGCTGGCCAAAAGATATTGAAAATGCAAATTATCTATTGCTAATGTAGGGGGGTTGTGTGGTAAAGTGGTCTAATGCATGTACTTTAGATCATAAGGTCTGTCAGTGAGTCAAGCAGATTGGTTTTGATCCCATGTGTGTATGCGACAAGGTGTGAGGTCCTCTGTCCAATCTTGTGAGTTTCCTCCCATTGCTAAAGACCCCTAGAAGAAATTTGTACTGTCTCTAGATTAGCCATATATTATAGCAGACCTCTTGGAATCTACATGTACTGCAAGGATCTACTATATATTATAGGAACACCTCTGGGGATTAGCCATATATTATAGGAACACTTCTTGGGATTAACGTTTCCCCTTGTCAGTGGTGCAGGACGGAAGGCCTGACAAGGACAGCTGTTTTGTCATTTGAATGGTATGAAAAATCGAGGTCCTGTGTACACATTGGTGTGCACATAAATGATCTCTTGCCAGTTGGAATTAGATGAATAGTAGGCTGTAGCGCCGCTGTCCCGACAAAATTTCCCACATAGCGCACTGCATGGCAAATGCCCGTATAAGCCCAGTCGGAGTAGAACATAAAACACCATTTCATTTCATATCTTAGGATTAACCATATACAGGTATTATAGGAAGACCTCTTGGGATCCACCATATTATATAGGAACAGTTCACTGTGACACTAAACATTTTAAATAAAACAAATTACATAAATCATATAATAGTTTATTCTTAACAAACAGATCCTGTATATAGAATTTAAATATTACTTTGAATACAATAATCAAAGTTCCGTTCATGATTCATTAATCGTCAACATTTAATTATCATTTTCTATATGAAGTGTTGTTCAACCCACCCACCCAGTTCCGAGAGCTGTTTGTTTGGATACAAGTGTTGAAATTTTGTAACGGTCCCTTATGAAATAAAAATCTTAATTTCATTATACTGAGGTTTGTGAGTGAAAATGTACCATAATTTCAAAATATTCTTCACAACAGGAAAAGAACATTTAGAAAATGTACCATAATTTCAAAATATTCTTCACAACAGGAAAAGAACATTTAGAACACTTTATGAATCAGCCTGCTCGACTGGATGACATTGACATACACAAATAAGGTCATTTTGGGCTTAACACATGGCTCAATTTTATTTCATTGGGAGGAAACTTGAGAACCTGGAGAAAACAGACACAACTCCTTGTCATGTACATGTGCAGGACTGAAACCACACCACATAACTCAATTACAGAGAGAGTGAAATGGGGGTTTAACGTCCACTCGACACAAACTAGGTCATTTCGGGACTAACATATGTTTAAATTTTATTTCAATAATTCACTTGCGCGTAGGGGTCTTTAGCAGTGGGAGGAAACTGGAGGACCCGGAGAAAAAAGAATTATGTTGGACAGGCGACGCCACTCCTTGTCACGTACAACTGGGGATTCAAAACCACGCCAGTTGACTCAATGACAGGTCTTATGATACAGCGCGCATGTGCTAACCATTCGGCCATCCAACCCCCCCCCACACAATTACAGACCTTACAATCTAAGCACACATGTTAAACTATGGAAACTAATTTGACTTTTAACAAGGACACAGGATATAGATGACTCAGTCTTCATGGGGGGGGGGGTATTAATTACCATTTTCATAATGGAGAGACTGTTGAGTTTCTTGAAGTATTCCACAAGAGTTAATACCAGAAAGCAGATAAGCTGCTCGATATTTCGTCCATATTTTCTCTTCGATCTTTTGTTTTTAAAGCCGATTCACCACTCTTTCTGTAGCGTCGTGCTTCTGACCTTTCGTGTTTCTTCTTTAATTGATGTTTGAGTTTGCATTTTATAACTTCCGGGTCGATAATCGTTGACGTTGTACTGATACTATCAGAACTACGTGGAAACCGATTTAAATGTGTATTATGATGATCCATACTCTCTTCAGTACGGAAAGGTCTGTAGGCACGATTTGACTCCGCGATATCGTACAAGTTATCGTCATCGGAACCACAATTAGCACCTGTGGTTGAGACAACCGATTCTGTATCATCATTATCGTTTTCCGGAATTGTATCAGCAATATTTTTAGTATCACTTGCCGTCACCTGACCTGATTCAACGGATTCACTACTTAAATTACATTTAGAAATATCTTCAGGAAGTTTTTCTTCAATCGTCTTTGACTGTTCTGCACACACATCCAAATATTTCTCTATTTTATCGTGATCTTCTTCTAGTTTCTTAGCCATTAATTTATAGTCTGTATCTGGACCAAAATCTCTTGCATCTTCAAATTCATCATCATCATCATCATCATCGTCGTCATCATCTTCATCATCATGGTCATTTTCCTTTCTAGGGTTACCAGGACCTCCCAATATCCCTAAAGCATCTGCTGCCTAAAAATACAAACATGAAAGGTATTGATTCATACATCTATTGAAATAAAAATAAATGAAGTTTAATTTCAACTCGACACAAACTAGGTCATTTCAGAACTAACATAGAGTACTTTTTTTTTATTTAACATTTCCCTTGTGAGTAGGGGTCCATAGCAGAGGGGTGAAACTGGTGGACCTGAAGAAAACCCATGAGGTTAGGCCGGCCACTTTATTCCTAGTCATGTAAAAGCCAAAGATCAAAACCCCACCACTTTACTTAATGACAGACTTTATGATTTTTAAGTGTAAGCATTAGACTCAAAAAGCTCTCCTGTCCTGGACCATACACTGGAATCATCCCTCTAATTAAAATTAACGCCTTACTTTCATTTTTTTTGAGACCAACAAGATTTACAACCAGTTTTTTTATCATAAATTTTGGGCGGATAAAATATTCAAGTTGGCGGAAAAAAATATCAATTTTTTATATAAAAATTTAGATCCATTTTGGCAGAAATAAAATGAAAGCCAGTGTGAGCTCTGACAACCACAATGAAATAAAGATTAGAAATCACTGTTCCACGGATTTAGCTCTTACATAATGCATCTTTAAGTTTAGTGAATATTAATACATATATATGTACCTGATCAAATTCATCTGCTAATTCTTTAGTAAATCCACTGGCTGCTACAGCTACATCTATATTATCTTCTCGACTATAAAACAAAACATAATCATAATTTTCTTAAAATAAATTTACAATCTTCTTGACTATACAATAAAACATAAACATAGTAAAGTTTCAATTCAAACAAATACTAAATTTACCCAAAATAAATTAATTTATTATCATCTGTTGAAAAATTTCAATTCAAACCAATAACAGCAATGCCCACACGCAAATTAGTAAAGGATACAAGACTATGCAGTGGTGCAAGTTAAAAAAAAGCAATAACTTCATCTCACATCTTGTCTTTAGAAATAAATTGTACTGGAGGTTAACATCCTACTTTTCAGCACCCAACCAATCTGATTAAAACACAGATCCTATTTCGTTTCATTTTTTTATAGTTCAAAATTTCGTTTTACTTGTCTTTACTACACTAGGATCTGGAAGAGGATTAGCCAATGAAACGATCTGTTAGAGCGAGTTCTTGGCCTTTTGATGCACAGAATTGTGGGTAACCCACTAGAAACGTCAACGCTGATTGATTAATCAATGTCTGACGTCATAGGGTCAAAAACTGCTCGTTTGACCCCCGACGTGAACTCCCACTATAACTGTTCAGATCTTCATGTACTGTAGGTCATCAAAAGTATAAAAAAACGAAACGAAATATAGATCTGTATTTTAATCAGATTGGCACCCATCCAGGTTACCTGTACACATCATGCAATGTTCTATGAGGGAAACAGATAGTAGCATTAACACCGTCGGTTTTTCAAACTCAAACTGCCGAGGGATCTTTTTGATAAATTTTCCTTGACAAGTGAGAATCAGACTTGAATAGATTCTTCTTGGCTCTCCTCAGTATTCGAACCCTGTACAGTTCCCTAATGTAACAGGCAATGTCCCTGCCCCCTTCCCCTACAACTACTGTTCCCTCCCTCCCAACCACTGTTCACATGCTTCCTCCACAGTCCATGCCCTCTCACAATTGAACATACCTGATATCAGAGAATTTAGGATATAATTCACTTTCATAATGATATCTTTTAGAGAAAAAATTTCTCACACACTGAACATCTCGATCAAAGTACCTGTAATACACAAATAAATTACCACATAATCAACTACTAGGTCCTCTTGAGATTAATATTATACTACTGATTTCCTTAAAGAGAGAGAGAGAGGCATGGGATTTAACATCCACTCGACACAAACTAGGTCATTTCGGGACTAACATTTGGATTAAATTTTATTTCAATAATTCGCTTGCGTGTAGGGGTCTTTAGCAGTGGGAGGAAACCGGAGGACCCAGAGAAAACCCACGAGGTTGGACAGGCGACCCTACTCCTTGTCATGTACAACCGGGGAATCGAAACCAATTTTCTTTAAGAGAACAAGGAATCTTTTCCGAGAAATACCCAATGGAATGGATGCGGGTTGAAAGTCTCGTCAACACAATACTTACATCATTTTGAGACTAACATATGATCTTTTTGAGATCAACATATGACCTTTCTGAGACAAACATGATTTTTTGAGACTAACACATGAACTTTTTGAGACTAACATACAGTAAGTTTCATTATGGTTATGTGTGCAATGCGAGCCGGAAACTTTTGCAAAGACAGCTGCTTTCTGTCTCCTCTTCTTTGATTTCCAACTGCCAAGGTTTTTTAATGGCCATGCCTCTGACTAAGCATAATTTTTTTGGCGGCTCCACATGTAGACCCTTTCCCTGACAGGATACAAATCTGTGACATTCTTGTCGACATAAAAAAAATTATTTTCTGACGGGATACAACATGCCATACACATATTTTATAGTACCACGAAAAACACTCCTTATATTTTACGTGTGTTGTGAGTGAGGGTGGGGGGAAGTGGCAAGTTTAAAGATCAGTCTGGTCAGTCCACACTCTAGAATCGCAACTCCCCCACCCCTCCTACGAAATTCTAAAATATTTTCAACATCTCACCATTCAGCATTTAAATGTGACGTAGATATCATCTGTGGAAAATCAATCATAGTAACTTTATCGTTATCGTCTACCATTAAATTAAACTCATTAAAATCACCATGTATTAGTCCACAATTGCCAAGTCTTACTATCAGTTCCATACATTCATTATATACAGTTCCTGGATCTTCTAAATGACGGACTTGACACCTGGAAATGAAATAAAATGGGCTTTAGCATCCTTCTTTTTCTGAACCGACCCACCTAATGAATTTAGTCAAGACATTGATGTAATAAATCCCATTCAATCATCAATCAGAAACAAAGTTATCCTGTTCCAAACCATACATAAATCAAATAACTAATCTTGTTTTGGCTTGAACAGAAAATGCTCATCTTCGAACTCAATCAAGGCATTCACCTAATAAACAACTGCACCAAGTTTGAACATCCTACCCCAATTAGGAGAGTTATTGTGTACCAATTTCTCCAAAACGAGGAAGTCAAGGGCAAAAAGCCATCTTTCCAAAATGCATACAAGTCCAAAAATTATTAAAATCAACCCTAACGTAGGTTCACCATTTTTAACAAGTCAGTTAATTACTGGAGGTTAAATAATTTCTGTCAATGAACATTGAGTTCAATGATCTGATTAATTTAACTAAATACAAAAAGATAAATTTGTTTTTTTCTTACATTGGATAACCACTAATAAGTTCCATAGCAACAGCATGACGACAATAATCTATGGGTTTAGGAACTGGGAATTTTCTTTCATACAGAGCCTGAAAATCAGAAAAACTATTTAAGCATAATTATTATCATTATATAACTCTGCCATCAGTAAATTCAGCTCAAAATCATGTTACAAACATAATTGGATTGAATTTGATTGAAAAGAGGTCTATCAAAAGATTTTACCAACTACTATGGGTGGTGCTGACTTGCATAGGAAGCCAAATGTTTTTTGTAAATATTGAAAGAAACCATATTTAGTTTGAGAATCTTTGTACAATTCAACTTCCACAATATTTTAGTTTAACAATCAACATCCTTCAAATGACAATCAGACTTTAATTGTGTGGAGTAGTAGAAATATCTTCTTTCTTTAACGCCTGTGGGGGGTTGGATGGCCGAATGGTTAGAGTGTGCGCGTTGTATCATAAGGATGTCACTGAGTCAACTGGCGTGGTTTTGATTCCCCAGTTGTACCTGACAAGGAGTAGGGTTGCCTGTCCAACCTCCAGTTTCCTCCCACTGCCAAAGACACCTACGCATAAGCGAATTATTGAAATAAAATTGAAACACGTGTTAGTCCCGAAATGATATAGTTTGTGTCGAGTGGATGATAAACCCCATTTCTAACTATCTATCTCTTTAACGTCTGCTTCCACAAAAGTGATATCGCAGACATGACACTGGAAAGCCAAAGCTTAATCCTGTACATTAGAATATGATTTTGTAATCTTTCTATTTGCGGCCTCTAGCCATGGATTCGTTTTGAAGGAAGTTCTTCCCTTTCTTAATAAAAAAACCCATAGTATTTGGTAGTGGATCATTAGAGACTTACCTTCATGTAAGCAAATTCCTTCATGGCTGCTATTCTAGACAGATACAACCAGGAGATATTTTTTCTATGTTGATGATAATCACGTTTATTTTTTAACTGACGAAATGAAGTTCTGCCAAGTCTACAAAACATAATCAAATAAATTGTATATTTATAAATTGGGTTGAACTTGTGTTCTATTGTCAGCCTCAAATTAAACTAAAAGTAGTAATTGGGAGTCGGGTTGGCACACTGACTATCATGCTGGCTCGCATACCTAGGAATCATGAAAGACGAGTATATGTCATGTAGTGTCTTATTTGGGAATTTTTTTCTCAGCCAACACCAGGATAAAACCTAGGGGCTGTCCTTAATCACCAAGCCACCCTCATAAAAAATGAGAATTACAGATTGTGCTATGATTTTGACATAATACCATCAATGTTAACAGCTGAAGACATTTTCGAAACTTCGAGTTCAAATAGTTTCTACATCCTGGCTAACTCAAGCTGTTAAATATTGTCGTGCCAAAACAAACCAAAGTAAATTATGAACTATAAGTATAATCATTACCTGTGTAATTTCAGCGCCATCTGTTTTTCTTCAGCATCAGCAATAATATAAATATCTGTAAAAAATAGTTGCAACTTTTCAATTTGTTGTCAAATTTCAAACTAGGGACATATTTTGAGGACTTAAGAAAATATTTGGTAGTCTCATGTTCCTTTGCTAGAATATGTTTGTTATCTCCCTTTACCTCAGGCATGTGAACAATAATGTTGTCCAATCAGAGGTTGTGACACACACACACACACATAAAGTTACAGTCATTACAGCAATTTCTATGTCAAAAAACTCACGGAAAACCAAATAACAGCCATTTTACGAGCATAATGATGACCTTGATAAGATATGCAGAGCTAAAGCAAGATCATGCCTTCCATTGAAGATGCAGTAGTCCAGGACCAGGATGTAAAGGAATTAAATCCCAGTGAGGACAGAAAATAACCTTTAGAGTTTTTAAACCTTGGTTCTCACCTTTCAAGGGCAATGTTTGTAATGTGGGACTGACAAGGACAATGTGACTAGTGAGTCAGATAGGACAGAAAACCCCGAGACCTATCCATGAACACATAGACGTACATGTAAAAGAGAGAGAGAAAAATAGGGGGTGAAGGCCACTCGACATAAACTAGGTCATTTCAAGACTACATATGGTTCAACTTTATTTCACTAATTCGCTTGCGCGTAGGGGTCTTTAGCAGTGGGACGAAACTGAAAAACCCGGAGAAAACCCACGAGGTTGGACAGGCGAACCTACCCCTTGTCACGTACAAGCAGGGAATCGAAACCATGCCACTTGTCTCAATGACAGACCTTCTGATCCAACGTGCACACGTTAACCATTAGACCACCCAATTCCCCTACATATAAAAGACCCCTTGAAGTTGGAAACTCAAAAAATACCACTATCTAGTCAAAATTCTCCCACCATGCATTGATTTCAAATGCATAGACAGAAATAAAAACTACTATTTGTCTCAAAATAAACAAAGTATTGTGTTGATCAGACATGAAACCCTATTATTTCGACAAGCACTGTTCATGCAATTATATACTGATCTCAATAACCAATACCTTACCTGATTCTTTGCCAACACCAATCTGGTTTCCAATAGAAAATACAGCATCTCTGTTAGACAGAGCTTTTAATGCTAAATAATCATAACCAGAATTGGTTAATCTGTATCCGGCGACTGAAATTATATTCACATAAGTTTTAAAAAGAACTTTAACTGAAACTCTCATAGGTCTCATAATTACTTACATCTTAAATTTCATTTTTTTTTAACTAAAACAAAATAAATTAATGAATATTCATTATTGTCCTGCCGAAAATGGAAAAAAAATATTAATAGAGAATATACATCATTTGTTCTTCTGTTCTTCATCGTCTTATTAAATAAATAGCCATCCCAAGAGAGAGAGAGAGAAATGGGGTTTAATGTCCACTCGACACAAACTAGGTCATTTCGGGACTAACACATGGTTCAATTCCATTTCAATAATTCGCTTGCGCATAGGGGTCTTTAGCAGTGGGAGGAAACCAGAGGACCCGGAGAAAACCCACAAGGTTGGACAGGCGACCCTACATGTACTCCTTGTCACGTACAACCGGGGAATCGAATCCCCGCCAGTTGACTCAATGACAGACCGTATGTTACAGCACGCGAGTGCTAACCATTTGGCCATCCAACCCCCCGCCATCCCAAGGAGATGATAAAACCTCACACTCAATAGGAAAAGAAGGGCGGAAGAGGCCCTTTAACAGTGCAGGCAAGTTTGGTTCTCAGTGATGCATCCGAGGAAAAAGAGGAACCATTCCTTGTAGATAAATCATAGTAAAAAAATCCCCGGTAACAGACTTGACAAGACTGGATAAATCCTTTTTATATACACACAGACTTTTAAATAAAAAGCCACTTAAATCACTTGAAAGATGGATTTTTTTTTAATTTTAAAAGTTTGAAAGATTTTGAACAGCACAACCAAGTACTTTTGGTTTATAAGTAAGTCTTTTTCCTGAAGAAATAAGATGGAAAGTTTTTACAGGTGTTCCCGACAAACAGAAAATCAAATTGGTGTGGATTTACTTTGGTCTGTCTGAAAGAAATCTGTAACTCATAAGGGTTATAGACATAACGGCCCTAAACCATAACGGCCAAAATAATTAGTCATAACGGCCAAAATATTTGGTCATAACAGCCAAAAAATTTAGTCGTAACAGCCATACAAATTGGTCATAACGGCCAAAAAAAGCTATACCATTTTCATACATGTACAAAATTTTTGGGCCGTTATGACCAAATTGTTTGGCCGTTATGACTAAAGTAGGGCCGTTTTGACCAAACCTGTTTTTGGCTGTTATAGCATAGGGCGTTTTGACCACATCCCATTCATAATACCCTTTTAAATGCATCAATAATTATTCTTTATTCAACATGTAAGCTTAAACAGCCTTATAGATAAGATAAGATTTTATTGTATTATAACACCCATTGCAGGCCGCATACAATTCATATACATGTTCATAACATACACATATACACATATACAAACATGTACATTTTCAATATTATATTTCCTTTTAATACTTACATTTTCTGCCATTTTTCTCATAAGCAACAAGTCTGTGTTTAGAAATTTCATTTAATATTTTATGACAACCTCCACTGTGAAGATGAGCAATGGCTGCTATCAATGGAATCGGTACGATCTCATGATTCTTCATTCCCATTTCAACCTGATAAATATATTATATATATATTATATACCTGGTACAGGTACAAAAATAAAATGATATACCCTACCAATACAATACACATTGGAATGAGAGAGAGAGAGAGAAATGGGGTTTAACGTCCACTCGACACAAACTAGGTCATTTCGGGACTAACACATGGTTCAATTTTATTTCAATCATTCGCTTACGCGTAGGGTTCTTTAGCAGTGGGAGAAAACCGGAGGACACAGAGAAAACCCACGAGGTTGGACAGGCGACCCTACTCCTGCAGTCCTTGTCACGTACAACCGGGGAATCGAAACCCCGCCAGTTGACTCAATGACAGACCGTATGAATCACAGCGCGCACGTGCTAACCACCGGCCATCCAACCCCCCTCAGGGAGTAAGATTTTGACTCTGACTTTAAAAGCTGCCGGTATTTTGCCGAGAAAGTTCCTCTAGATTGTGCTAGACGGAGGGTCCGGCAAGGAATATCGTCTAGTCAATCGGATGGCACAAAAAATCATGTTGATGTTCCTCTGCTGTTATCGACATCGTTACTTACGGCTATTAAAACTCTAAAATCTTCCTTCGATAAGTATCGAAGCATCGTGGCATTAAGCTTCCCCATCTTGGTAGAGTTCTGTTCAAATAAATAAATACTAAACCATCAGATAATCAAAAAAATTAAAACATCTTATTTCAAGAATTTCTGAATTTCTTTACAAAACAACACATGTTCCGGAAGTACGAAATATATTTTTCGCCTCGATTGGTCAGCTTTTATTAATCTTAATCTTTAGAATGCTTTAATGACAATCAAGACTATATCAAAATTGCAGGGGAGGTAACTACAATTCATCGTAATGATACAGACCAACGCATTCATTCGGGGTTCTAATTATGAAGAACCGAAATAAAAAAAAGGACAACCAAGTGCAATAACAGCTATTCCACAATTTATATTGCAGAATGGTGGTATAGCATGTTTTTACATTCTAAGAAATTAGATTAAAGTATGTCACGCAAATGCCATATATCTATTTTTTTGTGGACCTTATATTACATTATTTTCCAGCTCGTGAAAGGTCATATTTTGATGGAAATGATACTCTTATCACCATGCTTAATTACCGAGCACGCATTTATGGATAGCTAACAGGGAAGTGATAGATTTATGTGCGAGTGCAGTGAAGCGTGGTAGAAGATGATATTTTTGGACACAGCAGTGTTAACCTAGAAAAAAGTGAGGGGCCATGGGGTGTGGTCGAGCCTTGAGGTACTTTCCGTAGAAGGCGACCGTCGCTGCCGCGGGGACAGTGTATTTGGCTTCTCCCCACAGAAAACTCAATAGACAGAAATGTTATTTATATTCCTAGTGTATTCTCGAGGAAACATTCCGTTTTCTGACAGGTGCACGGGACCACCTACTTAAAAATCTCAAAGCTCATCGGAAAATTTCCACTTTGTTTCACGATATTTGGGAAATGGGTCTTCATTATTTTTAAGACGCCTGTTGCCTTTTGGGGCAACCACGGTTTGTCATATCTCCATATTCAATTCTGAAAAATATGTGACAGTCCACACCCTACCCCTGGTCAAGATTCCATTCTGAAAAATATGTGACAGTCCACACCCTACCCCTGGTCAATACGCAGATGATACCAAATTGCGTTACTAAATCCAGAAAATGCAAAGAAAATTGAAAAACTTATGAATAATTTCCTTTGGAGTAATGGTGTGGATAAAGTGGAAGAACTAAAGTACAAAAAAAAAACGTATATAGATATAGAAGGTGGCTTAAACCTTACGGAAAGAATTTTTACCATTGCGCCAAAACTAATCCATAAAGGAGAGTCAAACCCCTGGTTTAAATCCTTTGATTGCCTCTTGAAGAAAGTAACATACAATATATTTGCAGTTGGATCAGAATGGCTCGGGTTAATAAAATTATACCCACTTGATAGACCCATGTCTATGTGTGTACCATGACTTTATGTATGTTATTATGTTTGTAAATGATTGAAGATGATAAAAAAGAAAAACTTTAGCCGCCTATGGGCTTGGTGTGTAAGTTGACTGTGAAATATCATTGCGTCATTTTAACGCAATATGAATCACCTGCGAATTAAAACATTGTAAAAGATGAATCTCTAATATGAATACCAGTTCAGAAATGGTTGTTTTTCTCTCTCAGAATTTATAAAGATACATGTATGTTGAATTGTGAATTGAGATTTATCGATCTATGAACTATAACACATACCTGTTTTTCCATAAGTATGTGTTATAGTTTATTGCTCTATCCAGTTACAAAATGCTTCTCAAAGATTATTATCGATCTATGCGGCTTGCTATATAATAAGCCAGCCGCCATTTGTTTGTGGGCGAACAGAATTGATAGACACATATTTTTATTTCAACTCATCTAAGCCGGGATGTTATCTAGCGTTGGTATTTTGATTTTGTTTTAAAAGTTAAAACATCTATCTGAGTACATACATATTAGCGTTGATTAAACCGTGATAGTTTTGATATATTAGCTAAAAATGACCGTTTGACCCAGTCAGTGATAATTGACCAATGGACGGCTGGTACGTGCATGTCCTTTTACTTCTCTTGCATAATCTTAGCAAAGAAAACACATTCCACTCCAGGGCCGTTTCTCGAAATCTTTACTAAAGATGAAATCCAAGTTTTAGTAGATACTTCAATTTTGATTGGCTAAGCCCTAAAATCAATCTAATATTATCCAATCAAATTACTAAAATTTGGATTTTATCTCCGTTAAAATTTCATGAAAGAGCCCCCAGGGCATTATCTTTAGTAGTGTAAGCAGCGGACCAATATCGATTCAACTTTATAGCACCCATAAATACATATTACGAACGCGGAAAGTAAGATTTTTGGACATAACAGATTAATTTAAAAATTAAGAACACTACAGATTTTTAACAGAAGCTGGACTTATGATGCTCTCTAATTGACAAGACACTTGGGTTCATATTTGAGAAGATTGACCAAGAAGCACACTTAGGTTCTATCTTCACTCAATCTCAATTCATCCCGATCTTTGGTGACTTTCTGCTCCTGGCAGCAGACGCTTAGGTCTCATCACGGGTCATTGCAGGGTACGGGTATATGCTACACCATTTGTAAACGACGTAGGCCTAATTGTTGCTTCCGAGAGAAAGGATCTGGAACTTTCTGCCAACTCTGGTCTCCACCAACTCCTGATGTTGACGCCTTTCCAGGAGAATCTACTCTAGGCGAAACTAGACAAGATAATTGACATCATAATCAAGGAATATCTGCTATAGATGTTATTTCCTCCCAATGCCAAAGACCCCTACGCGCAAGCGAATTGTTGAAATAAAATGAAACCATATGTTAGTCCCCAAATGACATAGTTTGTGCCGAGTGGACGTTAAACACCATTTCTCTCAAGAGTGCACTGCAATTTCAGCACGATATTTGTTTGGTGGGAGGATAATGTAAAATCTTCATACAACGCCAGTGTTGAGATGTAGACGATGTTATGTTCCACAGAGGTCACAAATTAAACTAAAATTAGTATACAAGTCGACTTCCGGTTAATCAACGAATCGCACCAAGCTTGTCCCTCTACTAAACGAAACAACACATCAACCCAATCGCAACATTTCAACATCTTAAAAACCGACCACTCACCGCCGGCGGAGTAACACAATTTTATTTAAACAATATTTTATTCATCTAAATTTACAAAATTTATATAATAAATACAGAATACGATAACAAGCGTTATCAGCTTATATAAAATCGCTTCCACAGATGGATTTCGATGCGAGTTTAAGACATTTGATTTATCATTTTCCATTCGCGGTGTCTTTAAACCCACTTACTTAGTTCCGCGAGTAAATTCGTTTGATCACTGGTGTTGAAATTTCGCTAGGTCCCTGGTAAATCCTTCGCTTTAGTGAAAGAAACAAAATAACCGACACTACTGCGTGTGTGCCCCTTTAAAGAATTAAGTTGTGCCTAGGTAACAACGAATAAATTTGTTACGGATTAATATTCAAAAAGTAAGAATCCTTTCAGTGAGTGGAACTCGCCATAGTAAAGGCAAAACACGAAGCGAGCGTGGGTGTGCATTTGCTAAAAATTACACAACACTTTCATGTGCTCTGACTATGGGAACACATATTAAAGGCTCAATACCACTCTTGTAACTAAATAATATGTCCCAATCTTTATTCTGGTCAACAAATTGTACTATTTTACAATATTCCAATTGATTGATGATACAAATTTCATCTTAACACACCTAATTTAAAAAATTGGAAAATTCAACTAAATGATTTGAAAAGCATAACGTAAAGCTTTTCAAATGTGACTTGGATTTAAAAATATTTTCGAACCCTCTGGACAAGTAATATATGATTTAATGGATAATTTACACAACAGGTAGGATACTTAAACATCTAATACTTAGAATAAGGCTATTATTTATTTTCTGGAGCTGTCAAGGAAGCAAGAGTGTTATTGTCCCTTTAAGGCCGTCAGAAGCACATGTGAGATTTTTTAAATCTGTAACTGGGTCGTTTGTAGTCTGATCCAAGATTCTGTCAAAAAAAAAAAAAAAAAAATAATAAAAAATTATATCGTACGTGTATATTAACACAACATTTCAATAAACCCCTTGCGCGAGTCTTTCGCACTTGGAAAAAAACACGAAACTCCGAAAAAGCCAACCAGGTGAGACTCAGTGCCTAGTTTTTTTTCAAACAAAAAGGTAGACAATCCATATCAATTGTTTTGAACGCTGGACACGTTTCTTAGGTTCACGATCTTGTCTTGTAAGAAGCTATGGTATAACTTACACCGATTTGACTTCAACTGAAACGTGATTACTTGCATGATTTGTTGGTTAGTCATTACAAGCCATATACAACGGAAGAAATTGACGATTAATTAAAAATCCCCCATTTTGGACATTATTCTCGTGGCCATTTTAGATTTCGATATTAAACTTTTGAGATCAGAAATCAACCAAATGACATCTAAAACTATGTGAAAGGCATGTTACAAGTCGTATCCAATAGGGAAAAATAACGATTAATTTAAAATCTGCCATTTTGGATTCTATTTGGACAGGCATTTTGAATATCTACCATGTTAGATTTTCAAAATTTATTTTTAAATCCAGAGACATTGAAAACCTTATAAAAAATAGTAAAAGTCATAGGCCTATCTTACGAGATAGTGACTTGATATGTACCGGGAAAATGCCATTGTATTACCAAATTTAGCCGCCATTTTGAAAAAATGGCCGTTACGATGTGAAAAATAAATTTTTTAAAATTGGTTTGGTCAAATTTGTTATTTTCGGAACATTTTGCCTCTATCACAACTTTGTATTGTAAGGCTTGAATAAGAATCTATTATTGCTCCACCACTGAAACGAACTAGTTGAAGATATCACTTTCAGAAATTTCCTTGAGACCGCCATATTGAATTATGTTAATTATGTCATTTCGCCTTAATATAAGTTTGATTGAACGAAACTGCATTGGTTTCTGTTGCAATTTGTTTGAGATCACTCCACTTTTGAGACTAACTTGCCCCGCCTATATGTACGCTCTAGAATCCAGAGACGCCATCGCTATCAAAAAAATTATATAAGCTCTAGATTCCAGAGCGTAAATGTATAGACGGTAAACTTTGTACAATTTGGCAATATGGCATTAACTTTGTGGTCCAAATACAAATATACCTATTCACGATGATTTCATGGTCTTCGATGGTGCTAAATTTAAGTCAATTTTTTACCTTACCCCAGAATTTGGGCCACCCATGACGCCACATTAAAAGACATAAACACAAATTACAAAAAAAGAAGTTCAACTGTAAAATAAAAAAGTGGCGTTTCATCTTGTATCCCAGTCCCGACAGTAGACGATGAGTCGCGACCCGTGAGAAAGAACTCCTTTCGGCCCAATACTTTTTCATATGTTTACACGAGTCTCGCATCTTAACTAGACAACACCAGATATCTTTGGTACAGAAATGAAGAAATTATAGAATATCTATTCATGGACACGAACTCTACCAAACTGAATGGTATAAATATAACAGGACTTCCCCATCAAAATATACAAATTAATAAGGGCGCCATTAGGACACAACAACAATAGAAATTTTAAAAGGTATGTTATTGTGCGTTCAATTTTATTGTCAACTTTTTGGGTATTTCCAACGTCAATTTTGCTTTTATTTTGGAAGAAACACAAACAATTGATGCCTAGAAAACCGCTGTAGCAGGTATAAAGTAGTATGGTGTCTGAGACTACGATTTTACCCAAAGTTTATTGGGCCCGGAAACGACCCCTCCATTCTCAGAAAATAGAAGCTACTCCGATTCCAATTCAAGTAACCAGTTGACGTGAAAGTAACTTGTTCAGAAATGAAATGAAACGAAATGGAGTTTACCAAACTACTGTTCCGAACCAAACTTTGCCTGTCAAGGGTTCTTTTACGTGCACACCAACATCCACACTCGACCTTAGGTCCACCCAAGGCGTCCCATATATATTATAAGTCACGTACGCACACAGCTTGGATCGAAAACTCGACCGCAAACCATAGGTAACCGGCCAGCTAGAGTTCGAGGCGCGTCACCCTTGACAACAGGCCACCCCACCCCATTAAAAAATTCCCGGATTTTACCTCTGAGTCGTGCTTTATCTGATGCACAACATTCATTTACATATTAAAGTTAGGATGACTGACAAGTATTATTTGGTCATATCTGTATATATACTGTGTACTTATTTTACCGTGCGACTTATTTTACCGTGCTACTTTTCGGCACCGAATGGGCTAATGAAGACGAGCGTACGCCATAGAGTGCGCTACGGAATTCTCGTACATCGAATTCCAACTGTCAAGGATTCTTTTACGTGCATGCCAACGTGTACACGGGATCCCGGTTTTCGTCCCATCCGAACGACCAGGCACTGCCCTTGCCAGGCAATCCGTTCTGTAGCCATGGACAATGAGAAAGCAATCTGGAAAACCCCGGGGAACAGCGAGATCGAATCCCGAACACCCTGGTTAGTGAGCCAGTGCCTTACTTACTGAGCCTGTTAAATATTTGTCTAATAATAATAGCTGAGCCTGTCGTATGTTTCATCTATGATCTCTATAATAAAAATCCTTTTCGTTCCCAGATCAGATGGTTTGCCGGGTCCTGTTTTCCCCCAGCTTCTAAATGGTTAACGCGTGCGCGTTGGATCAGAAAGTCTGTCGTTGAGTCAAGTGGCGTGGTTTCAAACTCGTGGCTTTTCTTCGGGTCTTCCAGTTTCCTATACTTCTGCTATAAACCTTTACGCACAAGCGAATTATTGAAATAAAACTGAACACGTATTAGTCCCGAAATGACTAAATTTGTGTCCAGTAGACGTTAAATCTCTCTCTTGAGGTGCATGCTTGAACTGAGAGTGGCGTAAGGAATCCATCATTTCCACAGTTTCTGGTTTGATATTATGCGATCTGACCATCTTATACGCGGAACCCTGATGAATACCCGTAGCTTGTGTTTAATAAAGTTATTCGAGCTGCACAACCGAAGGTCCGTAGTGGGCTAAAAGTTGTAGATTCTCAATCGGTGGTGACGTTTGTCGAATCCATTACAAATCATTACTGTGACATTTGAAGAAACGTTTTTGGTTTATTGTATTGTTTTAGGAGAAACCATGGCAACAACAGATGATAATCATCACCATCCATCTTTAAAAAGACAGCTAGGATTGGTACAAGCAACCTGTTATATAACTGGTGGTATCATCGGAGTAGGGATATTTATAGGACCAGCAACTGTTTTAAAGGGAGCTGGGTCATCAGTAGGCGTGTCCCTATCAATATGGGTTGTATCTGGTTTTCTTATGTATTGCGGTGCCATGTGCTATGCCGAATACGGTATGTATTTCTTTTACATTTATACACAATTAACTTTTTAGCTGATAAAATCGTCATTTTGATTTATTCACACACCATAATCCGATTAAAGTTTTTCCGGTTGCTCTTTCTCGATGACAAAATCAGGACTTTTTAGCAAATTGACAGGTAGACCACTTCGTCCACCAGTCCACCCAAATCATCCAACACTGGTTAGCCGAAATTGTTGGATTATTCAGTATTCCACTAAGAAAACAATTTAACAAAATGTACGTCATAACCACCCCAGAAAATATAACCGACTTCAGCGAAATCATGAATGAAATCGTCACAAATGGAGAGAACCCGAGCGATTCTTAGAAACGAAATCGAAAACATTTCATAGAGAGTTGGCTCTCTATTCTGTTTACGATCTCTATGATTATAGGATCGGAAGGGTGCGACATGCCCCTATAGGTCCACTGTTCATCCAAGAACCACTACTCTAAATCCCTTTTAAAAAAGCGTTAGACATAATCAACGTTAATACATTTGGTTTAATTCCAGGATCCAGGGTACCTAAATCTGGAGGAACTTACACTTACATAAGGGAAGCCTTTGGTGAATTAGCAGGATTTGTGTTTTTGTGGACTCAGTTGGTTTTAGTACGTCCCCTAGCCGTATTGTTGAGCTGCTTGGCTTCTGCTGAGTATATCATCAGACCTGTTTTTCTCACGTGTCCTGATATGGCACCAACAGATGCCAAGATACTTCTAGGAATATCTATTTTAGGTGAATAGTTTACTAACTTAGCTCGAGGTCTCGTTTCTGAGATTCATTTTCACACACCAACAGAATAGTCCCCATAACGATATCGAAACGAATAAAATAATTATTAATCTATCATGTCCATAACAATGATTTTGAAAGAGGAGGCTTGGGTTTCAAATAAAGATTGTAACGCCGAGTGGGTGTATGCGATGACGCTTTTCGAGGACTGATGTATCAGCCCCAAATCCTCCCCGACTGTTCCTAGGTCTTAAAAGCTTCTTTAGTTCCGAAATTAACTGGTTTGTGTCGAGTTGACGTCCCCCCCCCCCACTCTCTCTCTCTCTCTCTAAAGCTTCTTAAATCAAAACACAATCCATAAGATTTAGTGACGATTTATCAAAACTTAAAAAAACAAATCATTTACCAGAAAAGCTTTTTTGTATTTTGGGCTTCCCATTGTTTCGAGGGGTGGTCTGTCATTGACTGAAGTGGCTTTCATCACTTCGTGGGTTTTCAAGGATATATTGAAATAAAACTAGGCCGCGTGTTAGTCCCGAAACAACCTTTAGTATCAATCGTTGTTACAGTTGCGGTATCGCCCCTTGTTCCGGTTAGTGGACGGTAAACCCCATTTTATATCTATATCACCCTTTGTTTCAGTTATAACTGTAGCTGTTAATTGTTACAGCGTCAACTACGGTGCTTATTATCAGACATTAGCAACTTTCTGTAAAGTAGCAGCATTAGTCGTCATTATCATTGGCGGGTTCGTACATTTAGCTAAAGGTTAGAATTATACCTTCTACATAAAACAATCAGCATGCGAGAGAGTTACTAGCCCGGTCTTCTGAAATCCAATCCATTCCATTGGACTATTTTGTAGTGACTGCATGATTTCGTCTACAAGGCAAGTTTTGTTTCATTATAGCCATTCGGTGTATGCAATGCGCATGCACTTTCCTGTTTTACAAACGAAAGGATAATGCAGATGAAATGTCACAACCTTTAACACTGGTCATTAGAAGTTGCTTCTGTGCCATGTCATAAGGGACTTGATGATAGCCATGGAACTAATCTTAATCAATGGAAGTCGGGGTGTATTTGGAGTTAACATTACAAATGAAAGTATATTTTTATTCGAGATAATTTTATTTTGATAATTGCAGGTAATACAGACCATTTCGATGAACCGTTTAAAACCAACTCTGAGATATCTCCTACGAGCGTCAGTTTAACTATATATGTTTGTTTCTATGCTTACATGGGATGGTAAATATATAATATAAAATGTTTCTTTGCTTCTATTCCTACACCGTCCTCATTACCCCCCCCCACACACACACACACACACATCCCCCCCCCCCTCCGCGCACCTCGTCAATTTGATCTTCAACCACTGGCTGTGTGTATACCGCTAGACCTAAATACTCTGAAATAAATACAACCCTTTCGTGTTTCTATAGCAGAACTTATATTTAATTCTATAAAAAGTTGTTAACTCAGAATGTCTGAATGGGATTAAGTGTACGGGCTTAGTCTGTATAAAAAAATCCCTTTATCCTACTCTATTTTATTTGAAAACTGTTGTCTTTGATTTTAGGGATAATGTAACAGTGGCAACAGAAGAGGTCACTAACCCTAAAAGGTAGGCAGCCAATGGTATTTTGTGGTTTTCTTTTTGTGTATTCCACTCTTACTGATACAATGGTTCAAACCAAAGATCAAAAGCAACATTGACATTTGAGTCGAAGCACAATCTTATATACTCTTCAAAAAAAGTAGGGGATATTGAAATGCAAATACCTATGCAGGTGGTGATATGATAAATAGTCATGGACACTTGACATGCTTACAGGAATTCGAGTTACACCCCAAACGATTAGAAATCAGCTACATGCAGACCATTTGCATGCGCGACGACCGCGTGTTGTGCCTCCATTAACTCGCCAGAACATGGCAAACAGGCGTCAATGGTGTAGGCAGCGTAGAAATTGGGTTAATCGTCGATGGGCGCGTGTAATGTTCTCAGATGAGTTCAGATTTCCTCTGGATTTCACCGATAGGCGTGCTCGCGTTTGGAGGCCTATAAATGAGCGTCATGCTAACGTTAACATCTGACAGCCATGACTGGCAGAACGGACTTGCATATTGTTCAAGGAAGGGTCACTAGTGTGTACTACCGTGACCACATCCTGGCACCGATAGTTCTGCCCTTTGCTCAATGTGCAGGTCGACGTTTCATCTTTCAAGATGATAATGCCTGTGCCCACCGCGCTCGTGTCGTCACCATATTGTCCTTATGACTTGGCCAGCCATGAGTCCCGACCTTTCCCCTATAGAGCATGTCTAGGACATGATCGGGAGACGTGTTCGTCGACATCAACGTCTACCGACAACACTGCAAGAATTGGCCGTGGCACTACAAGAGGAGTTAGTCAGATTGCCCCAAATCATGATTGGACGGTTGTTTAGGAGCATGCCACGACGAATTACTGAATGTCTGAGGATTGGTGGAGCAATTGCTTATTATTAAGACAAAAATCAAAAACGTCCATTTTCACTTTTGACAGTGTATCTCTTTGCGAATGAAATGGGGCCGTCAGATAAGCCGTCCATATGAACTCTTTATGTTCATGTGTAGGCAATTGGCCTGTTATTAACATACACTGGTAACCTCTAAAAAACAGCAGTGCATTTCCGCAGTTTGTATTGTTTCTGAATATCCCCTACATATTTTGAAAAGTATAATATATCAATCCTCTCTAGATCGGCGTGGGTGGTAACGCAGATATGTCAGCTCCCTCTTGCGATCACCCAAGCGAGCCTGTTTAGGTTATTATTAGGTTCACCATTTGTTCCCGGGAACAACGACTGTGAACTTGCTTTTCTGACAAGTGTCCCGGTAGTTACTTTAGTAACGTAAATTGTATCGGAGAGCAGAGCCGATACAATTTACGTTACTAAAGTAACTAGTGTCCCGGAAAACATTTGTCTGCGATATTATCCTCGGTGAAGCGGATGTTAAACCCCACGAATTAATGAACGATACGCACAAAGAGTATTGCCGAGTAAAGTCTTTTAGGTTTAAAAAAAAATATTAACCACAAAATCAATACAGCACACAATCTAAAGAATACAATTACCGACGCTTTGAATTCTTGGAATCTTATAATAAGCAGTGACGCCCGGTGAAACGACACTCAGTATTAAATGTTAATTGTATTACAGTATCCTAGGTGAAACGACACTCAGTATTAAATGTTAATTGTATTACAGTATCCTAGGTGAAACGACACTCAGTATTAAATGTTAATTGTATTACAGAATCCTAGGTGAAACGACACTGAGTATTAAATGTTAATTGTATTACAGAATCCTAGGTGAAACGACACTCAGTATTAAATGTTAATTGTATTACAGAATCCTAGGTGAAACGACACTGAGTATTAAATGTTAATTGTATTACAGAATCCTAGGTGAAACGACACTCAGTATTAAATGTTAATTGTATTAGAGAATCCTAGGTGAAACGTAGCTCACTGATAAATAAGCAGTGACGCCCGGTGAACGACACTCAGTATTAAATGTTAATTGTATTACAGAATCCTAGGTGAAACGTAGCTCACTGATAAATAGTAATTGTATTCCATAACATTGTACCCCGTGAATATCCAGACTGGGGCGTGGTGACCCATGATTTTGCATGAGGAATAAGATCCCGTCTGGACCCCCAAAAAACAATATTTATGTGTGTGGGGGGGGGGGGAGGAGGTGGGGTGGCAGTACTGGGTAATATTGGGCTGCTTGGAACATGCTAGAGTCGATTTGTAGCATATCTGACCCACGGTATATGTTTGATACTGGTTTAGCATTATGATTATGATTATAATGTTGAAAACCGCATTGAAACCGCATGCTTCTTTGCCATTTGCGAGGGGGCGCAAAAACTCTAAACTATGACGCAAAGCTCATCATTGCGTCTCTCTCACTTAGCCTGTATCTAGTTCAGTTACTAAATGCCATTGAAACCTGTTAAGTAAGATCTAGTAAGTGTATGCATATATAGTATGTAAATATATATATCAAGATAAGATCTAGAGGAAATCATTTGTTAAATTGCCCTTTGTTACTTAAACGACAGACTGACTTTTGCACTTTTTATTTTTTTTAGAAATATTCCTTTGGCTATTTTATTTGGATTAGCAATATCTACAGTTATTTATTTATCAGCTAATGTGGCTTATCATGCCGCCTTAACTAATAGTGAAATCATGTCTGGTGTAGCTGTGGCAGTGGTAAGTATGTTCCTTCTTCAATAAGCTGCGGTGGCGGTATGGGTAAGACGTTGACTCGATAACCTGGAGGTCCTATGTTCACGTTGGCTCGATAACCACGAGGTCTCATGTTCGTTCCCGATGTTAGCCGAGAAAGTTCATCGAAATTTTCCGATGTGGTCCCAACTTGTTAGTGGTGTACAACAAAGGACATGGCAAAGGACAACGTATAGCCGTTCGGCCCGCATATATGCACGTCTTTATTGGCCCAGTAGCAGCAGAGCAGTAGGATGTAAAACCCATGTGCATTTTTTAATATTAAAACTAGATTGTTTTCCTAATTAAAACTAGATAGTTTTCCTAATTAAAACTAGATAGTTGTCCTAAAAAAAACTAGATAGTTTTCCTTAAAAAAACTAGATAGTTTTCCTTAAAAAAACTAGATAGTTTCCTATTTAAAACTAGATTGTTTTCCTACTTAAAACTATATAGTTTCCAATTTAAAACTAGATTGTATTCCTAATTAAAACTAGATTGTTTTCCTAATTAAAACTAGATAGTTTTCCTAATTAAAACTAGATTGTTTTCCTAATTAAAACTAGATAGTTTTCCTAATTAAACCTAATTATTTTTCTAATTAAAACTAGAAAGTTTCCTATTTAAAACTAGATAATTTACCTTAGTCCTAAAATTTAGAGAGAAAAAGATGGGTTTAGCATCCACACAACACAAACTAGATCCTGTCGAGACTAACATATAGAACAGTTGTAATCCAATAATTCTCTACGAGGTTAGACAAGTGATTCATCTCTTTGTCATATACACTTGTGAAATCAAAAATATGCCATTGACTCCTCCCTCTGAACAGGATCGTCTTTTGATCATCTTGCACAGGTGGAAGCGGATCTTAAGCTTGATTAACTAACTGCACATTACAATAATTCTTCACTATAATGTATTGCAGTAAATGTTTGCATGTTATTCCCATTCAGATGTTTGGAGAAAGGGTGTTAGGTCCAGTACGATGGATTATCCTGCCGTGTGTTGGAATTTCTGCTGCTGGGATATCTAATGCAATAATTTTCACATCTTCAAGGTAAGCCAACCAAAATAGTGTTGGGAAGAGACTATTAGTACCAGGTAAATGCAGTATTTTATCGTGTATGGGTAGGTATATAAGCTGCATGAAAGGTGAGTACTGTCAACGGATCTTATTCATGAAACCTTAAGTAGTATAAACAACAGAATTACAGTCACGTGCAGCAGTAGATGCTTAACATCATCTGGCCCGCAGCTTCACCGGGATAATGACTCCTAACATCATTAGATATTGATGTATCTTGGTCATTATCATCTTTTTCACCATTGAATAATCCGGGCTCCAATAGCAGCTTCAGTAGCAACAGTGTCTTTGTCACTATCGATCATCTTTTTCGACAGCGTCTAGTCGAGAATCAGGAGCTGCAGTAGCAGTTTCGGTATATTTGACAATACGAACCTCAGTAGCATCATCTTTTCACCAGTCTTCAATGATACATGCACTGATTGTGGTATATAATAAAACTTGTAAAATCTACTTCAGAATTAATTTTGTTGGAGGAAGGGATGGTCTGTTCCCCGAGCTGTTCAGTATGGTTAATATAAACAAAAGAACTCCAATGCCGTCCATTATCACTCTGGTAAAATTTGACCTTGATGTATATAGTATAACATATTGAAATTGTGTAAATTACATTGGAAAATGTCAATTTCCATAATATTTTTCTACCGACCATACTTTGATGTGCCGATAATATTTAGCTATATACTCTATTTATCTATGGTTTATATTAAACAGGGATTGGATGGCCGAATGGTTTCGATTCCCCGGTTGTACGTGACAAGGAGAAGTGTCGCCTGTCCAACCTCGTGGGTTTTCTCCGGGTCCTCCGGTTTTCTCCCACTGCTAAAGACCTCACTCGCAAGCGAATTATTGAACTAAAATTAAACCATATTATGTTAGTGTCGAGTGGACGTTAAACCCCCCCTCTCTCTTTCTCATTCTCGTGTATTTCTAATACAAGGAGAAGAAATTGTTTACAGGATGCGCTCTCTGTCTCGCCAATCGTAGGTCACAAAACTTTCTGCTATTTATAATTAAGTTATCTACTTTTGTTTTCTAGGGTATTTTAGCAATGATATACATGTGCATTGCGGACTTTGTCACAGTTCTAGGAGCTTATTCATTTCTGAGAGCCGGTGGCGAAGCTGTTGCTATATTTGGGTTCCGGAGAATCAGACGTAAGCATCCAGCAACAGAGAAAACTTTTGTGGTAATTGTTTTTACTTCTTACTTTTATGGAAATGGTGGGACCGCGACAACAATGACACATCTGCTGCGTTGATAGCTTCTCCCGAAATAATCCACAGTGACAGAGATTTGTAGAATCTATGACAAGGGTCAACAGAAAAACAACCGCGTATGCTGTCAATTAGTATGCTTAGTGACTTCCACCTTATCCATAGAAGCATCCCCGTTGTTGTGGCACTGGATATTTGTTCACTAATCCTTTGAATTTGGGCACCACCTTAGACTTTTTTTCCGAGTTCAAAGGCAAACCAGTTCATAAATCAATGGTGACTCAGTGACTCGTTGACCAGGAGGTCGTAGATTCGATCCCGGAGTTGGAAGAAAAAGTTCCCTGCCCGGGTTTTCCAGCGTGTTTTCCCTGATCAGTTGTGCAGTAGAGAAGTCCTGGCGAGGAACAGTGAGTGTCTAGTCGTTCGGGTGTTACGAAAAACTGAATTCCCGGTTATACGTTGGCGTAGGGTGAAAGAACATTTGATAGTTGGAATTCAAATTAAGAATAGACGGTAGCGCCACTGTTCTGGCAAAATTGTAATCATAGCAGACTATATGGCGTAAGCCCGTCTTCATTAGCCAGGTTGGTGCAGAAAAGTAGGACGTTAAAGCCAGTTTTATTTTATTAATAACTCTGAACCAATGTCTCAAATTGCTTATACTTTCTACAACTGATATCCGACATCATTTTCTTTTTAAAGACACCAACCATTATACCTATCATTTATTCAGTAGCTTCAATAGCACTGGCTTGTGTTGCCGTCGGATCTAATCCTAGAAGCTTTCTACCTGGATTGATCATAGCTCTAATGGGTATTCCTCTCTACTACCTGGCTCGAACTCAGTGGTGGCGGAATGGACTTCCAGCCAGATTGCATAGTAAGTGTAAATCTAAACTGACCAAATAAATATTCAATTACGACAGAAATGAATAAATATATAAAAACTAAATATATACTCTTCAAAAAAGTAGGGGATATTCAGAAACAATACAAAACTGCGGAAATGCACTGCTGTTTTTATTCGAGGTAACCAGTGTATGTTAATAACAGGCCAACTGCCTACACATGAACATAAACAGTTCATATGGGCGGCTTATCTGACGGCTCCATGGATGTTTTTGATTTTTGTCTTAATAATGAGTAATTGCTCTACCAATCCCCAGACATTCAGCAATTCGCCGTGGCATGCTCCTAATCAACCGTCCAATCACGATTTGGGGCAATCTGACCCACTCCTCTTGCAGTGCCACGGCCAACGAACACGTCTCCCGATCAAATTAAACGTAACACACTGAAGCAAAGATACGCTAAACAGTAAATCCTACGCAAAAACCGATAGGAAAGCAAACATGGATAGATAAACCAGCACGCGGCAGTTTTCATCAACCCTTCCTTGAAATGTCAAATTTGACAATGGACCCCTCCCACGTGTAGGGCGTTATTGCTTGTCGCGTGTGCAGCTCAGTGGTTCTATTCGGGCGATAAGTTCTTCATCTGTGAACATACTCTCAAAGCATGTCAAATGTCCATGGCTATTTATCATATCCCAACCTGCATAGGTATTTGCATTTCAATATCCCCTACTTTTTTTGAAGAGTATATATTAATATTTAAATATAAATAAATAAAATAGAATAATAATAAAAAAAACATTCATAATTAAAACTATTTTAGAAATAAATTCACAATCATATTTTCGAAATAAATTCATAGAAAAATAAATTTTAGAAAAACATTTTCATGATATTTTCGAAATAAATTCATAATTAATATTTAAAGAATAATTCTTTTTTAGAATAAATTCATAATATTTTTAGAATAAATTCATAATATTTTAGAATAAATTCATAATTAATCATATTTTAGAAATAAATTCATAATTAAAACGGTTTTAGAAAAATTAATAATACTTTAAAAAATTCCATAATATTTTAGAAATGAATCCATAATTAATGATACTTTAGAAATAAATTCATAATTAATGACACTTAAATTTTTGAAAGTTGTTATAACATTTTAAACAAAAATTCAAAATATTTTTGGAATTTTGGGAAAAAAGAAATCCAAAAGTTATTTAAACATACGCAGGTTAACAATTTGATTTCCTTCTTTATAGATAAATTAACCAAGCTATGCAATGCTGTTCTGTTATGTGATATCGCTACAAAAGCAATCAACGAAGAGTGAAGATTCTATTTAGGACTAATTTATCTGAATTTTTGTACATATAAGCATTTTAAGCTAAAAATTAAAAACATCAAGTAACCTTTTGTATTATTGGTATGAGAATGTCTTCCTTGTTGAAATTTCTATTTGACGGGGAACCCAATTGCAGGACTATCTTACCAATTTCTGGATTCGTTATTCTTCAAAAATTCTGGAATTTAAAAGTACGGATAAAAGGTTGTAACCTATGCAGCACAATACGAGAAAGAAAAGAGGAGAGTAGAGGAGAGGTATTTTGTTTCAGTCACATACTTCTATGCAGGCCATGTGGCAAGATCACTTCGTCACTCAATAAAGGTGAAGACAGCCGTCTTACCTACTATTTTGTGCTTTCACGACCATGTGTATAATGAGAGAGAGAGAGAGAGAGAGAGAGAGAGAGGGGGGGGGTTAACGTTCAACTCGACACAAACTAGGTCATTTCGGGACTAACATATGGTTCAATTTTATTTCTACAATTCGATAGCGCGTAGGGGTCTTTAGCAGCCGGAGGAAACCAGAGGACCGGGAGAAAATCCACGAGGTTGGACAGGCGACCCTACTCTTTGTCACGTACAACGTGGGAATCGAAAGCACGCCAATTGACTCAATGACAGACCTTATTGATACAACACGTACGCACTAACCAATCAGCCATCCGCCCCGCCCCGCGCATTGGAGTTTTAATGTCTGGCCTCATATTTATTTAGTTCATTTTGAGATTAAAACAGCAAGATCTATGCGGTTTTATGTGTGCAACCAAATATTTGTTTAGGCAGTGAAATTTTGGTCAGCACTCAGTGGCGTCGTGCCCATTGGGGCCCGGGGGGACCTGCCCCCCCCCCCCCCCCCAAATTCTCAGTGAAATAAAAATATTTTTATTGATATTATTAAGACAGAAGACCTGTCCGTCTGTTTTAGTCATCACATGGTCTCCAGGAATTGTATAATTTGTCATTATCCGTGTTTAGTTTATTGCACTTTAGTTTAGATATCATTTGTTAAGGCCTCGCCATAGAGCTATATTTCTATATAACTCGCTTCGTACACTCTATCATTTAGCCTCGATCTAAAATTTCCGGGAGTATGACGTCAACGTAACGGTTAATCTCCGCTCACGTCGCCATTTAAAAATTTAATCAGTCAATGAAATCCTGTTTAAATCCAAGCCGAATCAAAGCCATCCGGGGGTTTACGTACAGAGTTGATTTTGTGCTTGTTGTGTAAATCCCTATTTATGATTGTATGTTGTATTTGATAAAATATCCATATACGGGTGTCAAAAATAAAGACTGAAAGTATTTTTTATTAAAATACAAATACATCTAAATACGTATTTGACCATGCATGAAGTTTTTCAAAATGTACATTCAATAATTAAATCGAAGTTGAGATGAATAAAATATAATTCAGTTTTCGAGTGATAAATTACAATTATCACTAAAAAAACGACCATTTTTCAATAACTTTATTGTCTCTAATCCATCGAAATGGCGTTTCCCGGCTTCTAATTTTAAAAATTTAAAAAATGCCTACTGCATTCGATGTGGGCGGCGCTACCGCCAACACTCTCCGCAGCCAGTAAATTTAATTTACCATGAACACACTTGCAGAAAGTTGGGCCCCCCTAAAAAAATTTTTTGCACCACGCCCCTGTCAGCACTTCTTCAAATTCCAGTTCAACACAATTTTCTTGTTAGCCCTTCAGGTGAAGCAGAAACAGACCACTCTTCTTTGAATTCCAAATGTTAATGATCTTTCATTAACTTGAACCTGATGCAATGGTTTCCTGTTCCACCATCCCTGTCACACACAAGGCCATTACCCCAATCAATAGAGTACAACTCATTATATTTCTTTTTAGAGTACGACAATTGGAGTAGAAAATGCTCATTATCGAACTTTTATTAGTCAAGGTTTTGATCTAATGAAACTATACACCAACTATCACCACTCTCAGAGAGAGAAATGGGGTTTAACATACCCCTCAACAAGGTCATTTTGGGACTAACATATGGTTTAATATTTTTAAATAATTCACTTGTGTGTAGGGGTCTTTAGCAGTGGGAGGAAACCTCAGGACCCCTACTCCTCCTTGTCACGTAAAATGACCGACATAACGATCTAAGGCACACAGATTAAATGAAGACGGGCATATGCCATACAGTGTGCTATCAGGGAAATTTGCCTGAACAGCGGCAATATGGCCGTATTTTAAGTACATGCCAATGTTTACCCCGAACTTATTTTTTTTCCCCCCATTTGAACGACTAGACACTGTTCCTGGTCAGGCCTGCCATCTTGCACCACTGACAAGGGGAGACAACGCGACATCACGTCTTTGAGATGAAGGATATCTAACAAAACACTCAAGTCTAAAATTGTAATTTATCAAATTTAATATTAATGATATAAAGACAAAATTTGAAAAATCTTGTCATTTGATAATTATACAAAATATACAACCAACAATGGATGGCTTTAACATATATTATGTTCTTACACTCTCACTCACAAATAAAGGCTAAAAGGTCCAGCTACAGTTCTCAGCACTTTTCAGATAAAAGATCACCTTTTTACATCTTCTATTAAATATTCAGCACTATATATTATTAGTATATTATTATTATTTACAATTCAATATTTCAGTCAATTAGGCTGTTCTTCATTTTGTTTTCACAATTGTATTTTAAAATATAAGCTTATGATTTTAAGAATGATTTTAAGAGAGGAATGGGTTTTAACACGTGGTACAATTTTATTTTAATAATTCCTTTGCTGGTAGGAGGAACCCACCAGAGATAACCCATAAGGTTAGGCAGGCTAGAACCAGATTTCCTTTGCATATATGGGTCTTTAGCAGTGGGGGGAACCTGCTGGAGAAAACCCATGAGGTTAGGCAGGCTAGAACCAGATTTTAAAAGAGAACAAATATTGACAGATAAATAGTTTTAAATTTTGACTTGATTATTATCCATTTTCTGTGTTTGAAACAATCTACCGGTATTTAATATTTGGATCATTTTGGCAATTGTTCACTTTGATCTAGATTAACAGTTAATAGATTTTCCAAGAAATATTCAATTATGTATGCTTCTTGATCAACATATAAATCTACAAAATCTTGAAGACCCACAATTTGTACTAGAGAGAAATGTGAGTTCATTTCAATTATGGTTTTATGTCAAGTAGTAAACAAATGCATAGAAATTGAATGTGAATGAATTGACAAAAATGCAATCATCAAAATATATAGTTGAGCTTATTCCTGCTATTAGGTACTGGGGCTTTTATTCACAAAAAACACAAAACTAAAATATTTTTAGAATACAAGAGCTAAAATTTGTACTATGATTTTAACTTTTGACCAGAGAAATGGTTGGATCCTTCAAATATTATTTTAAGTGTTTATGAATTAGGCCCCTATAAACACACACCAGTGTTATATTCCATCCCTATAGTTTTAAAAGATGGAAAATGGAATATATAATTAATAATACCTATGCAGTTTTAATTGTATCTCCTGATTTTGAACATATATGAAATCTATAGTTTTAGTAATTATTAATAATGCTTGTTCATTTTCAAGTTCTACGGTATTCACAGATGCAACGGATGAGCGATATATTTCTACAAAGATTCATTAAATAATTAATAAGGCCTGTGCAGTTTTATTTTTTAACATGGAATTTCTTTGAGGCATCATTAGCATGATCTAATAATAATTGACAAGGTTTAAACTGTACACCATAGATATCTTGATATTTCATCATTCTGTCCACTAAATTCTTCGCTCCGTGTAAATCGATATATCTAAAGGGACCTACAAAATAAAAACACAATATTGATCAAGATAAACGAATTGGGGTTTAACATCCACTTACTCGCGCATAGGGGTCTTTAGCAGTGGGATGAAACTGGTGGACCCTACAGGCTATTGTCACGTACAAGCCGGTAATCAAAACGACACCCCTTAAGTCACCCCTCGAGTTAACCTTTGAGATAAATGAAGTAGGATTTAATATTCCATTGTTCTGCACCAACTCGAACAATGAAAAGAGCAGGTGCCATACAGTGTCTATGAGGGAAAATTTACCAGACATTGGCATATCTGCCTACTCTTTTATGAAAATCCAACTGCCAAGGGTTCTTTTATGTGCACGGCAATCTGTACACAGGATCTTATTGTTTTTTCCCCATCCAAATAACTAGATGTTCTTTGTCAGACCCTCTGTCCTACTTCAATCGACAACTGGAAACCATGCTGATAAATCGTGTAGGACTGGTAAGTAAATCAGGGCCTCACTCACTGGGCCATATTGGCTCCGACATTGAATTTCTATACATAAAGTAATTTGTTTTTAATTCAATAATTTGTTCTCGTGACAAGTTCTTTGAAGTGGGGGCAAACTGGAGGGCCCATATTAAATCCACAAAGTTAGACATATGATCATATTCCTTGACACTCTGGATCATGCATAGGTAACAACAACAAACCAAGAACTATTATTAACTTTAAAATCAAAGACTATACATAGCTAAGAAATATATGACTTACCTCCCAAGAAAGGTGGGAAACCAAGACCAAACACAGCTCCGATATCACCATCAAGCTAAACAAAATATCCACATTATTAAAATTTGAAATATTCAGTAAACAGTGTACATTAGTTTTATGTATTACTTCTACACGTTCGAATACGTCAAGAACACCACAGTGGTTTCCAGAAAGTTTTGTCAAGCTTCTGGCATGAATGGTTTTATTCCAGTCACAAACCAACTGTCCACTTGAAGAAAAGAAAACGCAATTAGTGATTTGACCCTATATGGTGCAAAAAATTGAAATCAAGAGAGAGAGAGAAATGGGGTTTAACGTCCACTCGACACAAACTAGGTCATTTCGGGACTAACATATGGTTTAATTTTATTTCACTAATTCGCTTGCGCGTAGAGGTCTTTAGCAGTGGGAGGAAACCGGAGGACCCGGAGAAAACCCACGAGGTTGGACAGGCGACCCTACTCCTTGCCACGTACAACCGGGGATTCGAAACCACGTCAGTCGACTCAATGACAGACTTTATGATACAGCGCGCGCACGCTAACCATTCAGCCATCCAACCCCCCAAAATGAAATCAAATGGGGTTCAATGTCCTACTGCTCTCATGAAGATGAGCATATGCCATACAGAATGCTATGAGGAAAATTTTGCCCCTACAGCCATGTCTACAAGGAAGCACAGTATTCCGTCCCATCCGAATGGAAGACAACAACGCTATGGCAATTGTTTACTTCTAGACATTGTTCCTTGCCAGGCCCTCCATCTTGAGCAAAAATTCTAAGGGGTTTTCTTGACTATCACCAGCATGGAAACTGCGACATCCTGGTTAGTGAGCCATTGTGGTTCCTGGGTTTATAATATGTCCTCAGAAATTTTGTATTTCAATCGTTAAATATTATGAACAATGACAAGAAACTTACAGGATTAGCAAGAATTCCATCTTGAAGACACATGATGGCTTCATTTACAAATCTTGATACTAATCGATATTGTATATCTTCGTCAGAATTTCTGTAATGAACAAATATATTAACTTATTACAATATATATTTTACACTTTTAGAAACAAAATATACAAGAAGTTTGTTATTACCAAACAGGTTGACCAAGACTAGGAATTATTTACACTGATCATAGCAATTCTTTCTTTCTACACGCCAAGAAATCTAAGTCAACGGGGAAAGAATTACTAGTCTGATTCCATGTATCAAATTACCTCCCTTGACACATTAAGGGGAGATAACTTAAGTGCACACCAAAATACAGACTTAGTTTATTCCTTCAGAGATTATATGATTTGTAAAGACTAATGGGTTTTTTTTGCTGTGTAAACTTATTGATTGGCAATTATTTTGTTCTCTTCTGCACAACAAAACAAATATAATAATAATTTCACAACCATAAATAATATTACAAACTTACGCTGCTCCTGGAGGAATGTGATATTTTTCTACAATTTTCAGTGCTTCATCATTTTCAGGTTTAGATTTGGATCCTTTTTCATACACATAACATCCTTTGCCTGATTTACGACCTAAAATGGAAACAGCAAGAAATGAAATGAGGTTTAAAATGGTATCCCTGTAGCCCTGGCATAGCTGTGTAGCTGGATTGGGTTTATGTTCTTGGATGTCATTTCCTAGATGATATTCTAGTCTAGCATAGTTTGGAGATAGACGGGATAAACTTACCGAACAAAACAATAGTTTTACTTCTCTCAATCTGATTAAAATACAGATCTATATTTCGTTTTGTTTTTTTATACTTTCAATGGCCTACACTACATGAAGATCTGACAAGTTGTACTGGAAGATTGTGTCAGGGGTCGTACGAGCGGCTTTTGACCCTATGACTACACGAAGATCTGACAAGTTGTACTGGAAGTTTGTGTCAGGGGTCGTAAGAGCGGCTTTTGACCCTATGACGTCAGACATTGACTAATCAATCAGCGTTAACGTTTCTAGTGGTTTACCCACAGTTCCGTGCATGGCACACCAAGAAGCCGCCGTAATGGACCATTTCATGGACTAATCCGTCACTTCAACCAAAACGCCGGTAATATAACAACTCTTCCAGATCCTGGTGTAGTAAAGACAAGTAAAATGAAATTTTGAACTATAATAAATGAAATGAAATAGAATCTGTTTTAATCAGATTGTACTTCTCTTATAAAAAGGAAAATTTAATTGAAGATCTTAATTATTAAAACAAATCTGACCTAAATAACCATTAGCTACCATTTCTTTTAATACTTCCACATTACCACCACCAAATCTTTCACCAAAAGCTTTTCCTAAATCTTCTGCAACATGTGCTGCTACATCAATTCCAACTTCATCAGCTAGTGTCGCCGCACCCACTGGGAAACCAAACTTCTTCGTTAATTTATCTAATTTAGTTGGACTCACTCCTTCCTGGATTTACAGAAAACCAGATTATTAATTAAAAAAAATAAAAATTAATGGATATTTTTCTTGACAATTTAAAGAAAATGAAATTTAAGGACAAGATGTCGTCGAAAAATGTCTTGGCCTGTCCATTTGGAAATTATCTTTCTAATCTGTGAAAAAGAAACTATGTCAAAAATTGATAGCTTTAATGTAAACCAGGGCTTTCAGTTCAAAATGTTGACAGCTGGTCAATTTGTGACATTTTGTTTACCTCATTAACAAGATATTTTTACAAAGAGTATGGCCATTTTTAGAGTTATCCGAGTTTTAATACATTTTTAGAGTTATCCGAGTTTTAATACATTTTTAGAGTTATCTGAGTTTTAATACATTTTTTAGAGTTATCCGAGTTTTAATACATTTTTTAGAGTTATCCGAGATTTAATACATTTTAAGTGTATATAAAAAACTATGAGTTAAATTGTACTTAGTTTTTAAGGTTAATTCTAATTTCAAGGCATGTGAATGTCTGACAAATATGTCTGAAACAAGAGTTCTTCTGTAGACCAATGGGCTAATAATATACACAATGGCTTACTTGTAATAATCTAATGGCTTCTGCTAACATAGGTGCTAATATTCTTGTTGTATAGAAACCTGGTCCATCACCAACAGTTATAACAACTTTACCTTGACGTAAACCAACTTCTACTGCCGACGCTAAAAATATTAACATTAAAAATATTTATATAAATACCATGTGCAGAAATCTTATTAACATTTTAACAAAGGGCATTTTTCGACGTAAACCCAACCAACATTCCAGACTAAAAAGAGAGAATTAGGGTTCTACTTCCACTCAAACACATTGTAGGTGATTTTAGGACTAACAGGACTTTCTTTGGCAGTGTCAGGAGACCAGAACTTTTTAAAAGATGGCCTGACATAAAAGAATCTACTGAAAATCCGCAGGGTTACTCAAAGCCTTGGATCAAAAATAGAATCATGTATCTTAGAAAAGGTATACCCTGCCTCAAGTACAACAATTGTCACTCTACTACTAATTGAAGTAATGGTTTTAACTTGGAATTTAGAAGCTAGAGTTATTAACCTGTGGTATCTTTTGATGTTTTAGGTGTGGTAATAATTTCTAACAATTGCATTTTATCAACAGGTGAAAAATAGTGCATTCCAATAATCTGAAAAATACAGCATTATTTATTACAATTGACATTATTCACTGACCTAACAGATTTCATTTTATAAAAAATCATGTGCTTAAAATATATGGTGGACACTAGTCATAAACCTAAATAGACTAAATCTGTTCTTTAGAGCCATGTTGGTTGAAAACTGGTCTCTTGTTGACTAAGATGCCCCAGGTTCGAATCATGATACACAAGAACTTTTGAAAAGTCTGGTTCTCACTTCTATAGGGTTCACCCGAGGGCTTGACAAAGAAAGCGTGCCTGGTCATTTGGACATAACGATTAATACATGTTAGTCACAAATATCTTAAGTACTGCATGCTGTATTCTGTTTCTCAAAAAAAAAAAAAAAAAAAAAAAAAAATGTTAATCTGAGCTAAACAAAATATGCAAAAAAACTGACATGGAGCCAGAACACAGATAGTCAATGACATAAACACTTACTTTTTCTGGACGTTTACTGGCTTGAGCTATCTGTGTTATAGGTAAGGCTGATGTATTTGATGCAAACACACAATGTTCTGGTATATACTGAAATATAAAAATAATATAAACATCAATTCTGTTCAACCCATAACATTCATTTTTTATCAGACAGTAAAAATGAAAATGGCCAGTTGGGAAGTTGATCTTACGAACCCACCCAGCCAAATACAAATGAAATGGGGTTTAACGTCCTACTGTTTGCTCCGAGCTGGGCTAATGAAGACGGCATACACCATACATTGTGCTATGAGGGAAATTTTGTCCGGACAGCGGCACTACAGTCTATTCTTTTATCAAAATCCAACTGTCAAGGGATCTTTTACGTGCATGCCAATATGTACACAGGATCTTGTTTTTTTGTCCCATCCGAACGACTAGACAGCTGTCCTTGTCAGGCCCTCCCGTCCTGCATCACTGACAAGAGTAAATCCGCACCCGAAAATCTGGATGAACTTTCTTGGCCAATGCAGGGATCGAAAACCCAAACTCCACACTAGAGAGCCAGCGTCTTACCCATAGAGACCCCCCAACCAGCCAAATACAAATCGGAAGTTTGGGAAAAGGTGACTCAATGCAAGTGACCGAGCAAAGCTGTTAGTAGAATATGTAAAACAATTACGCTAAAACGACAAATCTGACCAATCACATGACAAGGCAACATAGTTTTGACTTGGGGCTAATTGAAAGTAGATCTAGAGTGACAAATCACATCACTCTCAATGACAAAGTTGTCCTAGATCCATTAAATATAAACCAACCTGTTCGACTTCTTTAATAACTTTATGTTTTATATTAATATCTTCAAATACTGCCTCTATAACCATATCACAATTCTTAAAATTATCATAGCTTAATGTCGGGTCCAGATTCGACATTATCTGATCTCTTTCAAAACTAAAATATAAATTAATAGTAAGTTTATTAAAATAATATAAGGCAGTGGAGGATAACTGCAGAAGAAAAAGATACAACAAACAATAGAAACTACAATCTACGGCTTTGGTTTCATGGGCTTCAGATAGTTGTATAGGACATGGATGAGGTTTCCAAGCGTCTTCTGTTTAGAATTAATTTGACTTATTCACTAAACAAGTGGACCAGAAACCAAGAATTACATTATTGCTGCTACCTTAGAATTGTGACATATCAAAACTTGTAGTCCAGTTAATCGCCGCACAGTTGTTCAAAGAGCAATCAGGCCAAAATTCAGGTTGATCATACTTGAATGGGAGTAGCAAAAGGCTTTTTTTTTTCGAAGAACATGGCCTCCAAAGAAGAACACAACGAGCTTGGCGCTCAGTTCCTGGACAAAAAAACTTCATTGTCCATTCATTTCTAACAACTCATAAAATGTCTTAGGTATATGATCCATAAATAATGCCTTTCTTCTGACAAAGTATAAAGAAAACATACGTTGTTATTTTCCGACGTTTTGCTTGTTTATCGAAACCTTTCTGTATTTGATCTTGACCTCTGGCTAATCCTTGTAAAGACATATCTTTCAATACAACTTGCATTCCTTTATCTATTGATACTTGAGCTATACCAGCTCCCATTAAACCAGCCCCTAATATAGCTAGAGTGCTGAAAATATAAACATGCATTAAAATAAACAGCCCTAACATAACTAGGGTACTGAAAATATAAACACATTATAATGCCCAGCCTCTTACATAGCTAGCATCCTGAAAATATAAACACACATTAACCTGTTAAGCGTGACGTTTTTAAAACGTTAACTACCCCCTAATTGTGTAATTAATTTGACGAAGTGACGAAGAACTATGTACTCAGGCCTCGAAATTAACGGCGGCCACCGCGGCCATTGCCGCGGTGCCCTTTTGAATTGGCCGCCGTGCCCTTCAAATCTTCACTTTGTCCACGGCCCCTTGTGGCCGTGGTTGCCGGCCATGTTAGCAGGGATGCCCTTTTCTGATCCAGTAAATAAAAAGTCTACCTGAGCCACATATCTGGTCAGTTACATATCCTTTTCGTCCCCCGTTCACATCGCCATACTAATTAACAATGTATAATAATACCCAGGGCTCAAAACGAAAGGCGCGCGAAAGTGCTCGCGAGAAAGCGCTCGCGCACCTACCAGGCACCTAAAGTGAAACCCAGGTACATATTTTTTAGACGCACCCGAATTTTATAAACAACGCTCCTCGTACCGAAGGCTAACTCACGGTTCTCCGGTAACAATATAATTCCAGCGAGAAACGAATGACTTTTCCCGCCATTCTTTCTAAATCTCGTGATTTCATAGCAGACTTGATTATCAAGTCTATTTCGTTAATGAAGATTTCACTACCGTAATGGAGACCCAAGTCTTCGAAAACAGGCACGTACAATATGTCATAGGAAGAATAATAACAAAGAGTTTATTGTTTGATAAATATGGGCTATCCCAACGTGTGACATCAGGTCAGTTTAAAAATGATAAAAAATATGTGTCGTCCGCCAAACAGCACTGATAGTTTACTTTCATTTTGAAAGAGGTCACGGTCTTTCATTTCACAGTTCCATACGTCATGATGAGTAAAACAAATCAAATGATTGTTGCTATGGGACAGTAAATTTAACAGGTTTATTGAAATGTAAGACGTATTAATCTATGTCTGGTAGGACCTTAAAAGCCAGTTTCATTTTATTTAAATGCCCAATATTTTCTGTTAATTTTCTGAGAGTGTGAAGCACTGAAGGACAATTTTAATCCGTAATTTAGTTTTTATGTCTGTTCATGTATTTATTAAATTTTTAACAATCCTACATATATAAAACAACATATAAATATAAAAATGCATAATGATGCAGGCTGTTATTGTTTATTTTGATGACTATAAGAAAATTAAAAATTAATATTTTTGAAATGGATAAACAATTTGTTTCATTTATAATCCACATATAATTATACCCCAAGGTGTCGGCCTACCCAAAAACTACTACTAATTGATTCTTCCAAAAGAGTACTTTTTTGGCCTTGATGCCCCCATCATTGGCCTTGGTGCCCCTAAATTTGGCCAAAACCCGAGGCCAAAATGGCAGGGCCCTAAAAAGATTAGAATTCGAGGCCTGTGTACTATGTTCTAAGAATAGGTTTGGGAAAATACCTCTAAGGCGTTATATTACGCCGTACATACAGTGAGTGGTAGTTGTCCAGGACATTATGTAACGACCTACGCACTTAATGGGTTAAAATAAACAGCCCCCAATACATCTTGTTATCAATTAGTCAGCCCAAAATACAGACATATAAATCTAATATAAATCCAAGATTAGTTGTAAACCACAGTAAATTAGACGGGACGGACATTTCTGGACAGCTAAAATTTATCACAGATGACCATTATATAGCTTCCTTCCATATTTCTATAATTTGCTTGCATGTGGGGGAGTGGTCTTAAATAGTTCTATACTTTGGAACCTTATAATAGACGAATATGGGTCTAAAATCACACATTAATAAAACCTGTGTGTATATAAAGTGACTTCTATTCAATTTTGGAATTTTTTATATTAATTTCTAATCAATTGTGTTCAGAGAAATACATGAACAGTCCAAGTTGACCCACAGTCACTTACGCCTGCTTAGTATATATTACACCATACCAACATGTCTTTTATGGGCATAAATTTTAAAGTCATCCCAACCTAAGGGTCCCATATGATTATACCCAACCCAATGAAATCCAAATTTTTACTTAACTAAAATTTAATGGGGTTTACTGTTCTACTTTTCTGCACCATGGCTCCCTCATACCCAGTGAAATCCAAATCTTTAACTGACTGAAAATTTGAGTACTTACTCCACCTTCTTCTTGGGTACACCGAAGGGATTTTTCTTACAGGCATTCTGACCATGAAATAAACCGATCAGGGCCTTAGAATGTAGAGTTGTACCTAATTCAGCAAATCCCTAAAAAAAAGAAGCAAATGAAGAAGAAAATGTTTGGATTCTTGCACGCAATAAAATCTCATTTTGACAACAAAATCAGTACAAAATATCTAATTTTGACAACAAAATCAAAAATCTGTTCAGAAAATCTAAATTTGACAACAAAATCAGTACAAAAAATTTAATTTTGACAACAAAATCCATACAGAAAATCTAATTTTGACAACTAAATCAGTACAAAAAAATCTAATTTTAACAACAAATTCAGTACGATAAAGTCTAAATACACCAGGAGTATAGTTAGATGATCCTAACATCAGCGTTCAAGTGAAGCTCCATTATATTAGAGGTAAACACTTATTAACATGGGTTTTAAAACTTGATTCCAATACATTTTAAGTCTCTGAACATCGTTTCACAGATTGAGGAATCTCTTGCAAACTAAAATATTGTGAAAGTTCAGAAATTAAAATGACCTGGCCCCAAGTTCACAAAGCATTCTCAGACTTAAGTTAAGAATTCACTCAATATTGTTGACCTTATTTCAACTAAAATATAGCCCTTTATAAAACCGGTGTTGTTTTAATGTATCAAATACACCAATAGGAAACTATGTGCAGTCTTGTGTTTCTGGATCAAAGATATTTCTCATAAACAGTGATTGAAAGTTGAGTAAATTCTTAACTGAAGTCTGAGAATGCTTTGTGAACTCGGGGCCTGATGAATTGAAAAATGTCAGCTTGGATTAAACCATGGGAAATTTCATATTTTATAAAAAATCCAAATGACACACAGATACTTTATTTGTAATTCTTTCACTTCAATTGTGCATAATGTTATATCTAAACATTTGATCAAGTGACGGGAAAATCACAAACCTTAGCCTCAGCTGCCAAACCTTCCTCCTTGCCTTTCTCTATTCCTGTTCTAGCAACCTGTAAATAACATATATACATAGTATTAAAATCATTTTGACATATTTTACGTCCAAGTAACGTCTATAACCAATAATAATGACAGAAATAAAATGGAAAAGTAATTAATGCCTTTAATTTCCTGGACCAACTAAGTGGATAAGGATGGACATGAAATGAAATGAAATGGGGTTTAACGTCTTACTGTTCTGCTCTGAACTGGGCTAATGAAGATGGGCATACACCATACAGTGTGCTATGAGGGAAATTTTGCCCGGACAGCGGCACTACGGCCTCTTATATCGAAATTCCAACTGTCAAGGGATCTTTTACGTGCACGCCAATGTGTACACGGGACCTGTTTTTCATCCCATCCGCACGACTAGACAGCTGTCCTTGTCAGGCCCTCCATCCTGCATCACTGACAAGGGTGAACCATGCTGGAAAATCTGGATGAACTTTCTCGGCCAATGCTGGGATTGGACACCCGACCTCCAGGCTAGCGAGCCAGCGTCTTATCCACTTAGCCATGTGATCCCCCTAAGGATGGGCACATGTCACACAGCTCTCTTTAATGGAAATTTTGCCCCAACATTGGCACTACAGCCTAATTTAGTCAGGGGATCTTCCACGTCCTGCCAATGGATACAGGATGTCTGTTTTTCGTCCCATCTGAACAAGTGGATGGGTTTTCATTGCCAGGCATATGGATAAACCCAATTCAATAATCCCCTGCTTTCTCGGAAGTTGGGAGACAATAATTAATGTAGGTTGCACAAAACGTAACAGTTACCTGATCTAAATTTGATCATACCTCTAAGATTTTCAGTGGTGCAGGATAAAGACCACCACTTAGCTTCATCACCTGTCCCTTGGCTTTATTAAATACAAAATTTCTACCCATTTCATACTGCATCATTGTGTTCATGATTTCTGAAAATAGAGAGACAAATGTTACTATGGGACTAACAGTTTGGTTCAATCTTATTTCAAGAGTTCGCTTGCGCGTAGGGGACTTTAGCAGTGGGAGGGAACCGGAGGACAGGGAGAAAACACATGAGGTTGGACAGACGATCCAATTCCTAGTCACGTACAACCCGAGAATCAAAACAAGGGTTCTTTAGTGGAAGCTGACATTAAGTTCCATGAATGAACAGACATTCCATACAAGATGAACCCGTTTTATTCACTGGTATATTTAATTTTGAAACTTACTGTCTTGTAATCCCAGCTTTCTTGGCGTTTTCTTTACTGTTCCATTAGCCAATCCCCTAGAAAATATCATAGTTTTATATGAATGATTAATTAAGAGTTCTTTTCACATTTAAACTAATATATACTAGAGAAATGCTGAATATTCAATTAGCTTAAGGGTTTCAATATAGGTTGACTAACCAAGTTAATGAAGCTTGAGCTCAATCGAGTGTCTTTAAGAGCACTATGGCCTATTCTTATTGTGACCTTATTGTTTATGGGACCATTAATGTGCTCTAAAGGCATACACGAGATCTTGGGGTTTTTTGTACCACCCGAAGAACTAGATGGCTCCAGTTTTGGCCCTTGCTCAGATAAACGTATAATTCACCTTGCTGTTTGTATGGCAACATCTTCAAGATAGGCCAATGTATTAGCTTCAGACTCCATGAGACCGGGACCAAGTGGGTCTATAATAGCATCAACAAGACCCATTTTCTTCGCTTTATCAGCTTTAATCATTTTACCCGTTAACATCATATCCAGGGCGTTTGTCACCGATACCTAAAAATACAAACATAACTACAATTAAAACACAATCTGTAAATGATCTGATTAAAAGAAGAAATGAAATGAAAAAATAACAATAAAAACTTTATTTAATGAGGCAATGTATTTAGTTTGCAAAAAAACTAATCTTCCATAAATCCCTCCTAAGCTACAAAGACATACATACATGTAATATCAGGATAAATTCAAAATCATTTGAAATGCAATAGCATTTTAAAGTGGGAAGTTTGGGAAGTCACTCCTAAACTACAAAACATTTACATTATACAAGTAGAATATAGGAAGAACACTACAATTACACACAAAATAAGATAGAATGCAGTTGTAAGTTAAAAATAATAAGTATGTCGTTATCAGTTGAATATTATGGTTTCTTCAGTGCTCAATATAAATGAGTTTTCAGTTTAATCTTAAAATTTTCAACATTCTTATATCAAAAGGCAGATTGTTTCATAAAAGACATGCAGAATAATGAAAAGCACTTTTTATGGATTCTGTTTTGCATTTTTGAAGAAAATTTTTTTTACTGGTCTGTGAACGGAGCAAGATATCCGTTTTGGAAACAAGAGATTAATGGGGTTTAACTTCATACTTTTCTGCACCACCTGTGCTAAATAATGACGACGGACATAGACCACACTATGTGCTATAAGACAAATTTTGCTCAGACAGCAGCTACAGCCTACTCTGGTATCAAATTCCAACTGTAAAGAGTTCTTTTATGTACATGTCAACGTGTAAACAGGACCTCATTTTTTTTTGTCCCATCCATACTACTTGTCACTGTCCTTGCCAGGCCCTCTGTCCTGCACCATCGACAAGGGAGAAACCACTGGAAAATTCTGGGGAGCTTTCTCCGCCAACACCATGTTTGTGAGTGAACATCGTACTCAATGAGCCGCCTTGGCTCCATGCTCATTTGTAAAGCGCAGACAAGCAGATTTTATATAGCAATAGAGAAAGAAATGGGGTTTAACGCCCACTTGACACAAACTTGGTCATTTTAGGACTGACATATGGTTCAATTTTATTTTAATAATTCGCTTGCATGTAGGGGTCTGGGGGGGGGGGGAACTAGAGGACCTGGAGAAAACCCATGAGGTTGGACAGGCGACGATACACCTTGTCACATACAACCGGGGAAATTTATATAGCATGCTATAGGAGTTGTGTGGTGGTAATAGCAGCAGTTTGTTGTTGTTATATATGCATCTTTGTAAAAAAGTGCACATGAGCAAAAGTATGTGGCAGTTATGCACTATGCACTGTATTAGATTAAAATTCCAATAAAGGTGACGAAAAAACCTTTCACTAAAGGAAGGAAAGGGGGAAGAGTCCCTCTAACAGTGCAAGTAAGTTTGGATCTCAGTGATACGGTCGAGGGAGAACAGGAACCAATCCCTGTAAATAATTCATGATAAAAGTCCATGAATAACAAACTTGTGTGCAAATCAAAGATTTAATCCAGTACGTGTTTCGGGCGATGTGCCCTTCATCTGCTGGTATTAGATGATGATGGTGGTGATGATGATGGTGGTGGTGGTGATGATGATGATGATGATGATGATGATGATGATGATGATGATGATGATGATAAATGTACTTACTGTTTTAGGAAGACGATAGGTACCTCCAGCACCAGGTAATAAACCTAACATAACTTCAGGTACCCCTAACATGGTCTTCTTACTTTTTACAGCCATTCTATAATGACAGGCTAAAGCAAGCTGCAATACAAACCATTTGTGTAATAATTAAAATTACAAAAATATGTCTAATAATTTTTCAAATGGTCTACCCTAATTACATAATGTATAAAATTCCAATTTGTAACAAAATAAATGGAAATTGGGCCCTAGCTCAAGGATACAGAAAACCTGGACAGTTGTGATATGACAAAAAAATTCCCCCGATAGTGTCGATATGGCCTATTCTTATATCGAATTCTAACTGAAAGGGTTCTGCCTGTTACATGCACGCCAATGTGTACACGGGACTCGTTTTTTTTGTCCTATTCAAACAACTATAGATTGTCCCTTGCCAGGCCCGGTGTCAGCCCTATATGTAAAACTCCAGTATACCTCTAATCCACCTCCAAGACAAGATCCCATAATGGCTGCTACAATAGGTTTCTGGCTATCTTCTAGTTGCTGAAAGCCTTTCTGACCACCTAAGGAAAGGGCCAACACTTCATCATATGTTTGTGCGGCCTCAATCATTCTAAAAATAATAAGTTTTAAAACATAAAAGAGAAATCAGTGAGAGAAATGGGGTTTAAAGTCCACTCGACACAAACTAGATCATTTCAGGACTAATATACGGTTCAATTTTATTTCCATAATTCGATTGCGCGTAGGGGTCTTTAGCAGTGAGGGGAAACCGGAGGACACGGAGAAAACCCACGAGGTTGGACAGACGACCCTACTCCTTGTCACATACAACCGGGGAATCGAAACCACGCCAGTTGACTCAATGGCAGATCTTATGATACTGCGCACACGTGCTAACCATTCAGTCATCCAACCCACCAAATTTGAAATCGGATATCTCACTTCCAGATGTTTGGATCAGGAACAAGATCCCAAGCGCCACTCATCTCGTTCTTGGGGGAGGAACAGCGCTCTTCGAAAGAATCCAACGCTCTGCCAATTCAAGCACAATCGACATAAAACTTGCCATGCATCGGTCAACGGACTTCAATTTGTGATATGATGTCACAATTTCAAAGACGGTTGTGATCACCTGGTTCCTGTTCCATAGTATGTTCTACTTGTTAAGAAGGGTTGAACACCCTCTCTACACAATATGGTTCAATTTTATTTTAATAATTCACTTGCGTGTGGGGGTCTTTAGCAGTGGGAGGAAACTGGAGAAAACCCACGAGGTTGGAAAGGCGAGCCTACTCTTTGTCACGTACAATGTGGAATCAAAACCACGCCAGTTGACTCAACGTGCATGTATTAAACCACTGTTAAACTGAACAGTATCGCTGAACAATGTGGGAAATTTTGGATATTGAGATATTTGGAAAATCATATTGTGATATGACTATTGTGACTATTAAACATCTTTATTAATAATATTTAGTGTTATTTGGAAGATAATAGCAATATTTGTGAGGGAAAAAAAAAACCAGAAAGCAAACTACAATTCATGTCAGGGATGCTCTTTCAAAATTTTGTTTGTCAGATACATTTAAACATACATTATGCAAGAGCTAAATTTGTCTATCGCAGGTCTTTCTTTAGGCCTGAAATGTTATCTAAATTATTTATTAGACATTAATTTACTTATCCAGACCATACTCAACTCTAGATGGCATCGCTAGCCTGCGATCTTAAGTGGATTGTGAGTCGATTTACTGCATAACTTTCCTTCTCGATTAAACGATTAAATGGATAATCGAGACTATGCTGTTTATCGTACTGACTTTAGTAATGATGACCGAGGCTAGGCAGACATTTCATTCGCATAGTTCTCGATTCATAGTGGATCAATTTGAATGAAATTTTCACCAAATTGCCTTTACGTTATCTAGTTTTTAATTATTATAGTGAGAACTGCCAACTCGTTATCGAATCTCCCATAATGTATCTTTAATCAGGCAAGAATTAGGTCACTAGAAGTCATTTTTAGGAATTTTGAATGTGATTCATCATATTCCTGGTTGGATGTTTGTTGACTCATGTAGAACATGTCCAGCATGTAAGAGCGAAACAGCATCCATGCTTTATTATACGTACCCAATATCAGCACCAGCAATAAAAGATCCTGGTTTGCCGGAGATTAAAACAACAGCTTTAATGCCATCATTTGTTTGTATTTCTTTGATAACTTCTACAAACTCTGTTTGCATTTGTTGAGAAAGTGCATTTTGCTGAAAATAAAATAAATTTTTCATGATACTTTTTAGCATCAACCGGGCTAATGAAGAAAGGCATATGCCAGACAGTGTGATACATAGCCAATTCTGTCCAAACATTGGTGTTTCTACCTACTCTTTATCAAATTTCAATGTCAAGGGATCTTTATGATATGTGGTGCACTTCAATAATTACATGGGCAGACCTGTTTTTCAACCCATCCAAATAACTAGACACTTTTCTATGCCAGGCCCTCAGTCCTGCAATACTGGCATGGAGGTACCAGACTGGATAGTGTCAAGGAACTTACTCTGCCAACAACAAGATCAAAATATCTATGGGTTAATGTGATTGTTTAAACACTTGACCCCGCATGAATACTAAAGTCCTTGAAATAAACTTGTTTCTATCTGTGTGTGGCGTTGCAGTTATCATGCAATCACATCATGATGTGCTCAGTTGGAGCAAGTGAGAGGGGTGGGGTTTAACGCCCACTCAACACAAACCAGGTAATTTCGGGAAAACAGATGGTTCAATTTTATTTGAATAATTCGATTGTGCATAGGGAGGAAATCGCAGGACCCAGAGAAAATCCACGAGGTTGGACAGGCGACCCTACTTGCCATGCCTCTTGACTCAATGATAGAAGTGTTAAACCATTTTGCCACCCAAGCTCACTGTGCTCAGTGGACTTCCATGCTCAAACACTGGGTTCCATTTCCATCATGTTGAATTAATTGTTGCTATTGCCATTGTATCATCTGGTGGCATCCCATTCATAGGAAATACAATCACTGATTTGTTACACATATGGCTACAATGTTTCGAAAAGATTCTCAAGCACAAATAATGGAATTCTATACAAATGGTTGTCCTGATTTCATTGTACTCAATTGTTAACTACCACCCAAGGATTACATTAATTATTACCTTGGAGTTAGGATCATCAAACCTAACTACAGCTATATCACCTTTTGTCTCCAACTTAAGAAGCGATCGTGCTGGAAAAAAAAGAAAGCTAGGTTATTGATATGTTATAGTCTTCAACATAATTCTTATCACAAAATTTCATATATGTTTAATTACAGCTCTTGGTTTCACTAATAACTTTTCCAGTAGAAATCATATTACATCAGAAAATTACTAATGGACTAATTGAAATGGGATTTAACATCCCACTTTTCAGCATTAACCAGGCTAATTATGAAGATGGACATATGCCATGCAGTGTGCTATTGGGGGGGGGGGGGATCTGCCTGGACAGAAAACAGCAGGGAACTTTCTCTGTCAATATGAGAGAGAGAGAGAAATGAGGTTTAACATCCACTCGACACAAACTAGGTCATTTCGGGACTAACATATGGTTTAATTTTATTTCAATAATTTGCTTGCACGTAGGGGTCTTTAGCATTGGAGGAAACCGGAGGACCCGGAGATAACCCACAAGGTTGGACAGGTGACCCTACTCCTTGTCACGTACAACCAGGGATTCGAAACCACGCCAGTTGCTAACCATTCAGCCATCCAACCCCCCCCACTCCTGTCAATATGAAACCCTGGACTTCCTGGTAAGTGAGTCAGAGCTAATATAGCTCCTCTATTGACTTATTGTTGTGCAATTTGTCCTCTAAGGCCATCTATTAAAAATAGGGGTTTTCTCCAGAAATTGAATTTTGCAATATATCAAAATATAAGCTTATGTCAAAAAACAGTTGGCTGTATTATGTATAGCAATAAATGCAAGCTTACTGCACTGCCATTTTGACTTGCTATAGACCTATAGTTACAGTATTGTGCATTATATTTTAAATCTATTCTGTTTTAACTATTTCCCAAGTTCATTCGACTTTGAGTTATGTCCATATATTGTAACTTACCAGCCATTGATAATGATGTAGAAATTGATCTGTGTTGGTGTCCATCTGCTGAAATAGATAAAAAAAAAAAAATCCCTTTCTTTTAAGTCTCTGTCATTTGAGGGACTGTTAATCTTTGCAGAGAGAGAGAGAGAAATGGGGTTTAACGTCCACTCGACACAAACTAGGTCATTTCGGGACTAACATATGGTTTAATTTTATTTCTATAATTCGCTTGCGCGTAGGGATCATTAGCAGTGGGAGGAAACCGGAGGACCCGGAGAAAACCCACAAGGTTGGACAGGCTACCCTATTACTTGTCACGTACAACCGGGGATTCGAAACCACGCCAGTTGACTCAATGGCAGGTCTTATGATACAGCACGCACATGCTAACCATTCGGCCATCCAACCCCCCCTTTAATGTTCCATTTTTAATTTTCAGAACAACTCAAGATGTCTGCGAGTTCACCCTAGGTGAAAGAAGATGCAGACCTAAATCCCTATAACCTAAAGTAGGCCTATCTAGCTTTCTATGCATGGCAAGCTGATAGTGTTAAAATTGTGGAGTAAAACATTGACATTTTTAAGTTTTTATTATTAATGGTCTCTTAATATTCTACATGAAGTATTTCTGAAATATGAAAGTTGTTTGTGAACAGTCCATAACTAAAATCCTAAGGTTATTTGTAGGCAAATAAATCAGTTTGGGCCATTACAGTAAATGCATTGTGAATGGCAAGGCACGGGAACAAAAAGGTTAAAAGGTTAATAGCTTAAAGTAGGTAGAGATTACTATTAGTCTATAACCTGGTTGTGACATTGAAAGTACATATAAAAATGATGAAAACCTGTGTTTAGGTTCAAAGTCCAGTGAATAACTCTATGATAAAACTGTACTCTGTGCTCTGAGTCAGGTAAACAATAATTACAACCAATACAAATCTGTCAAAATGTCTTTTGTATTTATTTATATTGAAACGAAATAGTTGTAATCTTATCTAATGTCTGCCAGCCCATTCATCCAGGGATATGTCCATGCTGGTTTGTGTAGTTGAGGTTGAGTGCTAAATCAAATCTACTAAATCAAACAAAAAATATCGTCTGCACGATTAAGAGACCGGCAAAGAATACCCAGTGATAATAACTATCCAAAGGGACAAACGATGTGCAAAAGTACCGCACAAAATATATGTATAATAAAGTTAAAGAAAATATGTTAAACCTCTGATGATATTGCCTCCTGCACGGAATATTTGCCTCGCAGCACCCACGAGCCTCATGCCAGCCATTTTCTCAGATGCCGGTCGAATCTTGAACTCTCGCAAAACCACCTATAGTCTCGCAAAAGCTCGTTTATTAATTGTTCTTTTTCGTCATTATATTGTGTTGTCAAAGTTACCAAGATGTAAATTCTATTTCATAAGCAAAGTTTAGACGATATCTAATTCATCAAATTAGCGAAATATTGGATGCAAGCCAGGACGTGGTGTCAGAAAGTTTAGTCACGTGACGGTCAAAGTCCACATATTTCAGCATGGCGTCCATGGTGCACAGGGTTTCTCTCTTGACCAAAAATTATGGAACAAGTTGTAAGTTATGAATTGTTGTTAGATTAAATGAAATGACAGCATTTATAAATGAATTACAGAATACTCCTGTGACAGTTTTGGAAAAGAAACCAGAAATACAATTCTGCATGGAAATGATTGCAGGGATCTTGTTTGGAAGCCTGACTAAATATTGGAAGTCCAAAGACCTAGTCATGCGAATGGGACAAAAAAGCAACATACATTAATTTGGTTCCTTGTTAAAACCATACCTTGTTAGTTATAATCTGTCTTAGTTGTAATCTGTCTTAGGTTTTTGATAATTTATGGCTGTGTAGTTGAACTAGTTTGAGTAGGACCTACGGCATAGTTCAAAATATTTCTGGCCTTTCTCATTTCTGATGGCTCAAGATCTTGGTCGTTTTATGATAACATTAACAAATAATTAGATTTCTTTTCTAATTCGCCTCTGGCTGACAGTTATCAAAATAGCCATTATGAAGCCAAAGTAGGATTTAGATATTTCAGACTGAGTTTGATGACTAGCCAGGCTTTTGATAGTGTTTATATTTTTTTCTCTTATATTTGTTTCAGTTGGTTTAAGATGTCTGAGCACATCATCTGTCCAGAATGCAGCAGGAGGAGCACCTGCAGCACAACCAGGTAGGATACCATAATGTTAGAAAGGCTGTAGGCCTACATAAAATTATATTATTACGCCTAATTATGATAGTTCTGTGTTAGAATGTAATAGATAGAAGTAGCCTAATCAAGAAATTGATTGTTGTAAATAATTAAATGATTTTCAGTTCACATTCAGCATTAAATATAGATCATTTCATCTGGTGACATAAAGGGTCTATCCCTACATGTGTTTTTTCTTAATGCGATGAATAATTAGGATAAATTTACAGACTTTTTGGATTATGATTTGATCTTTATGCAATTTGTATAAGTTGTGTAACTCATTCCCTGGCAACCTATGTTTACTGAGTGATATATTATTTCTAGGTGGAACGAAGAAGACCCTGGGAAAAAAGGGTGTTCGTAATATTGTATTGGTAGATGGAGTAAGAACACCATTCTTGATGTCGGGCACATCTTATAAAAACCTTATGCCTCATGACCTTGCTCGAACAGCATTACAGTAAGTCAACCATGTAAATCCATAATCCATGGAATTAGGATTTTTGTTAAGCCAGAATACTGTTAATTATATCTATGAAACTGTTTTGACCCCAAATCAATGTTACAAGACTAGTACCAGTACCTAAGATAAAAATATCTCTCAATATCAGACAATATCACTTGCAAGACCTCATGTAATAGTCACCTTTTTGACATCAGACATATCACTTGCAAGTTTTAGCATTCTTAATGGGATAACTTACTAGTTGTTTCATTGTTGGTGATATCAACTGAGTTACCTTGATGGAAACAGACGTCAAAAAATCTCTTTTGAATGAATTAATTAAATTGAGTCAAAATTGACTTATAATTATTTATGTTTTTATTTCAGAGGTTTGATCAAGAGAACTGGAATTTCAAGAGGTAATTCAGATGAAGGAATCTAAAATAAACACTGATAATAAAATCTGAAATTGTTTTACGGATTTGATTGAGGTGTCGAAAGTAATTGAGTCACCCTATGAAATGCTAGTGAGAATAGTTTTGCCTGTGATTTCTGTCGACTTTTTCGGAATTCCTACTATCAAACATTCCCTGTGTTAAATAATGTTTAATAGCTACATGTAAATGCCATTCAGATTTTGTATATTGTGTATTCAGATTTTGTATATTGTGCATTCAGATTTTGTATATTGTGCATTCAGATTTTGTATATTGTGCATTCAGATTTTGTATATTGTGTTTATTCAGATTTTGTAGACTATATAGTGTATGGTACAGTTATACAGGAAGTTAAAACTAGTAATGTGGCTCGAGAGGTGAGTTGATACAAACTTTGATGACAAGTTAAGTAGAGATATGGTAAATCTGTAACCACACACATGGCACGTTTGTACTCGCTGTTGCAGGATGTGGTGGGAGGGGAACAGGCATGGAAATGCATCGACGTACTCGTTGGTGTACATGTAAAAGTATCCTGGGCATTCAGAATTTGATTACGAGTAAACGGAAACACCTTCTACCAAAATGGAACATGTTATTCCTGAGATCATGGGAATCCTTCACTTTCATAAATATCAATTAAAAAACAAGCCAGAAATAGGTGCCCATACATGTATATATGAGTATGCTATGACAAAATTCCTCCTCATTTGTACTGTGTCATCCTCATTAGATTGTTTGTTTTTCAGGCTGCTCTTGGGGCAGGATTTTCTGACAGAATACCAGCTCATACAGTTACACAAGCCTGTATATCATCTAATCAAGCTATAACCACAGGTACATATTATAACAAAAACACTACAATAATTATAAGACAGGTGAATTTGACACCACCATCCTTTTTGAACAGATCTAGACAGGATTTTGTTTTAAGTTCTTGGAAGATATTTTAAAACCTGCAAATTATAATTATTCCATATCTTTTATCATAAGATAAAGTTTTGTTTTATTTAACATATGACACAATTTATATGGAATACAAGTTACTTAAGAGATTTATTTCTGGCGACGTTTTTTATTTTATTAGAGGCAGCATATATGGCAGTAGATATACACAGTAACATATATGTACTAATTAACACTAAAATGAAATCTACATACGTGTAACTTGAGGACTAGGGCCAGTTGCCGGGCCCCATTAAACTAAGCATTAAAACAGCTTTAGGCACGCAGCGCTTGTGACAATATCAACCATAGCAAATTTTACTTTCTGTGGGACCTTGTTAACTGGTTCCATTTTATTATTAGAATAGCCTACAATATGAATAGGCATAGAAATCTGGTGACCGCGGTAACCAGTCACAACATGGTAGAGATATGCTTAATCCATGCATTCATGTTTCTTAAATAATAAACATATAGCTAAAAACATGAACTTTAAATGATAAAAATTAGTTCTCGCAATTTTTGTTTGTTTAATTAAGGTATTGGATTGATAGCAGCCGGACAATGTGAATCGGTAGTAGCAGGCGGTGTTGAGTTTATGTCAGACGTACCTATCAGACACAGTCGTAAAATGAGGAAACTCATGTTAAACATGAACAAAGCTAAAACATTACCAGCTAGACTTTCACTTGTCAGTAAAATGTTCAGTCCATCTGTCTGGACTCCTGAGGTGAGACACATTTTATTTTGCTTTGATACAGTAGAACAAGAAATTATCAGTTTAGATGGGATCTATTTCAGTACGTATTTGTGTTCTTCATAACAACGGGGGTTGTAAGGTCAAGTGGTCTAACTGTAATACAATTAGTAAGTTCAGGAGGGGACCACACTACATGCTCACAAAACCGATAAGACAAACCTGTGGACAAAACAGATTTCAAGAAAATAAACAGATTGAGTGAATGGATCCAGGACACCAACTGTAAAGACCTACTGGGCTGTACTGTCCCATGCCTGTAGTGATACAGAATTCACTCAAAATTAAAAACAGAACAAATGTTAGTCCCAAATTAACTTCTGTGTGGAGTGGAGGTTGAACTCTGTTTAGAGATGTAAACTGCACATGTATTTCTGATGACTTAACTATATATACTATTCAAAAAAAGTAGGGGATATTTGATTTTGGGGGCATAATACTAAAATATGCAAATGACTACGAAAAAAGTCACTATAGAACCTAACAGAAGAAACATTTCGTTACATGTGACGCCCAAACGCACCAATAGCTACCGCATGGAATGCAGGTGATGCTTGGGATCATCATGGGGGTCCAACTCAAGATTTGCACGACTCTGACTTTGAATGTTACAGTCATTGTGGCATTGAATTCCAGGGTGGAAACATCAGTTTAATTGTTTTAGTGACCAGAAAACAAATTTTGATATGCGTAGGCTTACCCAAAATGAAAGGTTACGTGCCCTTGGCATGCTACAGATCGGCACAACACAGGCGGTTGTGGCGCGGACGATGAATGTTTCTCAGTCTGTCATAAGCAGGCTATGGTCCAGATACCGTGATACACAATCTGTACAGGACAGACCACGCTCAGGTCGACCAAGGGTGACAACTCAAGCCCAGGATCGATTTATCCGTACCTTGGCCTTGAGAAATCGTGTCATCACAGCAAATCAGATCAGCGCTCGTCCTCAAACAGACACTGGTGTGAGAGTGAGTGGCCAGACGATTCGGAATCGACTGCATAGGGGTCACCTTCGCGCCCGACGTCCTCGCGTGATCTCTTGTTTGAGAGATCACCACATTCAGGCAAGACGTCGTTGGTGTAGGGATCGTCAACACTGGGATAATCGACGCTGGAGCAATGTGATGTTTTCAGATGAGTCAAGGTTCACTGTTGATTTTTTGGACAGACGTAGGAGGGTGTGGCGTCGTCGAAACGAGCGCTTCCAAGACGTTAACGTCATCAGACATGATCGATTTGGGGGTGGTTCTGTTATGGTGTGGGGAGGCATTACTGTTGCTGGAAGAACGGCTTTACATGTTGTTGCAGGGCGTGTTACAGGCCAGTACTACCGGGACAACATCTTGGCAGTCCATGTTGTGCCGTTCGCACGACGTCATGGCTGCCGTTTCATCTTCCAGGATGACAACGCAAGATTTCACAGGGCCAGGATCGTTACAGGTTACCTCCAACAACAGAACATCACCACATTACCTTGGCCAGCACTGAGTCCCGACCTCTCCCCAATCGAGCATGTCTGGACAGAGGTTACGTCAACGTCAACAACGTCCTGCCAATGTCCAAGAACTTGCTGCTGCGTTGCAACAGGAATTGGACAATCTGGACCAAAATGACCTTAGACCTCTCATTAGGAGTATGCCACGTCGGATCAATGCTTGTTTGGCAAACAGAGGAGGATTTACCCGTTACTGACTTGGTTGTGATGCTGTGGTAACTTTGCTGTTTGACCCCGGGTATCATTTTACCCTTATAATGGTCAGTCTGTGCCCTACTTAGTCTAACGATCATTTGGAATAAATCGATGAATGTGAACTTCATTTCATTTTGTCATTTGTTTCTTCGTCAGTTTCATTAGGTGACTTTAATAACACTTAAAAATCAAATATCCCCTACTTTTTTTGAATAGTATATTTGTTTTCTTCATTAGTTGCCTGCCGTAGCTGAATTTTCAACCGGAGAAACCATGGGCCATTCAGCTGATAGATTATGCGCTGCTTTTGGAGTCAGCAGACAAGAACAGGTAAAATCTTTTTTGAGGAAATCTGAATGGGATCCTCTATCTAAAACTTTGAGTAAAATTTACAATTAATGCCTCAAAAGAGTAGCATAGTTTAAAAAATAAACATTTCATTCCTCAATAATTAAAATGTTATTCTTCAAGAGAGGGAGAGAGAAAGAGAGGGAGAGAGAGATTAATGTCCATGACACAAACTAGGCCATTTCAGGACTAACATATGGTTCAATTTTATTTCAATAATTCACTTGCTAGTGGGGGTCTTTAGCAGTGGGAGGTGAAAGGAGGACCCTACAACCAGGGAATCGAAACCATGCCAGTTGACTCAATGACAGACCTTTTGATCCAACACGCACATGTTAACCATTCAGCTACCCACCCATCCTTGACATACAGGGTGGTCTAGTGGTCTAATGCATTAATGAGTCAAGTTGTGTGGTTTCACTCCTACACTTGTAAGCGGCAAGGAGTAAGGTCACATGCCTAACCATCGTGGATTTTCGCAGGATCCTCTGGTTATCTCCCAGTGCTAAACTTTTAAATAAAGTTATACCATGTGTTAGTCCCAAAATCACCTAATTTGTGTCGCGTGGACGTTAAACTCTTGCTAGTATAGTCTAAAAATGAACTTCTTTATGAGCGTAAATATAATATGCCAAACCTTCTTGCATAACCATAAATATAATATAAGTCAAAGATGTAAAAGTTGAAATATATTAAATATTGTTTTTGATTACAGGATGAATTTGCTGTGAGATCACATACCTTGGCCGACGAGGCTACAAAAAAAGGTTATTTAACAGATAGACTTGATTATATAGTACCAGGTATGTGCAATAAACAGTTTGTTGTTTGATTATTTAACGATTCTGCTCAGACCACATCATCAGGACTGGCAGGAACTAAATTCCATTTTACATGATTTCAATTCTATCAATTTGGAATGTTCCCTATTCACAATCAAGTAACCCCTAAAATATAAAGTACCGTCAACTGGATAGTTTAAGTCTGGTTCCTGCTTGGAATGGGTTGCTCATGGTGAACTGACGAGGTGTTGCTATCTGAAAGACTAGGCAAATTTTCCTTTAACAACATTAAATATTCTGTAAGACATCAGGGAGCTGCAATGGCTCAGTAAGACGTTGGTTCACTAACCTGGAGGTCCCATGTTTGATCCTGGTGTTGGCCAAGAAATCTGATAGGGATTTTCTGGCCTGGTTCTCTCCTGTCAGTGGTGCAGGACAGCATAATATAGTCATTCGAATGGTACGAAAAACTGAGGTCCCATGTACACATTGGCGTGCACGTAAAAGACCCCTTGGTATTTGGGGAATTCGATATAGTAGAATCTCCCTCCCTCATTGCACACTGCATGTCATATGCCTGTCTTAATTAGCCTGGTAGGACCCAAAAATGGAGGATGTTAAACCCCATTTCATTTTCATCGTGTCTCTGCTTTTACTATGTCTTTACAACAAAAGGAAATATACCAATTTAATGTGAACTCAAATAAAGGAAAAGTTGTATCACATGTTCTTTTGTTCATGCCATGTTCATTTTCACCTTTTTAGGTGTTAGTCAACCAGTCACCACAGACAATGGAATCCGACCATCATCTATGGAAAAAATGTCTAAACTTAAAGCTGCATTTATCAAACCACATGGCACCATTACAGCAGCTAATGCCTCATTCCTTGTAAGTAGACTCAGATCTGCACTGTAACGTGGGTATCATTTAATGCTTGTAAATTGGATGCTTGTTGTCGAAATTAAACGGTCAACTTTAAACTTGACACATGTTCAAATTAGATGATTTGGTGTGATTTTAGACGATTTGTACGAAATTTGAAACAAAGATTTGGTATTTAATGGATGTGAAAGAAATTAGGGTTAAATATGCAAGATTAGATGAACCCCAAGTTACAGTGTTTGGCAGAGCAGTAGATTAGGGAGAGTCTTATTTTCAGGCCTTTTAGCTAGGTTGGAAATTTGCACATGCTGAATTTTAGACACAAGGGACTATTTCCTAAACATGTACTGAAGAAAAAATCTAGCGTAATCTAAGCTGGGTGTAGTTGAAAGACAATTGTTGACAGTTCGCACATACACACCAAATGTCATAATGTTATATATTATAGGAAATTATTTGTAGATCTTGATATTTACAGCCTTATTAACTTATAATGTTAGTTTATTGACAGGGTTTGTATTGTTCACTCAATTTGTTTTCTGTCTAGACTGATGGTGCCTCTGCTTGCTTGATTATGTCTGAAGAAAAAGCACTTGCCATGGGATTCAAACCAAAAGCATATCTCCGAGACTTTTTGTATGTTTCACAAGATCCAAAAGATCAGCTTTTACTTGGGTGAGTGGCTAAAAGAATTATACGTTAAATGTAATTCATGTTTGTTATACATTATGTTGTATAATAATATGGTAGTAAGCTTTGAGTGAGTTATTCTTACAAATCATGGTAGTGCGCAGTGCCGGATTTAGGTGAAGATAGGCCCTGGTTATTAGATACCCTCAGGACTAGAGTAAGATGAAAGTGTGTATTAATCTTAATTGAGTACAGCCGAGGAGAATAATAATAACATGTATATTTATATAGTGCTAGTAGTATTCCATGCACAGAGGCCTGCGCACAGCGCATACAATTAAATGAATTAATAATAATGATAATTAATAATAATTAAGTAATATTGACGGATGTTTAAGACTACAGTGCGTGTAAGAGAAAGGCTTATGACTGTGTGAAAAATATTATACGGCTTGGCTGATGGCCCCACCGACCTTAAGGCCCAAACCTTCAGCCTGCTAAGCCTATAAGTAAATCCAGAACTGGTAGGGACTCAAAAAGTTGAACCTAGCATTTTAAAAAATTTGCCCTTATTGAAATGATGCTGTATAGTAAACAACCCATCCGTTAATCCATTATAGATGCTAAATTTATCATCCGATTGATTTGAAATTTATACACAGTGTTCATGAGACCAAAAAGATATCTGATAACTGAAACAGCTAAAGTTATTGTTTGACTTGTTCGTTCATTGAGGTTTAACGTATCCGGAGAAACTTGCAAGAGGGGCCAAAATGGTAGGCTTATCTCCCTTAGGTAGGAGACGGGAGAGCGATTAGGAGGCTTATTCGATTATGTTTCCTTTGGTCGTCTGCCTACCAGTTCATGTTTTATATGATAATAATTTCAGACCTGCCTATGCCACTCCAAGAATTCTAGAAAAAGCCGGATTAAAACTGAGTGATATAAGTGTGTTTGAATATCATGAAGCCTTTGCCGTAAGTTACCACACTTGTCTATTTTTTCATATCATTTCCAAAAAGAATTTAACTATTTAAAACTGAGAATTGTATATGATGGATTTTGAATCCCTTTCGAACTACAATATTGCAAAATATTGCGTGCGTGTGAAACCATAAGGTTTGCCATTGAGTCGAGTGGCATGGTTTTGATTCCCCACATGTACATGACGAGTAGGGTTGTCTTTCCAACCTTGTGGGTTTTCTGTTGGTCCTCCGGTTTCCTCCACTTCTTAAAGACCCCTATGCACAAGCGAATTATTGAAAGAAACTTAAATCATATGTTAGTCCCAAAATGACCTAGTTTGTGTCGTAGATGTTAAACCCCATTTCTCTCCCTCTCTCTTATTAAGTTGGTGCATACTCTGTAGCCTTGTGTCATCTTTTTGCCTAGAATATCCCTATTCCTGGGATTCACAGAATGCACGAGTTCTAGTCTCAGTAGATTAATTGTGTGTGTATTTATTTTCAGGGCCAGATTTTAGCCAACTTGAAAGCCTTAGAGAGTGATAGTTTCTGCACCAAACATATGGGCAGAACATCAAAGGTAGGAATGGTATTTTAATATTAGTATCCTGACATGAAAGCCTTTATAAAATATAAAACATTCTTATGAGTGAGTTCACACTAGTGGTTTTATATCTATAGAACAAATGTGTCCTATTAGTTAGATATTTTGCGTCAATAGATAACTCACTATTAAAACAAGTCTAGACCTTATTCATGTAGGATTTGTCCTTCGATCTGACTAATAATTCTTCTCAAAATAAAAGAACCCTTGACAAAGAGTAGACTGAAAAGCTGCTGTCCTGGCAAACTTTTCGTTTATGGAGCTTGCCTGTCTTCATTAGCTCAGATGGTGCGTCGTTCATTAGTAGGGTTTTTTACGTTCACTTCCACCTTGGGTGATATTGCAGACAAGTCAGTTGGTGCCAAAAAGTAGGATATTTTTCCCCATATCATTTTCAATAACTACCAGAAAGTCCAGCTCAAATGAAATAATGGCACATGTCAGCTATGTGGACTCTTCTAAACTTTAATCCTGGTGTGTTGTTGCTTATTACAATTTTAATGTCAAATATTATTTAGGAGTTCTTGTATGTGAAAATGTCCTTTTAAAACACGATAATAAAATTTGATGTGAAAAAAGTGAGTGGATCATCTTATCCCTTTGTCCTGGTATTATAATCAAATTCTTGTATATTTGTTTTTAGTTTGGTGCTCCACCAATGGATAAATTTAACCTTTGGGGTGGATCATTATCATTGGGTCATCCATTTGGAGCCACTGGTGTTCGATTAGTTACAACAGCAGCCAATCGTTTGAAGGCAGAAGATGGACAGTTCGCTTTAGTGGCTGCTTGTGCTGCCGGAGGAATTGTAAGTAAATGACTTATATATTAAAGTACATCTTTTAATGATATTCATACATATCTCTTCCATAGTAAATGTGTGTGAATTGCATTTCTTGGAAAATATCAAATTTTTCACTGTTTAATACATGCTAATTTGTACTTAGATTGATAATTTATCATTTATTAATTAAGAAAACAAATTCAAAATATTAATGGTAGATAATCTCATTGGTTGGATTCAATCAGATTAAAAATAGACCTATCAATTAGATTTTGCAAAATATAAAGATGGCAGTGTACCATTTATATAGAGAGCAGTAAAGATTATGTAAATTCAGCTCTGCAAATATTAAGTACTGAACAAAACTTATATTCTTATTAGAGATTCAACTTTTACAGTATTGTAGTTTGCAAAGATTTCCTATATCAATCAAATTACGCTTAGAGACATAAAGTGTTGGTCGAGATTTTTTCTCGAGATTTTTTCTCGGGATTTTTCACCTTGGTTTTTCCTTTGTCCGAAGTATAGTCAAGGAACACTAAAATTGAAAGCCAAGGTCTCATGTACACATTAGCGTGTATGTAAAGAAGAACCCTTTACAGTTAGAATTCTATGAAATGTAGGAGAAATGACGCTGTTTGGTAAAATACATTGCAGAAAAGTATGATGTGTAATCCCATTTCATTCCATAAAGGAGAAATGAGAAATTGTTCAAATCTATTTGCCATCATTAAGAATTTAAATCATTGCAAATCACTTTGGCTAATCAATGGTCGATAAAAACATGTATAATTTGAGGGATAACAATATTGCTATGATCATACAAATGTACATTTAGTATTATTTCAGTGTTCAATCGATCGACTACTTCTCAACTCCTCAGTATCAGGGTACTACATTATATATTGAGGTTATGATTGTTTTTCTAGGGACATGCTTGTATAGTTGAGAGATATCCAGGAAATTGAGAAGATGTAGACGGAAGGTTTACGAGTAATCATGACAAAGTGCTGTGTAAGGGGAGATAATTTGTAATCAACACCAATACAATATCATCGTTACACCAACTAATTTATTATATCAGAGATCTTTCTGTTTTCTATTTTGTTTATTTAACGAAAAAAAAAATAATTGTATTTTCATAACTTTCGTGTCTTGTGTCCATTTTTTATAAGCTAGCTAAATTTACCCATGGAGAATATAAGTCTATAATCGTCATATTTAGATCATGCTTCAACTTGGTTGTTGATTGAGAGTGGTTGGATTGCTGAATGGTTAGCATGTGCATGGTGTCATTGAGTCAACTGGTGTGGTTTCGATTCCCTGGTTATATGTGACAACGAGTAGGGTCACCTGTCCATCCTCGTGGGTTTTCTCCGGGTCCTCCAGTTTCCACCCACTGCTAAAGACCTCTATGCACAAGCAAATTACTGAAATAAAAATGAACCATATGTTAGTCCCGAAATGACCTAGTTTGTGTTGAGTGGCGGTTAAACTCCATTTCTCTCTCTATCTGGTTGTTGATTGGTTCTGTTGTAAATTTCATGGAGAATATATTTTTAAAGGATTGTATTTATATGTCTATAATCATCGTGGTTAGATCACAAATTACTGTGGTGGTTTATCTCAATCCAGGAATTACACGGTGAATATAGACTCATATTGACCATGGGGAAGTAGAGTCCAGACAAACCCAGAGATCGCATATTGTGTTAAATTGTAAGACAGTCATTCCAACTTTTTTAAGAGAACAAAAGATTTTTGTTTATTTAATTCTGCTAATAATATTGTTTTGAATGCGAAGCTAAATCTGTTATATTTGTTAGTTTTGTTTCCTGACCGTATTTCATGATTAAATTAAAACTATTGTTTTGAAATAGTTGCTACTTTAGAGATCTTCTTAGTTTATGTTTCATTGAGATTTTTGATTCAGACGATGATTGATATTTATATGGGTACAATATACGCTCAATTGTTTAAATATAAATAAGGCCAAAATATGAAAAATACTTGAATTTACGGTTACCCTACTGACCCTATTTTTTTAAAATCAAAATCACTGACTCTAAACTTTTTTCTCTCATATCCTTGGTATAGGTGTGAATTTCTCTAGACACTGAAATATTGGTATTATTTTCATGAATCTTACTCAGCAGTTAAGCTAGAAATTATAAGAAATCGATAATACCAACCCCACTAAAAAATTTTTTTAAAAATTCCGACCAACCGACCCTAATTTGTTGGGCCAAGTAACCGTAAACACAGGTTTTTTTTTTTTATCTTGGCCTAATATATAGATAATGATTAATCATTTTAAACGAATGTATATCAATAATTGAAGTAATATATTGTGTAGATATAATTGATTGTATATATTAACGCCATGAGTCTGTGCTGTGTGAAAGGTTGTCTGATTGGTCTATACATGTACCATAATAAATATTAATATAAACAACAAAGTACTGTTTTTTCTTTTTACACGCCCACGTTTTAATGTGGTCAAATAGTGCTTTCGCCCTGTCCATCCATCAGTCAATTTATATGTCATGTTAGCATAAAAAAAATACATGACACTAAAATGGCACTCGCACAAACTTGGAAGGATTCATCGGTTGACCTGATTGGTTCTGTGTCTGGGATTTGCCAATCTGATTAAAACAGAGAACCTATTTCGTTTTGTATTTTATAGTTCAAAATTTTGTTTAACTGGTCAGATCTTCATGTAGTGTATGCCATCGAAAGTATAAAATAAACGAAATATAGATCTCTATTTTAACCAGATTGGAGCTAATGAAGATAGACATATACCATCAGAGTACTATGAGGGGGAATTTTGCATGGACAACAGAGTTTCTGCTGACTGTTCGTTTTATTCCACTGCCAAGGGTTCTGTTATGTCCACGCCACTGAGTACACAGGACCTTGTAATTTCCTTCCATCTCCAGCTCATATTGGCTTTTAAGTGTCGGCAAAAGTGAATAAAATAACTTTGCTATACCCCAGGCAAATTTTCTCCCAACTGGGCTCTGATTTTCACCGTCTGACAAAGATAAATTAACATTCAGGAAATAAATATATTTATTCAGAATGTAAACCATATTACAAAATATATCCTTAAAAACAATTTCTTTGGATGTTTGATGGTGATTCCAAAGTTCACAGAAATGTTATTGAAATACTGTAGAAAAAAGAAAGAAATGAACAAAGTAATGCATCACCGATACAGGTAGGGTTGGCATTAGAATATTTCCAGCTCTGTGTGGAGTAGGTTATGGGTACAGTCACCCTCCACCCCCTCATGAGACAAGTCTAATTGTGTTCCAGTGTTAGCAGAATTATGGATCTTAGATTTCAAATAGTCAAATCCAAATAAGAAAACTGGACAGTTTAAGGCCGAAACGAAAAGGATGTTGATGATGAAACACATCCACCTTAGTTTTTGGTTGCACACCTGTTGATGTCAAATTCACTACTGTTCAGAATTTTTCAATGTCTGTGGGATGGTATTGGTGTGATGAACGTGCATCGCCCCTCATAGGCCACATTTGACGAGTTATCTAATGCACACACTTTAGATCATTAGGTCCGTTCATTTCTTGGTTTACAGTAACAAAATAATCGAGTATCACAAAAAAATATTTAATCTCAAAGTTTTTACAGATTATAGAGTTGATTTGTAAAAAATATATTTTGTTGAGTACCTTTCGTTTTAATAAATAAAAATATTTGTAATGTTTTAAAAATTTTAAATATATCTTACAATAATTTCAGATCAAGTTTATATGATATTAATCAATTATTATAAATCTTTAAATACTATTACAGAAAGTATTTTCATGATATTCTAAATCAGGGATTCCCAACCTATATATACTAACAGGTTATATACACTAACAGGTTCCTTAGTATATTTTACATATTCAACTTCCACCCTCATACATTTACTCTGAATCTGTTTCATCAGACTGCCCATATTATTGAAGTAACATTTTACTTCAATAATTCGCTTGCACATGGTCTTTATTAGCTGTGGAAGGAAACCAGAGAAACCCATGAGGTTGGACAGGCAACCCTACTTGTCACATACAAGGAGTGGGGAATTAAAATCACGCCACTTGACTCAATGACAGATCTTGTGATCTAGCAAGCACGTGTTAACCCATTCAGCCACTGCTCCCCTATATTAGAGGCGTTAGGACTTTTGAAATGCCTACAGTAAATTTTCAGGGGGGTTGGATGGCCGAATGGTTAGCACGTGCGCATTGTATCATAAGGTCTGTCATTGAGTCAACTGGCATGGTTTCGATTCCCCGGTTGTACATGGCAAGTTTTCTCCGGGTCCTCTGGGTTTCCTGCCACTGCTAAAGATCTTTACACGCAAGCGAATTATTGAATTAAAATTGAACTGTGTTAGTCCCGAAATGACCTAGTTTGTGTCAAGTGGACGTTAAACCCCATTTCTCTCTCTCTCACAATACATTTTCACAAAAAGTTTTGATAAACTTTTTATTCCAGAGATCTGAAGCAGGCGCAGCTGACCCCTGAGGGTTCCAAGGACTCCAGGTTGGTAAATACTTGTTATAAAAACTGACAGATTTTATATTTCATGACCCTCCTAGACTCCAGGGTGGGAAAAACTATTCTAAATATTGACAGATTTATATCTTATAGTGATATATAAAATAAACACACACACTGTATTTACAAGATACTTTAAATAAAGTGTACGGCCCATTTTCCATGTACTTGTTTTTCCGCTCACGTTTTTAGTCTGTGACAAAGTCAGTCTGATGCAGATGTAATGGGGCCAGTTCCATATGACTACTGAAAACATCCACGGAAATGCGTACATGGAAAACAGGCATAAAAGTTTTGGAATGTTTGACTACAGAACACAAAGATATATATATATATTTACTATTAAATAATCTTATTTATATATTTCTATTGCTGTCTAAAGAAAATACTTTGAGAGTATTCTAAACATCTACAGACTTTAAAGATGCATCATGTAAGATTTAGATAAAGAGATGGCCATTCTCGCTATAATAGTTTACAAATAGATAATGAAAAATGAATATATTGAAATTTCATTCAAATCACTTTATTCTGATCGGACAAAGCTATGATTGAATTTTTGACAATAGTCTCAACTGTCAAGTACGATTGCCATGATAATAAACAAAGTCTCAACTTTCAATCGGTAATCTCTGTGAATGACGGCCATACAAATATTTAACGAAGATATGGCCAACATTGTCTAATTCATTCAATATCCTGGGAGTTGATTATGGGCTTGTCATGTGAATAAATGTTTAAAGCCAGAAAAACGAGCTGCAACAGGTAGATTTAACACTTACATAATGCATCTTTAAGTCAAGTATGAGTAATAAATTATACTTTAGTTGTATTCAACCCATTTACTACATTTTATAGACAAATCAAAAATCATGTGACTAAAATAATACAAACAATCAGGGCCATTTTAACAGAATTATAGACCTTCTGGTAAAGCAGTGCACTAGGGTCCCCTACTTACACAATCACTCACATGAATAAAAATATAAATGGTCGATAAATATATACACAAAAAAAAAAGATAAGCCCCCCCCCCTGTATTTTTCACAATGACTTGTCTTATGAGGTTTGGCGTTGACGCCCTGATAATATAACCTCAGAAAAACATATCATCGGTGGGGAGTCAAAAGGTCGTATCTGGATTTTGCGAAAATTGTCCAGGAGAGCCAAAAAACACAGAGGTTAAGAATCAAAATGTCTAATAAAACCGTCACGTCAAAATGTTGTATGTAAAATGTCGTATTTCTGAAGCTTTTCTTAAATATTTCTGTACAAAGTGTATGTGTAGCCATTAAAACAATATGTAACTATCCGCACGTATCAAGCTCAACATTCAGTGCAGAAATAAAGAGTGAAAGCTAGTTATTTGCAATTTTATACAGCAAAGACGCATCTCAGGAAAATATTCACCTTTACCTGCTTCAATTTCATAGAATTCACACATATTTAACTATAAAACAACACTGACTACATTTCGTTTGATTGCAATACTTCGGTTAGACACAAAGTTGATTTTTTAAAAAAAAATATGACATTTTCACTCTTAATATATTTTTTTTTGAACACCCCATATACGACATTTTGAAACAATATCTATAAAACCTCTTTAAATTTGCTTAGAAATACGACAACTAGATGAAAAGATGCGCAAGAAAATCCTCATTTTGAATTAAGCAAAAAAGTGAATTTTGCAAAATATGCCAGATATGACCTTTTGACTCCCCACCAACGATATGTGATTTGCAAGAATACATCTTTGACAATACAAAAACATAAAGAGTTTATCCAATTTTTCTGATGTAAAGAATTCCAAGATGCCGAATTTGAGACAAAAAGGAGTCACAATATGTATGAATGTGCAGAGTTAGAAACACAATTCAACATCGTGATTGAAGATGAAAAATGTCATTTAGATTCCACAAATCATCAGTAGTGGATAAACCCGCCACAATCACATTTGTTTTTCGATGGTTATATTATCAGGGCATCAACACCAAATCTTGTAAGACAAGTCAATGTGAAAAGTACATATAGAGTGCTTAAATTGTTTCTTTGTGTATATTTCTTGTATTGGTACTACCAACATCGATTAGCCTGGGACCCCTATGCTTGTGAGGCCCCGGGCAACTGCCCAGCGTGCCGATTCGTAAAGACGGCCCTGCATACAATAACAATATATATATATAAAGTGTAAGACTATATTCACACAATACACTATAAAATGTACAAGTTTTATGACTAAAATGATACAAAAACAAAAAAAAAACGCTAAATAATTATCACAGACCAAAATACTATTTAAACATAAAATATAATTAAATCACACAAATAATTAAATACTAAATTTTTGACTTTTTGTTTACTTCGTATAATTAAATAAGCTAGATATTTCTTCTAACGAATATGATAGTTTTTAGCTTTATCCCATTTTTATTGTGTTTAAATTCTTTGAAATTCTAATTTCAAGGGATGTAAATTGACTAAAAGGTAAGGTCTCTAGCTGGACAATTTGACTACGCCCAGCCAAGACTGGTAGATATTACTGAAACCATAATCCTGGATCATTCTATAAATACTATATATCATACATATTTTATTGCTGCTTTATAACGTATAATTCTTAGAAATTCTAATTTTATAAGATGTAAATTTACTAACAGTAGTTCCCTAGTCGGTCAAAAACAGAGAATTCTAAATCATACTATATATATCATACACTAAATCATACTATATATATCATACACCACCAATCTCATTAAAACACAGATCCTATTTCGTTTCGTTTTTTTTTATAGTTCAAAATTTTGTTTTGCTTATCTTTACTACACTAGGATCTGGAAGAGTTGTTATATAACCTGCGTTCTGGATGATGTGAGGGATTAGCCAATGAAACGGTCTGTTGCGGCAAGTTTTTGGAGTGAGGTGCACGGAACTGTGGGTAAGCCACTAGAAACATCAACATCAACGCTGATTGGTTAATGAAATATCTGACATCATAGGGTCAAAAGCCGCTCATATGACCTCTGACGCGACCTTCCACTACAACCGGTCAGATCTTCATACAGTAGAGGCCATCAAAAGTATATAAAAAAAAAAACCGAAATGAAATATAGATCTGTATGTTTTTGTCTACGATATCACCTATGGTTGAAGTGGACGTAAAACTTTAGGAACGAACGATAGATCTGGGCCCTTATTCACGAAAACCTAAACTAAGATACAATCGAAATTTTAAGAAATACTGCAATTCGATTGGCTGACCAGTAAAATCAATTTGCATATATCCAATTTGCATATTGGTCAGCCAATCGAATTGCAGTATTTCTTAAAATTTCGATTGTATCTTAGTTTAAGTTTTGGTGAATAAGGGCCCCATATTTTAATCAGATTGATACACTACAAGCATTCTTAACACGTTTGTAATCAGCAGTAGATTTACTACAAGCATTCCTAACACGTTTGTAATCAGCAGTTGATTTTGAGCATTCTTATATCATCACAATATACAGACTAGGATTAGTCAAAAAGTTCATGTGATCCAAACACCGACTTAAAACGTTAATTTAGTACATACAAAATACAAGAAAATGGAATAAACATCTGATTTCAGTATTAGTCTCATTTGATTGGGTGTCACCATGGTTACGATTATTTGGGTAACATTCTGTACATCATCACAGATAAAATCAACTCAATCAACTGAAATAAACAAAAATATTATATTATAAAATTGAAATGGGGTTTAACATCCTACTGTTCTGCTCCTACTTTGCTAATGAAGACAGACATACGCCATACAGTGGGCTATGAGGGAAATTTTGACTGGACAGAGCCACTACAGCCTATTCTTATATCGAATTCAAATTGCCAAGGGTTCTTTACATGCACCCCATGTTTTTTGTCTCATCCTCACAACTAAATTCAGTCCATGCCCCCCAATCCGTACGCACCACCATTGTCAACGAAGAGCTAGGCACATAAAATCCTGAACCTTCCTCTCCATCCATTTGTTTCAATTTCCTGCTTGCACGTGACATGGAAAACCGTGTGGGTTTTCTATGGGTCCTCCAGTTTACTACCACTGCTAAAGACCCCCATGTGTAAGTGAATCATGTGTTAGTCCTGAAATGACAATGTTTGTGTCGAGTGGACAATAAAACCCTTTTTCTCTCTTCACCACCCACTCCAGCATCTGGCCTTAAGCATTATTGTCAGAAGGCCTGTGCCTACTTCTCAACCATCACTGGTCTGGCAGCAGAGTTGGAAAAACTTTGGTTCTTTGTTTTTGGATCTTCTAGTAGAGAGATTCAATGCCCTAATGGCTCCACTGAAGCCGTTAGAAATAAAACGAAAAAATTTCATTCTTACCAGAAAAACTCCAACAGTAATGGCTGTCGTTCCTATCACAATACCAGTTCTCTCCAGCAGTGGATCCAATTTATCAAAACAACCCTAAAAATACGAAATAATAACACTGTTTTAATTTAGCAATGACAGACTTTATGATGCAACGCGCATGCGGTAACCATTTGGGTTTTGTGTTGGGTGTAGGATCTCCCACCCCTCTAAATATATTCAAGTAGTACCTATGTTAAAAATAAAAAAATTTAAACCAGAAAATAAGACTTATAAAGCATACACGCTGTACCTTGTCGTGCCCGCATTCCTACACTGGAAAATCTTAATGAATGCTCATGGCGAACATCGGGATCCTAAGCCAGCATCAAATCTGATTAAAACACAGATCCTATTTTGTTTCTTTTTTTAAAGTTCAAAATTTTGTTTTACTTGTCTTTACTACACAAGGATCTGGAAGTGTTGTTATATTACCGGCGTTTTTGTTGAAGTGAAGGATAAGCCAATGAAACAGTCTGTTACAGTGACTTCTTGGCAGGTCATACATGGAACTGTGGGTAAACAACTAGAATCGCCAGTGCTGATTGATTCATCAATGTCTGACGTTATAGGGTCAAAAGCCGGTCGTACGACTCCTGACACGACCTTCGAGTAGAACTTGTCAGATTTGAATGCAGTGTAGGCTAACGAAAGTATAAAAAAACGAAACAAAATATAGATCTGTATTTTAATTAGATTGAGCCAACATCTTACTCAGCAAGTCACTGCCACCTGTAAATGTATATTTACCTGTGTATGTAGAGTAAAGTTGGCTTTTGTAGGATAAATTACAATTGGATCGGCTGTAATAAATGTGCTATTATGTAATATAACACACAGTTCTTTATTATCCTTGGCACAACAACTTTCTGGTACATATGTAGAATCTACGAAATAAAAAATATAAACAAAAACAGATTAGTAATGCCTTATCAACAGAATGCATTTTTCATTATCGGAGGGGGGGGGGTGCGTGTGTGTTTGTGTGTGTGTTGGATGGCCAAATGGTTAGCACGTGTGCGCTGTATCATAAGGTCTGTCATTGAGTCAACTGGTGTGGTTTAGATTCCCCGGTTGTACGTGACAAGGAGTAGAGTCACCTGTCCAACCTCGTGGGTTTTCTCCGGGTCCTCCGGTTTCCTTCCACTGCTAAAGACCCCTACGCGCAAGCGAATTACTAAAATAAAATTGAACCATGTGTTAGTCCTGAAGTGTCGCGTGGACCTTAAACCCCATTTCTCTCTCTCATTATCAGACTAACTTTGGGTAATCTTTGTTGCTATCGTTATAGTAGTTAGATCGGTCATAGTAATTATGTGGCTCAGTTTGCACTATTTTGGTGGAGCCTGCTTGAAACTCAAACATAACCGTGAATAATAGATAGTATACCACCTTTGAACATATCAAATGGGCATGAAGATAATTTCCTAAAACGTGCATCAAAAAATATTAGAAAGCATTAAAAATTTACTTGCGAAATCTTCTGAGAACCATTTTGATTTTGTTCTATAAATAGCCCAAGAATCTGTATCATTAATACCACCATAAACACCACAACAACCAAACTAAAAATAGAAAATAATTTCATTTTATATAAATTTCACAGCATCAAATTCCATTCTGACGATCAAATTCAATAAAAAAATTGATAAAAAAATTGCATCGCTGCACTGCTTGTTTTGTTCCCTATATTTGGATCTTCTTACTTTTGGAGAGCCATGGTGGCTCAGTGAGTAAGACGTTGGCTTGCTAAGCTTGAGGTCCCTGTGTTCGTCAAGAAAGTTCATCAGGGTTTTCCAGTGTGATTCTCCCTTATCAGTGGTGCAGGGCAGAGGGCATGGTATGGGACAACAAATAGTTCTTCAAAAAAATGAGATCTTACGTAGTGTGTACACACTGGCGCGAACCCTTGGTAGTTGGAATTTGATATACCGGTAAGAGTAGGCTGTAGTACCGCTGTCAAGGCAAAATTTCACTCATAACACATTGCCTGCGAACACCCGTCTTCATTAGCCCAGTCGGTGATTAACAGTAGGACGTTAAACCCTATTTCACTGCTACTTTTCATCATCATCATCAGTGAGGCCTTTAGGTAGGTCAGCGATCTTTTGGCCTATCAGTTTTTCTACACAGAGATTTTGGTGTTGTCCCTTCTCAGTCCATGACTGGATATTTAAATAGCTTAAAAATTCTTGTCATGAGTTCATTGCACCAAACAATAATCTAGATAAAAACAAACACCAGATTTTCTGCACGAGGAAGGGAATGGAATATCTTTCTAGAACACCTGATACCACTTCTCATGTATTTGGGAAGTCCATATAGCTAACATCGGCTGTGGTATCTTTGTAGATAAAGAGAGAGAGAGAAATGGGGTTTAATGTCCGCTCCACACAAACTAGGTCATTTCGGGATTAACGTATGGTTCAATTTTATTTCAATAATTCACTTGCGTGTATGGGTCTTTAGCAGTGGGAGGAAACCGTAGGACCCAAAGAAAACCCACGAGGTTGGACAGGCGATCCTACTCCTTGTCAAATACAAGCAGGGAATCGAAATTACAGCACTTGTCTCAATGATGCAATGTGCACTCGTTAAATCTTCGGCCCCCACCCCACCCCCATCTTTCTAGAAGACATGATACCACTTATCACTAATTGTGTAATGTTCATATAATCAACAATCTGTACTTCATGTGAGAGAGACATGGAGTTTAATGGCTAGATGATTACAGGATTAACATTTGGTACTTTATTACACCAATAATTTCCTTGGGAGAACCCGGGGGAAAACCCATGCGGTTAGACAGGCAACTGGCAACCTTAATCCTTGTGACATAGCATTGAAACCATGAAACGCGATTCAATGACAACCCTTATGATCTAAAGTGCATACATTGGACCACTCAGCCACTCCCTTCACCACAACAAGTACTTTATCTATTGTTATTATTATTTACATTTCTCTGAATCTCATCCCAGGCATAAGTAATCTCAGCATTATCTTGTTCTCTTTCGATGTTAACACCGTAACTATTGACCAATGTATCCTCCATCTTATTCCGTACTTTATCTTCAAGCTTTAAAATAAAGAAAATAAATTTATCATTAAAGTTACACCTGTTTTAGGAAGAAAGAATATTGTATGCACAATACCCAGAATTTTTTAAGAAATGCCGGTGTCCAAGTCCTGGATTGGCCGTCGCTTAGCCCCGACTTTAATCCTATTGAACACATCTGGGACGAACTGGGTCGACGTGTTCGTCAGCAAGTGAATCCACCACTGACGTTGCAGGACCTTCAACATGCTCTTGCTGAGCAGTGGCGACGTCTTCCTCGGGTAGTGTTTACTAATGTTCTGAGATCCATGAGAAGGCGTTGTGTGGCAGTACGAGACACTAGAGAAGGCCACAACCGTTACTAAACACTTTATTCCGATTGTTCTCCAAGTTTGTGGATTTCATTTTGGGGGGTACTGTGACATCACGAACGTTATCAATGTCAAGGACTTTCGGCGAGACGTATTCTTGCTTTCTGTTGATGTCAAGGTCGTCTGTGCACAACATAACACTAAAATAGTTGCCTTAAACCAAATATTAAAAATCTAGTCCCAAAAATCCAGAGTGTCAAGTTTTTAATTTGGCTGAGTATATTTTACTGCAATTAACGGTTAACGGAAAGTAACTCTGTTTATTCTGGAAATTAAGTTTAATAATAGTAACGAATGATGTAATCTAGTGGGAAAGCTTGCAAGAAAGAATGATCTTGACAAAATCTGTGACAGGCTTGACTATATATCATATTAAAAAACTAACTTACGTCACTAATGAGCACATAACCAAGAATACCAGCAACAAATAACATCACAGACATAAACGCTAGTAAACTCAGATGCTGAAAAATGGAAATATAATTAACTAATGAACATGTACACCAAGTTCGAAATAATTTACCTCAGTTAGTAGCAGCCTAGCAGGGTGTTCCAAAGTTTCCTTCATAGCACATTGCATGGCGCATGCCCATCTTGATAAGCCCAGTTGGTGCAAAAAAGCAGGATGTTAAACCTCATTTCATTTCGATTATACTAATTCTAACCATACACTGATCGTAAGACAGTTGATATTCTTTATTCCAAGATAATAACAATAGACCATATTTAGCGCCCTTGTACACTGCATAGTGTGCTCCAGTCTTCATTAGCCCTTTTAGTGCAGAAGATAGGATGTTAAACCCACTTTTTATTTCATTTATTCTGATACTAATGTTTTCCTATTCACTAATCGGAAGACTATTGATATTCCATTGCATTCACTTACCAATCCCATAAGACATCTGTATCGAGCGATTAATCCGCAGACACCTAATCCAATAATCAATATGATGGCGGAACCTCCACCAATCAAAATGTACGAATCAACTTGATATAAATTTACACCAATCAACTTCGAGAGGACTTTGCTGCCGTAATCTGCCAAATATGTCCATATTCCAATTCCTAATATAATCATTGCTCCAACCTGTTATGAGAGATTAGGTTTTAAATCTTACATAATGCATCTTTAACATACTGTATAATTTGTTTCATTAATTTTTCGGGACAAACATACACATGTAGTATGAGGTATTTTGGGGACTAACATATAGTATTAATTATTTTTGGGACTAACATAATAGTATAAAGAATTTTTGGGACTAACATATAGTATAAACTTCAATAATTAACCTGTTGTAATTTAGCCGAAAGTAGATTGATTTATGATACCATAGTGGCCGGTTCATTGTTTAAGAACAATGGTGTAAGGTATTTTCGGAACTAACATGTACTGTAGTATAAGGTATTTTCGGGACTAATATACAGTATAAAAGTATTTTCGGGACTAACATATAGTATAAAGTATTTTCGGGTCTAACATACATGTATATTATAAGGTATTTTTGGAACTAACATAGAGTATAAAGTATTTTCGGGACTAACATATAGTATAAGGTATTTTTGGAACCAACATATAGTATAAGGTATTTTTGGGACTAACATATAGTATAATGTATTTCATTAATTCAACAGTGGGATAAGGTATTTTGGGACTAACATATAGTATAAAGTATTTTGGGACTAACATATCGTATAATTTATTTTGGGACTAACATATAGTATAAGGTATTTTGGGACTAAAGATAAAATAAAACCTTACCAGATTCACAACCAGGAATACAACATATAAATATTTAATCCATAATCCCACGCCTTTATCAGGATTATAACCTGGTCGACGAAACTCGCGGAAATCATCATCACTCATTGAGTATTTTTTATTGGTCATCGTGAATCTGTTACTCTGATCTTTCTTGAACCACAGATTGTAATATTGTTTCAATAATCCCATCAAGAGCTTTTAATAATTTCCCCCTTCCAGGTGATTTGATCATCCCATAATTACTGAAATAAAAAATAGACTTATGTATTTTGATGTTCATAGCATGACCTTGGGGCAGAACTTGCTGTAGAGCCAGATTACAGTCACATGTCGTCCCTTCCATCAAAATATAATAATCATCATTAAACATACATTATGCAAGAGCTAAATCTGCCTATTGCAGATCTTTCTTTAGGCCTGATATGTTTTCTAAATTATTAATTAGACATTAATTAACTTATCCAGGCCATAATCAACTGTCGATGGCATCAGATTTCTTCGATGTGAAATAGATTAGAACAGTTCAGCCATATTTTGATTTAAGCTGAAAAAGTGAAGGAGCAAGACTTAGCTTCGAACAACCAGTACGGTGGTTGAAATTATTGCATAGTCTTGCCAAACCTTCAAAGGCTAATATCTTTGCTCGCAATAGAATAATTTGAATGAAATTTTCAAATTATTCATTTTACATTATCTATTTTCGAACTATTATAGCAAGAATGTATCTTTAACTTTATATGTTCAATTTTAAAAATCTACACTGTAATAAATGAAATGAAATGAAATGGGGTTTAACGTCCTACTGTTCTGCTCCAAACTGGGCTAATGAAGACAGGCATACGCCATACAGTGTGCTATAAGGGAAATTTTGTCCGCACAGCGGCACTACGGCCTACTCTTATATCGAATTCCAACTGTCAAGGGATCTTTTACGTGCATTTCAATGTATACACGGGACCTTGGTTTTTTGTCCCATCCAAACACTGAAATAAGAAATTACACGCCATAAATGTCAAGGGTTCTTTTATGTGCTCGCTTACGTATATTACAGGATGTTGGTTTTCCGTATCATCCGAATAACTATACATGTACGTTGTCCCTTCACCCTTGACAAGAGCGTCAAATAATATCTCAGTAGAGACTATATTTATCCCACTGTATTGCTATGCCTGTCTTTATTAACCCAGTTGGAGCCGAAAAGTAGGACGTTAAACCCTATTTCATTTCATTCGCTTTTGTATCATTTAGTTGTGATGTTTTAGCAGGAGGTTCTGTATTTAATGTTTAGTTTCAAACTGTTGTTGGCAAATTGGTCAAATTTACTGAGAATCATTAAAAGATATTTGGTCCCCATTGTCGCGTAGTTTAAAATGGTTTGTCTAAATTAGATAATGAATGTCAGGTTTACAACTGTTTACTTCCCTTGGCGGTGTTGAGTAATTAATTACAGTAGTCTGTTAATAACTCAACACCTTCAAAAGGAGAAAAACTAGCCAAATTGCCTGTTATTAAAATGAACCACGGTAGAACTAGCGTATAAATGTAGAACTTAACAACTTACCTATAAACTATACAACTGATTGAATACGGTTCTATCTGTGTTTGTGTCAGACTTTTACCATGTGTACTAAATAATGTTCTCCTTTTTTTGTGTATGTCTTTTATTTTATGGATTAATGTGTTGTGATATAAGTTGTACTTAAGTAAAGCACCCAAGAGCAGCTCGCTGAGTTGAATTGTTGGCGCTATATAAATCAATTATTATTATTATTATAACTTATATTGAATCAAGTACATGTACATGTCAATTTTAGGTCATGTTTGACTACAGCTTTTCAAAAGGTAATAAATAATGAAAGACACCTAGTAATAATATTGTTTAATATCACCATGGAACAGGCCAAGTACATATAAATTCACATGTTATATATCAGTGTTCCAGAAACCGTCATCTGATCGCAACCCCTCGAAGAACATTTCAAAGTCACCTTTTACTATGAAACATCATCATTTACAGATCAAAATGTTGTAATGAGAGAATGGAGAAACAAACCGTGAGCATGAGGGCGAGAGAAGAAAGTTGATTCTCATGTGGCAAGATGTGAATAGATCAGAGATTTTTTCATGAAAACACAGCAGTTTTTCAAAAGTTTCAGAGTTGTCTGCCACGACCCCACGAAAAGTGCTCTACGACCCTGAGGTTTGGCAACCCAGGTTATGTAGAGAGAGAGAGAGAAATGGGATTTAAGGTCCACTCGACACAAACTAGGTCATTTCGGGATTAACATATTGTTTCATTTTATTTCAATAATTCGCTTGCGCGTAGGGGTCTTTAGCAGTGGGGGGAAACCGGAGGACCCGGAGAATACCCACGAGGTTGGACAGGCGACCCTACTCTTTGCCACATACAACCGGGGATTAACATATTGTTTCATTTTATTTCAATAATTCGCTTGCGCGTAGGGTTCTTTAGCAGTGGGGGGAAACCGGAGGACCCGGAGAATACCCACGAGGTTGGACAGGCGACCCTACTCTTTGCCACGTACAACCGGGGATTCGAAACCACGCCAGTTGACTCAATGACAGACTTTATGGTACAGCGCACACGTGCTAACCATTCAGCCATCCAACCCCTCCCCCCAGGTTATATATTGACATACAGTTGAAATGTTATAAATATCTCTGAATGCCACATTAATTTAATTTTCTGGTCTTCAGGGACTTGATAAAAAAAAGTCGTTTGAATCACATGAAAGATGTTTTATTTAAATTTCAACAATTAAAAATTTGGAAAAGACAAGCTTTTGAACAATACAACAAAGAAAAAAAAAGAAAGAAATTTTTTTACAAGAATATTAAATTGGTGTGGCCTAAAACATCTTTATTTATAAAAATGCATGAAAGATTAAATCTTTTTATTAGGGCCTTTATTTATAAAACTATATGAAGTATTTTTTATTGTGTATGAAATAGTTTTATTAGAGCTTTTATCGGATATTAGTCATAGGCAATCCAATGTTATAAAATGACATACATGTGCAGTAGAATCAATTTAAAAAAAATCACACAAAAAATTGTATGAAAATTAACCGCTATTTATTTGCAATTTTAAGTGATGCTCGTTTTGACTTTTCTTTTACAATTATATTACAGATTTTTCTATAGACTTTATACCTATGATTCAACTTCTAATTCAAAGGAAACGAAATGAAATGGGGTTTAATATCCTACTTTTCTGCAAGGACTTGCCAATGAAGTTTCAAGGAAATAAACCTTTAACTCAATATTATCCTTAATATTTGAAATAAAAAACACGGATTAAAATTCAATATTGGTCCATTTCAATTAATATTGATGTTGTTATCTTACAGAGTAAATATGGGATCCTATCCAATATTCAAGACACATAATACAGATATAATGGTTTCAAGAGCAATTTGGTCCTCTACAATAGATATTCAGTGATGCTTTGCGCAAGTTAAAATAGCCTCATACAAATAATCTGTATTGAATACATGCTTTTATCATAACATCCACTCGACACAAACTAGGTCATTTGGGACTAACATATGGTTCAATTTTATTTTAACAATTCGCTTGTGAGTAGGGGTCTTTCTTTAGCAGTGGAGGGAAACCGGAGGACCCGGGGAGAAAACCCATGAGGTTGGATAGGCGACTGTATTCCTTTTGTTACGTACAACAGGGAATCGAAACCACGTCAGTTAATTGTCTCAATGACAGACCTTATGATACAACGTGCGCATACACTAACCATTTGTTCATCCAACCCCCCCAATTAAAGTAAGAACAATTAAAGTAGTCCCACACAGTTTCTCTTTGTGGCAATGTGTTTTACATTTTCAAAGTGCCATTTTTATGTACTTGTGTCAGAAGTGGCAAGAAATGATCCCTTTTGGTGAAACATAAAGAACCACGGTGAACAACAGAATGCAAGGATTCCCAAATAGCCTTAGAACAGCGACCTCGGATTTTCGTCACATCGGAACGACTGAAATTTGGTGTGCGGTCATTATTAGCCACCATAAACATACCCTGCAAGTAATAGGTATATGAAATTGTCGTAGAGGCCAAATGAAATACATGTAAGTAATTTGAATTTCAAATACATGTAGCTTCTGTTGACCTGTAAGTGTTGATAAACAACAAGTAAAATAGGCCTCGACAGGGGCCTATATTTACTTTAGTTACATAATACCTAAACTGGGAATATAGGGTGATCATAAAGATAAACATCATATAGTAGGCAATAGGTTCTGCATAGAAACAACTGCTTGATTTAAATTAAAATTAACTAATAACATACCTGCTGAAGTAGGAAACCATAGACGCCTTGTTTACAGGGGTTATGAAAGATGACAGTAGTGACACCTGGTGAACAGGTATAATGAAGGTAAATGAGGAGTTATCTTTCTTAATTTCTTCAACCATAACTTTATTGCATATAAATAAAACAATCTTCTCCAATTTCAATATTTTTTATAGGCCTACACGTGCCTGGATATGGATATATTTTGGATCCAGTGGATGATGTCCGTGAATGTTTTAGAGGATTTTCTAGCATAGTTTCGCCTTATCAGTCTAGTCGTTGGGATGGGACACTAAACCTAACGCGTAAGCTTCTTTTTGCACCATTTAGCACCAGTATTTATCCAACCCGCATGACTTTTATTTATTGCTATCACGTTTTCTTATTTCAAATTTCCTTTGTTATATTTGGTTAAAATTATGGTCACTTTGTGACAAAATCGGGCTTTCGTCCTTTCGAGCTCGTCCAAAGGAAGGGAAATAACTCATGTATAATTTTGAAGTATCAGACCATGGTTATTGAAATTCTTACATTGTTTATAAGGAAAACTAACATCACCACATGTACTTATTACTGGGTTTTATTTCAAGTTCCTTTAGGAATTGTCTCTGATTGGACTATACATAGTTCGCTCAGAGACAGTTCCTAAAGGAACTAGTTTTTTTCTGGCTTTGTGTTGATCTTTTGTTTTGCCATTGTGTTGATCTTTTGTTTTGTATTGTTTTGTCATTGTATTAATCTTTCGTATTGTCATTGTATTAATCTTTTGTATTGATCTTTCGTTTTGTATTGTTTTTTAATCTTTTGTATTGTTTTTTAATCTTTTGTATTGGCATTGTATTAATCTTTTGGTTTGTAATTTTGTTAATCCTTTGTATTGTCATTGTGTTAATCTTTTATATCATTAATGTGTTGATCTTTTGTTTTGTCATTGTGTTGATGTTTTATATCATTAATGTGTTGATTTTTTGTTTTGTCATTGTGTTGATCTTTTGTATTGTCATTGTGTTGATCTTTTGTATTGTCATTGAGTTAATCTCTTGAGTTGTCATTGTGTTAATTTTTTGTTTTGTCATCTTGGTGATCTTTTGTATTGTCATTGTGTTAATCTCGTGTTATCATTGTGTTGAACTCTTGTTTTGTCATTGTGTTAATTCTTTGTGATTTCATTGTGATGATCTTTGTAAAAATTGACAAATACCCAACCTTTTTACACCAATAAGTGTTTTCCACCCAAATTTGACCCAAATACAGGAGATTAGGAGTAGGTTGACCATTGGGAGAGAGAGTGGGGAGAAAGGGTGGGAGAAAGGGAGTAGGGAGAGAGAGATCAAGGGAATGAGAGTAGGCCACGGTACAGTACTGCTGCCTGGGCAAAACTTCCCCCATAGCACAGTGTGAGGTTTCCCATTTAACTAGGTGCAGAGACATATTCAAATGATTTGCATCTGTCTCTCATAACTCAAAACAAATGAGAGAGAAAGAGAGAGAGAGAGAGAGAGAGAAAGAGAGAGAGAGAGGAATGTTGTTTACTCACACAAAATAGGTAATTTCGGGACTAACATATGGTCTATAGCAGTGGGAGGAAACCGGAGGACTCAGAGGTTTGACAGGCGACCCTACTCCTTGTCACATAGAAGCAGGGAAACAAAAGCATGACATTTGACACAATGACAGATCTTAAGATCTAAAGCCCATGCTATAGACTATTCAGATACCCAACAAATGAAATTTGACAAAGTTTTATTATTTTTTTTTTTTTTTATCAGAAAATATTTTTTTATCAACTGACTGACATATAACAAAAACATCAAATTCTGAAATAATTCAACATTTTAAATATATTTACATACGTTACATACAATATACAAATATATACATGTATACATATAACATGGCTGCCTTAGTTAATATGACAATTAATACATGATGATGTATTTTAAAGGGGTTATAGTTCTATTTTTAGAATCTTAAAGAAACATTATGTAACAATTAGATAAACAGTTTGCTGTTCTTGCTATAACAGATAATGAAAACTGAATATATTAAAAATTCCAGTCAAATTACTTTATTCTGCACAAAGTTATAGGTGTTTGATGTTTTGACAAAATTAGCATAGATTGTTTATCGTGGCAATGGTACTCGACAATCGAGACAGACTCTCGATTATCCATTTTATTGTTAAACTCTTAAATAGCTGCCTGTTCTTATATACTTAAAATCAGAGCCATCCAATGGTCTAGAGAGTTGATTATAGGCGTCTCATGTTAATAAATGTTTAAATGATAATTTATACAACTTAAAAAAGACCAGATTTAACTCTTACATAATGCATCTTTAAAATAAATGAAAATGGATCTAAAAACACATTTTAATGTAGGAAAGTGTATATAAACTGATTTACATTCAATTTTTATTGTAATTTCTAATCAGTTATGTTCGATGGAATATGTGAGTAGCCAAATAAAATGGCAGTCTTTTGCGCTAGTTTATCTGTTTTCCTTGTCATTTGTGGATCAGTCATTTTTAATTACTTCCGCATTCAGGATAGGTGAAGGATATATTTTGTTTTGTTCATCAAATTTACAAATAATGGCCATAGAGAAACTGATGTTTGGAACTGATTTTAAAATGTTCATTATGTCTTAAATATTGTATATCAGGAGCCCATATTTTCACGGTAAGATAACCACATCAATATTGATTGAAATGGACCAATATTAAATTCCAGTTTGTATTTTTCAATGTCGAATATTATGGATAATATTAACTTAGATCTATACAACCTTTAATATGCTGATATTTAAAGCGACTGATTTTAAATTGAGGAATTTCGAATTCCTTGTAAACTACAATGTTGTGAACGTTGAATCTCAAAAAAATGAAATGGGGTTTATCGTCCTACTGTTCTGCTCCAAACTGGGCTAATGAAGGGAAATTTTACCCGGAGAGCGGCACTACGGCCTATTATTACATCGAATTCCAATTTTACGTGCAAGCCAATGTGTACACAGGACCTCGGTTTTATATCCCATCCGATTGACTAGACAGTGTTTGTTGTCAGGCCCGAATCTCAAAAAGGAATATTGGTCCAATTCCAATCAATATTTACACAGATATGAATTGAAAAATCCCAAATGTCCGTCTTGGGTAAAATCTAATTGATTGGCCAGCTATCTTTAATCCAAGTGAATCCAACCAGGGAGATTATCTACCGTTCATATTTTTGTTTTGTTTTCTTAATTAAATGTTAAATAATCAATCTGAGTACATATTAGCATGGATTAGATATTATTCGAAAAATGCACAATCACGATCTAAATGATATTACTTCGACATTTTCAGGTATAATTACAGTGGTTTAAAATATAAGAGCAATAAAACAATAAGGAATGACTTCAAAATTTATTCTCCAATCTCAATTCAACAACAATTTCATTTGAAAACACACAGAACAGATTGAAAAATAGTAAAGATAACTTCATTATTGATTGCAACTAGAATATGTTGAAAAACTTCATAAAAAGCATAAACTTAAAATAAGGCCAAATGTAAAAAAAAAATCTGGTTCACACAATCCTGCCCCCCACACAAATAAATACGCCATGATTCCCAAAATGTCATTACACATACTGTTTTTTGTGAATAGGTAACTTAACACAAACATTACATTTCTTTATAGGTTACCTTAACATTCGGTTCAATTTTATAGGTTACCTTAACCACACGGTTCAATTTTAATTCAATAAGTTGCTTTAGCGTAAGGTTCTTTAGTAGCGGAAGAAAATCAGAGGACCTAAAAAAAAAACCCATGATGTCACGTACAGGCTTGGGCACGAAACCACGCCACTTGACTCAATGACAGCTTTTATGATCTACAGTGCATGCATTAGATCGCTCGACCATCCAACCTTCCCTGCCCGCAGTATCTGAGAACCATAATATTTTTTTATGTGGCCTAGGATAAACATCCACCCAATCTCTCACTGTTTTTATTATAATTATGGCACATGCTATATCAATCTTTAGACAAATCATTGATGAGAAGTTATTAAAGTTGTCTCCCTTGTGACAGCCTTGAAATGATCAACTGACTAGCCTGTGATAATATTTTAAAATGAAAGTAGAAGCCAGACCTGTGATAGCCACAGCACAGAAAATCAGTAAAGTATGAATTAATAAATATATTTCTGTATGATTCTGTTTTATAATGATCTATTTGTTATGCACGAGTGGTTTTACAGGATCAACAGTTTTAGATGGTTGCTTGATGTACACTTTAACTCTATGACCAACACAGAAATATTTGGTCGATTCCAAGAAGAGGTGGGGAAATATCGGTGGACTCCTGCGTAAATCGACAGTTATCACAGGTCTGTAGAAGCACATGATATTAATTAAACTAAATTAACTTTCTGTATTCTCTCCACTAATAAACAGACAGTTGTATTATTTTTAAGGTATGAAACAGCTCTATTATGATCTATACTCGTAAAATCTGTTCCATTCACCTGAAAGTACAGATAAAAATACAGGTGAATATGGATGTAATACAGGTTAAAAACCAGGCGAAAATAGAGATGACAATACAGGTAAAATATATGTGAAATACATATTAAAATAGGGATACAATACAGGTAAAATACAAGTTAAAAACCAGGCAAAAATACAGGTAACAATCCAGGTGAAAATACAAGTCAAGGAACATAATTCAACCAAATGAAATCAATTCAACACACTTGGGAGTGAATACAATAAAGGGAGCAAAAGAGGTGAAGGTTGCAAAGGGTAAACAAACTCAAGACCTTGCTCCAAAAGGGCTTGATGAAAGGGGATCTGATCATTGTTACAGGATAAATATATGTGTCTACTTTTTCAATATTTAGGATTTCCTGCATCGGACAATATGTAATTCATGGTTTAATCAAGCTGGTGAACTGTCCCAGCCATGGAGGAGAGAGAGGAAAATGGGCTTGAACGTCCACTCAACACAAACTAGATCATTTCAGGACTAACACATGGTTAATTTTATTACAACAATTTGCTTGCAAGTGGGGATTTTTAGCAGTGGTAGGAAGCTGGAGAACCCTGAGAAAACCCACCAGGTGAGCTATGGTAGAACTAAATCATTAAACCTTACCTTTAATATTTTATCACCTCTGCGTAACGTATGTTTTGCGGGACCATTAGATTGAACTTTAGTAACAAAAATACCCTGTAAAATACAGTAATTAATTACAGCACAACAAAACATCTAATCTATTAAAGTATCTAAACATCATTTTGAGGAATAACAGGATCCCTTGCACACTATAATATAGTAAAAGTTGAATCTCTAAAAGTATTTGTGTTCTCCATTCTATACTAATACCATATCCCCAGCACCAAAAAGACAAACAAAAGAAATGGACGGTGTACAATGTAATTTATAAATGACTAGTAAGATGAAATATGAATTTAGCAATATATCTATTGAAATATATACATTTAAGAATAAAAAAGAATATTTCTTATCTGGAAAGCGATTGCTGCTAAAAAAGCTTATATCATTTGAATTTATTTTCCCATTCCATTCATCTTTTGTCAGAGAGAGAGAGAGAGAGAGAGAGAGAGAGAGAGAGAGAAAGTTCCCATTCCATTCATCTTTTGTCAAGGAGAGAGAGAGAGAGATGGAGTTTAACCTCCACTTGACACAAACTAGGTCATTTCAGGACTAACACATGGTTCAATTTTATTTCAGTAATTCGCTTGTGCGTAGGTTTTTTTTTTATCAGTGGGAGGAAACCGGAGGACCCTGAGATACCCACGAGGTTGGACAGACGATCCTACTCCTTGTCACGTACAACCAGGGAATCGAAACCACACCAGTTGACTCAATGACAGACCTTATGCTACAGCGTGCACATGCTAACCATTCGGCCATCCAACCCAAGTCTAATATAAAACGTAGATAAATAGAGTAATGGGTTAAATATTATCGGCACATCTAATTTCCATCTAAGCATTTGCTATACATCTATACATCATCTGAATTTGTAGAAGTATTAGGATAATACACCATGTGCCAAAGGCTACTTACCATATCATCTGGACGGAATGGGTTACCATGGGAATCACTACCTCCAGCAATACTAAATCCTAAACCAGGGTTTTTACTAATTTGTACCTGAAACTGGAAAATAAAAATCGACATTTAAGTTTTAAGTTTTAAGTTTTTCATACCTGGTTTTATGACAAAATTACAACTTGAAAACTAATCAATCTGGCAATATTAATGTTGCCTGCCCCTAAATCCTAAGAAGATTTAAACCAATTAATCAATGATACTGATCCTCTTTGGAAACAAGATTACAAATTAGATGACTTTTGGTGATTTAAACGATTTTTACAAATTTTTAAACAAAGATTTGATACTGAATAAATGTGAAAGAAATCCTTGATATTTTGATTTTGTTGACTTAATTAAATGATCAATTTATATCTTAGCTTCTATTAAAGATACATTCCCGCGTACAAACTGGACTATATTTGGACTAAAAACATATTCAAACTAATTAATTTATCATAATTTTGCTTCAAAACCTTCTCAAAATATTGCAATTGCCAAGGAATACCCTTACTATAAAAAAATCGACCAAAAGAGGTCATGTTTGTGTCACGTGACTTACTTCTCTCGGTACTTAGCAACGGGGGCGAAGTCAGAGGAGAATTCATTGCATTCACAAGACAATGTTGTCTTTAATCGCTGACTATTTATTACAAATATCGAAGCCTAATTAAATTCTCGGATTATCCACTGCCCAAGTTTTTTTTCCGTGGTTTTTAACTCAAAAAACTGTTGTAAATCTAACTATTCATAAAGTTTATCAACATGTACATCAAGCGCTCAATCTCCGCGTGCGACCTTTGACGTCACACGTGCAGACAATCCTAATCATCGGGCTGTCGATTAAGGAAACCCTTACAGTTTTGTCCTGTATGCGCTCCATGAGTGTTTTTCAGGGCATCCTGTATTTTTCTAGTAAGATTGGATATTTCTACTTTCCATATATATCAAAATTGCCATACTTTTCTGGGAACCTATCTTTAAGCTGTGAGACTTTATTTGATTTTATGAAATGCTAAAAACAACATACCACATCTTTTGTATCGATACTCGAGTCATCAACATACATAATCTTGTTATATGAAGCACCTGTTGATTCAGTGGGAGTTGTTTCCCTTGAATGAAGATATTCTCTAGATGAAGAACTATTTCTACTAACTGTAGCATGTGACTGGGGTGATGGGGAACTGTTTAAACCTGAAATATTTAAAATATATTAATACAAAAGCAATACACAAATTTCTTAACCATGTGAATAACTCACATTGGAAAGGGAATTGTGTTTAAAGTCTTCTTCTTCACAAACCAGCCTATGGCGAAAAATATAGTGCTCAGGGGGCTAAGAGAAGGTGTTGCAGTGACACACTTTGCATCACTTTTTTAGTGTTTTTGAGTCCCTGTTGAGTTTCAACGCGGTTTTGAATTCTATTGGCAGATAATCATATTGCTCAATCAGTGTCGAGCATATACCGTGGGTAAAATATATACAAATTGATTCTACCAAGTTGCACAAAGCCCCATGTCTCCCTTGGACCACCTTAAAGATAAAAATATAGCGTTTCTGTGCCCCACGGGATCTTGTTCCGTGGTCACATCACCCCTAATAGAGCCAGTAATTACCTGAGTATTTATTCGAAAATTCACCAACTCTTTCGTACGTATGATGTCCGTGGCCGTAACCACTATCAGTTGAACTTGATACCTGGGAGGACGGATCACTTTTAAACATGGCTATATCGTCATAACGACTCATCACCGATCCGATTGCCGACCCATTCTGATCATAAACACCGGAGAACGGATGACTATCACTAGTTTCTAGAGTTTGTGATCGCGATCTTTCTCTAGGTGACGGCTGTAAATCACGGTCTATCATTTCTCTCGATCCGCTACGCCTCGTCCGTGGAAGAGTTGATATGCCCAGTTCTCCAACGCCACATCTTGGATCAACACTGGGATCCGACAGTCTTTTCTGTAAACTGTGATCTGAAACTCGATCAGAGCTGCCAGCTCTCGAAGAGCTTTGACTTCTCGGTGAATCCAGATGATCTCTTTCACTAACAGATGGTGATCTATAGTATGGCGGAGCTGGCTGGTATGCTGGAGGATGTGAAGCACTTTCTATGCTCTGACTAGACTGAAATACACAAAACATTGGATAAATAATCAAATATCCCTGTTGAGATTACACAACAAGTTGGGTCTCATATATTTCTGCTGTATTGGGGGGTGGGGGGTTGAATGATTAGCATGTGCGCGCTGTATCATAAAGTCTGTAATTGAGTCAACTGGTGTGGTTTCAATTCCCCGGTTGTATGTGAGAAGGGGTCTTTAGCAGTGGGAGAAAAAAACGGAGGAACAGGCGACCCTACTCCTTCTCACATACAACCAGGGAAGTAAGTATTTGGCCTGCATGTGTTTTGAGGTAAGATACACAATGTCTATGCAATCCTGAGCTCCTTATCCAATTGCATGCACAAAATCGCGTATTCTGCCAGGAATTTTTGAATATTTTCTGATGGAAACACACCTAACAATCCCATGTCTGGAAAATCCTGGTAATGCAACTGCCTATTTCAAACTGATATTGGATTATATTACTTATATACACTTACATAATTTAATTTAGGATTAGATGCTGCCCTGGCCATATTCTCTTCCAGCACAGTATAAAGTTCTCTCTTCCAATCTTTAGCATTATTATTTTCTTCGCTGCTAGATATAGAGAGGCGGCCATCTTGTGCTGGATCTGCACAAACAGGCGTGCTCTGATCAATGAATCGACTTCGTTGAAATAAACTTGGGGAGGGACTAGGCAAAACGGTAATTGAGTTCACTTCGCGACTTACTGATAGATCACCTTTTGACAGAGACACATTGCGATTCGGATCGGAAATACTCTCGGTTCGTGGATTTTCCTGATACTGATTCCCATGGTTGCCAAGATTTTGAATATATTCATAGTTTTTGGCACTACCATAATCAGATCTTCGTTGGGTATTACTAGCACTACTTGGGAAATCACTGCGAAGTTCTTGTGATCGTTCGTGAAGATCATACGGCACACTATGAGCTCCAAACTGTTGCGATAGCGAGATATGTTTGTAGGCTGCGTTACGAGTTTGACTGACATAAGCATCTAAATCACTTGTGTAACCATTATCTCTTTTAGCTTTCTGTTGATTGGACGAATGATGCGTAGAATGAGGTAAAGTTTTGGTATTCATGTCGTACACATTGGCCCTATCGTCGTTTAAATACTGTTTACGGAATCTCACAACATCCTGATCACTACGGTAACCGGTATCAGAATCGTACTCGCGCATCCTACGATTGTGATGACCTTTATGATGATGATGGAACACCAATTGTTTATAGTTCAAGGCATCAACCTTCCATTTAGCGGAATCGTAATCTGGTTTAGTGCCAGCAACATTGTTCGTTTCTATCACAGATGTGGGTATATCAGGATTAGAACCTGGACGTCTACTTCTGTTAGATGGATGTTCACCCAGACCTGTAAGAAAATATCGAAACTAAACAAATGGCAGCCATGTTAATACTGGGTATTAGGATGTAACATGCTATTTCTCTGCACCTGATGGGCTAACGAAGACGGTAAACCGAAAGAAAGAGGAGAGAGAGAGAGAAATGGGGTTTAACGTCTACTCGACACAAAGTAAGTCATTTTGGGACTAACATATGGTTCAATTTTATTTCAATAATTTGCTTGCGCGTAGGGGTCTTTAGCAGTGGGAGGAAACCAGAAGACCCGGAAAAAACCATGAGGTTGGACAGGCGACCCTACTAATTGTCACGTACAACCGGCAAAAGAAAGAGAGATTATCGTTCTTGTCAGTACAATACTTTGAGACTTACATATGCTATATGCACCAAATCAGGGTTCCTGCGGCTTCGTCAAACATTTTTTCAAGGATATTCAAGGATAAATATACGTCAAATTCAAGGATTTTCAAGGACATTTTTTAGCCTAAAGTTACAATTTTTCATCTTAAAAATAACCAAAACATTACCAACTATCGTTATAATCTCATTTAAAAGGAATTGAAGACATTTGGAACAAAATTAAGGATCTCAACTGAAATTCAGGGATATTTTCCTATTTCCGCGAAATTCAAGGATATTCAAGACCTTGAAAATGAAATTTAAAATTTAAGGATATTCAAGGATTTTCAAGGACCGCGGGAACCCTGCAAATTTTAGACTGAGAATTTTGCCCCGACAGCCGTGTTTCCCGCTATATATGGTACGTTGTAGTCGCATGGTAAGGCTACTGGACTCTTGACATAGGATTTGTCGAGTCTGGGTCCACACATTGGTGTGTTGTGTTGTATATAAACAGACCCATGACAGTTGAAAATGGATGAAGACTAGTTGGAGACAACCATGTCCCGGCAATATTATGCTCGTATGTGACCATAGAAACACAAATAACTGTATGATAGTCTTTCATTTCTAAAGGATTTTTTACTTGGACTACAGTCTTTTACGTGAAAGCCAAAGCGTACACAAGATCACAGATTACATCCAAATAATTAAAAAAGCCATTTCATCATATTGTGCATTGAACACAAGACCTCAGATCATATCTAAAAAATTAAAGTAGTTAAAAGCCATTTCTTCATATTAATATATACCCTACCTTTCTTGTGTATTCTACCCTCATTGTGCATTGTACACAAGACCTCAGATCACATCTAAATAATTAAAATAGTAAAAGTCATTTCATCATATTAATATATAGTGTACCTTTCTTATGCATTCTACCCTCTAAACCATGGCGCTTTGGTTTTGGTGATTTTAAAACACTTTCCTCCGCTTCATTTTTTTCATGATAATGTATCCTAGCTTTGTCTTTCATAAACTTCTCCTAAAAATAAAAACAATTTTAAAAACACTACTACCGAAACGGGAGTTAATTTTAGCTTTTGATTTAAACAGTATTTATTTAACATATGATTACATACTATATACAATACATAATTATTTATTTGGATTGTGAAACAAGCTTAAAAGCTTATATTAATCCGTCGCCAATTTTAACTTTTAACACAGTCCTGTTCAGATTGTTGCTTGTGAATTATTACATGAGCAAACAGACAGTGTGGTATATATATATAGTTCTATACAAATGTTCACATTATTATTGTTATCTATTATTATCAGAATATTGATTCCTTGATGCCACAACTGTATCACTGGGATCCAAATCTTGCCAGCACTGTTCCGGATTCCTCCCTCAATCATTCGTTCGTTCGTTCCTGGAATTTTACGCCCACTTCCACCCAGGGTGATATCGTAGACAGTGTTTTCTAAGAAACTTACCAGATATCGTAGGGTGATATCGTAGACAAGTGTTTCCTAAGAAATTTGCCAGAGGAAGCCACAAAATAGGCTTGATCCAGTTTATTTGGAATTGACACAATGTCTTTGCAAGGAAGTGCCCAAGGTATATTTCATCGAAAGGAGAGACTCCCGGAGAGATTCCTCCATCCATTTACTGTACTTATATAGTAAGGAGTTTTAACTTTTTCTCAGACTTGGAGTTCATTAATATACCCAAATCTTAATACTATTGTTGTAATTGAAATGAAATGGAGTTTAACGTCCTACTGTTCTGCTGCGACTGGGCTAATGAAGACGGTCATACAGTGTGCGATGAGCGAAATTTTGCATGGACAGTGGCGCTACGGCCTACTCTTATATGGAATTCCAACTGCCAAGAGATCTTTAATGTGCAGTCGTGCACGCCAATGCGTACATGGGATCTCGGTTTTCCATCCCATCCAAACAACTAGACAGCTGTCCTTGTCAGGCTCTCCGTCCTTCACCACTGACAAGGGGATATCACGACTGAAAATACCAACCCCAGACCTCCAGGCTAGCAAGCCAGCGTCTTACTTAGTTAGCCATCATGGCTCCCTGTGGTCATTGTCATGAGTTTATATGCACTATTACAAATATTACAAACCATTACTGTATGAGAGAGAGAGAGAGAGAGAAATGGGGTTTAACGTCCACTCGACACAAACTAGGTCATTTCGGGACTAACACATGGTTCAATTTTATTTCAATAATTCACTTGCACATAGGGGTCTTTAGCAGTGGGAGGGATCCAGAGAAAACCCATGAGGTTGGACAGGCGACCCTACTCCTTGTCACGTACAACCGGGGAATCGAAACCACGCCAGTTGACTCAATGACAGGCTTTATGGTACAACGCGCACATGCTAACCATTCAGCCATCCAAACCCCCTCATTACTGTATGATTTTGGATAATAACTAGCCAAGAGGCCTAGGGGGTTAAACCCGGTGTTGACTGGGAAAGTGTCTACCTTTGAAAGAGAAAAGGACAAAAAAAACAAAAAAAACACTAATGCATGCATCTTTTTCGACAACTGAATCAAAATAAAAACCTTCATCCTCTTCATGATTAGAGATATAATTTAATTAAAGTTACAATTTCATATTTTCTAAGAAAGTCAAAACATAATTATTTCTATGTCTTTTATGTATTATACGATCATGGGTGTCATTCTCACACTTAAAACTCATTTACACAGGAAATAATAACACAATTACCTCCCTCGTTTTATATTCTCCACCATGGAGTAGTTATCTTCAAACGTTGGAATTTGAAGATGAAAATGATATTTTTGCCAATTACTCAACTGGCAATAGTGAATTTTAGGATTAATAGGATTATTCTTTAACAAGGTAGGACTGTTTATAGATACCATCTTTTTTCAGGCTTTATTTTAATAAATTTTAAAAATATAACTTAAAAATATGAAATTGCAACTTTAATTTACAATACTGGTTCTCTAAATGAGCCTACCTTATCATATCGATACAATCTATGAGTTTCACGGAGAGATGGTGAAACAGGTTTATTTTCTCGGCCAAGAATCGGTGAATTAGTAGAACCCTGCCAACAAATTACATTAATTCAACATGTTAGAACATAAAAACAAAACAAAACAATTTTTTTTAACTTGTCAGCTTTATGTATTCCTACGCAAATATATCTATTCGGAATCGTCGCAAAACTGTGCTGTACTTACATGTGGGCCGTTCAGACAATTATTATCAAATCGGGGAAGTATTCTATACACCGACAAGTTTAACTATATTGAACTCATTGGTTAAAGGATATCACTTTGCCAGGTAAATAACTTACTATATCCATCCCCAAAGCTAGCCGAAGTCAGGTATTTTTAAAGATGACCTGTTCAGAATCGTAAATATTTATTTTCATAAAATGAATGGATTGATGTCAGAATTTTCAATGAATGGTTAAATTTGAACTTCTGGATCAACGTCTAGTTGGCCTTCTTTCTTTTTTTTATCAACCTAATATCATTCTTAAATTTTTACGTATGGTTTAATTTTAATATTTTAGACAAAATTTAAAATTTCAAAACCCAACAAACTCTCAATTAGTATGTCTTAAGGCATTACATGCAAATAAGTCAGTAGTCTTAATTGGTCCAGACTATACTGTCTGCACTTTAACTACAACAAAAAACAGTCTGGACAAAATTTAGTTTACTGTGTAAGGGTCATATGGAGATTCCAGTATAGCTTACCACGAATATTTGTATCAGACAGGAATGGTCGAAGCAAATGTATCCGTAATTCATGCATTGTATTTTTTTTTAATGATTGGCGGAAAACAATAAATAGAAATGCATGATGCATAGGTTATTAGATTTGAATTTTAATAAATTATTGGAAAACAAAAAAGCTGACAACTTAATAAAAATTAATTAACAAGTCAATCATGTTAGTTCCAAACCCACAACAAAAACAAAACACCCTCCAGTGGCTCCACCCACCCTCCAGTGACTCCTCCCATCTGTTTACCCTAGACCACTCCCTCTTTCCACATCTATAAATAGCCCCGTTATACACCGGCCATTTCCATACAAAAATTTCATCTATTGAAAGTTTGGGTTAGGGTTATACTAGAATCCTCCACAGAAAGCACAGGCTGTGAGTTTATTTTACTTGCACTCATTGGGAATGGAACTCATGACGGCGCATCCAATTGGCGATTCTAGCCTCTACCCCTGAGCTTTTGCATAAATCCTGGTTACCAACCTCTACCCCTTACAGTGTCTAACACGACCTCCCCTGGAAATAACTTTGACATACACAACAAGGATTAAATTAGTATAAAACAAACTAATATCTGTCAACATCCATCCGTTAATAAACCCAATCAGCTATGTTTTAGTCTTCAATATGCATAGATTTCACAATTCACACCACGGGTCTCGACATTTTACGAATCAAACCTTGCCCGGTGCTAATCAATTTGCTACAAGGTAGCCAACTTGATTCGCACAAATGCTAATCAAAGATTACTTTTTTAACTGTAAAATGTTGTTGACAGTTTTTATAATTCATACACAGCTAATCAAAACTGGACATTGCTAATGAATTTCGAAAAACTATCGAGACCCCTGATTCACACACACAAAAAGCTTGTTGTGTTATTAAATGATGATAAACGAATGATGCCACCACCGTTTACTAAATACGAAGAGCAGTCCTCTTTAACAGGTCTCTTTTACTGGCTCTCTTTTAGAAAAGGTAGAGTTGAAACCATTTAGCAAATATTGTTGACGCAAAAGGTTTGCGGTCCATGAAAAAATAGGAGGAATATTTATATATTCTGTAATGTGAGCTCCCAAAAATTTTGCAAGAAAATGATCCGTAAATTAGGCTCAAAATAAGTTTGACGTCAACTCGACATAAAGTAGGTCATTTCTCAATATGATTAAAATACAGATCTATATTTCGTTTCTTTTTTTTTATACTTTTGATGGCCTACATTACATGAAGATCTGACCAGTTATACTGGAAGATCACGTCAGGAGTCGTATGAGCGGCTTTTGACCCTATGGCGTTAAATATTGATTAATCAATCAGCGTTGATGTGTCTAGTGGTTTACCCACAGTTTCGTGCATCTAACGCCAAGAAGTTGCCGTATCAGATGGTTTCATTGACTAATCCAGCACGCCATCCAGAACGCAGGTTATATAACAACTCTTCCAGATCCTAGTGTAGTACAGACAAATATAACGAAATTTTGAACAATAAAAAACTAACTTGTTTACGCGCATGAGTCTATAGTAGTGTGAAGAGTCTGAGGGACACTGAGAAAGTCAAGCAACCTTCTGCCTTATCATGTGCTAGTCGGGGATTGAAAACTTTGCCGACTGACTAACTGACAGACCTTTTGATCTGCCACACAACCCTATCAGCCACCATATCCCTAGCACTTCTAAGAGAAAGCTCATGAAAAGAGACCATAGTATATATTCTTAATAAATGTATGTTTAATTAATCAGAAACTCCTTTCACCAAAATACACATATGTTTAATTAATCAGCAGCCCCTATCACCAAAAATCTAAATCCTTTTCTTTACCTCTGGTTCATATCCGTAATTTTCTCTGCCTTCGTAATGATCCTTATCAGACTTGGTTTGACGTTGCATGAGATTACGAGCGTGTCTCGCCTTTTCTCGTAAATCTTTTGGGTACGGTGTTGGACAGCGAACTAATCGCTCCTATATATTGGTGAATTATCAACAATGTTAGGTGAATAAATTAAAAAATGTGCAAAAATTCAAAACAAAAGCTGATTTGCATGTAGAATAAGAACAGTCGATTGAAATGGAGTGAAATGGGGTTAAAGGTTCTATTATTCCTTCTTTTTTATCGAGTTGTGGCTCATTGCGTAAGATACCCTAGAGGTCCCGTGTTCGATCCCTGTGTTGGCAGAGACAGTTTTACTGAATAAAACAGAGTGGGGAGTAAATTTACTTTCAAAATGCTATCAATGATAAACAGGAATAAACAAGTTGAGAAAACCCGATTTAAAAGATCACAAATTTAAAATTTGGATACAAAACAATGAAAAAAACAAAAGGAGGGGAAAAAACCCCCAAAAATTAAAAAAACAAAAAAACAAAAACTGTTTACGTAAATTGTTTTAGTTGAGACTTTTAGTGAAAATATTTGATTGAAAAACATGCAAATCAAATTGTGTTTCAAATAATGTTAGACTCGATCAACTACAATGAAAACAATGTTAGAATAATCAAAACCTTCTAAAATCATTCCACTTAAAAAATATAATATTAGTTAAAGGCTTGATGCGTTATTGACCGATATAGGAATCCCTTGCAATATTGTGAAAGTTTAATCTCTCATAGGAATATCAATCCAAAAATGTTTCAACTTTTACAAAGTTATGATATCTTAAAATTTCATCGATCTATGCAGCTTGGTATAAAAAGACACTATCATCTTTTATTGGTAGCGAAGAAACCTGTCTGGCCTAGTCTAAATCCAATTAAATAAAGTCCGGGAGATTTTCTTGAGTTGGTATTTTGATTTCTTAATTAAATAATAATGATCAGTCTGAGTAGATATTTAGAGTGGATGGAGCCTCAAGAAATTTGATATTTTTGCAAATATGCAAATAAAGCATCAAGCCTTTAATTTGTGTTATCAAATCATTTTCATATGGGTTAAAATATAACTTGAAATAAAAAAAATGTGGAAATATTAGTGAATCGTGCCATTATTTTACACTAAATTTGGATTTTTAATGAAATTAAACTTAATAAGTGCCTTGAATTCTCAAATATATTATTTGATAAAGTAAGCTATGTAGAATTTTTTGATCAATAAAATTTTCTTTCATAATGGCTGAACGACTTACATTTTCAGGTACATCGTCACCGAATTCAAAATGTATCTTTTGACGTCGTCTTCGTTCTTCCTCCCAGATTGAAGGATGAAAACTGTCTGTATCACCATCTCTTTCATCTAAAATCAAAATCAAAATGGAATGAAATGAAATGTGTTGTATGAAGGAAAATTTTGTCCGGACAGCAACATTTCCACTTACTTTTGATCAAATTGCAAATGTCGAGGATACTTTTGACTGCTATAACAACCACCATTTTTTGCCTGGCCACAGCCAAATTATTACGTCTTTCGGGAAAAATCAAAAATTCTCTGTAACTAATGTGTACAGAAATGATTTCAGTACTTGGGCTTGTTCAATTGTTTATGAGAGTACTACGTTATCCAAATCTTCAACCCTACCCGTTTTTCTCATTTCTCAAGTTCTATCAATCAGACTTGGTGTGATTCTCTGCAAACACCGAAATTTCAGTATTTATTACAATATATGAAACAGAACCCTATTACTCACCAATTATACCAGAAATACTAGGATATAAATAATAACACTTTACTGTATTTAAATGATATCACAAAGGCTATAGAGAGAGAGAGAGAGAGAGAGAGAAAAATGGCTCCACTCGACACAAAGTAGGTCATTTCAGGACTAACAAACGGTTCAATTTTATTTCAATAATTTGCTTGCGCGTTGGGGTCTTTAGCTGTGGGAGGAAACTGGGTCATTTCGGAACTAACAAACGGTTCAATTTTATTTCAATAATTTGCTTGCGCGTTGGGGTCTTTAGATGTGTGACGAAACTGGAGAACTGGAGGACTCGGAAAAAACCCATGAGGTTGGACAGGTGACCCTACTCCTTGTCACATACAACTGGTAAATCGAAACCACGTCAGCTGACTCAATGACAGATCTAATGATACAACGCGCATGCGCTAACCATTCGGCCATCCACCCCCACACCCCCTGTAGCCATAAACATTTTATATTTACCCTGATAGTTTCCTGGTTGTTGTGGCAGAAGATAACACGTTAATATTTTACGTCCTGTTTCTGCTTCATGTTCTGATTGTAGAGGTATTAACGGCTTCGTCTACAAATACAAAAATAAAAATAATGTCTTAAATTAAAATTCTGCAGTAATATTTGACAAAAGATGAATGGAATGGGAAAATAAATTCAAATGATATAGGCTTTATTTGCCATCAATTGTTTTCCAGATATCACATATAAGATCAAGTGACGGATCTGTGGGCTAGCCGTAGGTGGGCATACAAAAAATGTGAGTTACTGGAAAATTGTTTTATATGAGCTGAAAAGGCATCATATCTCACCTGATTCTCAGTTAACCATAAAGCCTGCAGTTCTTTTAATTTGACCACAGAGAATGGAAGATATTTCAGGGAATTATCACTGAGATTGAGCACTCGTAATTTTGGAATTCGTCCAAGTTCGTCAGGAATATAAGTTAATTTATTTCCACGTAGTGACAAAACTGTTAAACCATTACAACTTCCGAGCTGAAAAAAATAAAAATAAAACTTTAATCGACATAACACTTTCATCATTTTATGATTAACATTCAGGTTTTTTTTCTATAGGGAGAGGGAGAATTGGGGTTTACGTCCACTCGATACAAACTAGGTCATTTCGGGACTAACACATGGTTCAATTTTATTTCAATAAGTCGCTTGCACATTGGGGGCTTTAGCAGTGGGAGGAAACCGAAGAAATCCCACGAGGTTGGACAGGCGACCCTACTCCTTTGTCACGTACAGACGGGGAATCGAAACCACGCCAGTTGACTCAATGACAAACCTTATGATATAGCGCACACATGCTAATCATTCGGCCATCCACCCCCCCCCCCTTTTTTTCTATGCTATCAAGGAGAATTTTGCTAGGACAGCAATATATCAGCCTATTCTTTAGTCAATCTCAAGGGTTCTTTTATGTTTATATTGGTTGACAATGTCTTTCATTCAATAAGAATGACCAGACATACTTCCTTTGAGAGACTGCATGACAAGAAGAAACCAACTTATAAACCGGGATATAATAGTTAAAAGAGTCCAGTGCTGATGATTTGACAACAACTGGCCCCAAGTTCACCAACCATTCTCAGAATTTACTCAACTTTCAATCACTGTTTACGAGAAGTATCTTTGTTTCAAAAAAACAAACTTTGTATTTGATACATTAAAACAACGAAATCTTTATAAAGGGCTATATTTTAATTAAAATAAGGTGAACAATTTCAATTAAATTCTTAATTTAAGTCTGAGAATGCTTTGTGAACTCAGAGAGAGAGAAATGGGGTTTAACGTCCACTCGACACAAACTAGGTCATTTCGGGACTAACATATGGTTTAATTTTATTTACATAATTCGCTTGTGCGTAGGGGTCTTTAGCAGTGGGAGGAAACCGGAGGACCCGGAGAAAACCCACGAGGCTGGATTGTGAACTCGGGACCTGGTCCATAACATCCATGACAGAAGAGTAACAAAACTAGCAGATCATTGTGAACTCATACGGAGAACCCCCAGAGGTTGCACTGCATATCAATCAGAGAAAATGCAAAGTTCTACTTGAATAATTTCAACGCCACAACTCACCTCTGGTGGAAGAACTTCAATCAGATTTTCATCAGCATAAAAAGTTCTCAGATTTCTCAGAAATCCAATACTTGCAGGCAACAACTCGAGATCATTGGTACTGACATTTAGTTCTGATAGCGATGTTAATCTAAAACAAGATACACAGAGTATTATAAAAAACAAAGTTTACAGTAAACGTTTATCACCCGAATTGAATGACCTAACATTTGACGTCCACAAAAGATAAAAGACAACACTTGACGTTGGAATAAATCTGAAATTTCTGGATTCTGATTGATTAAAAGGTGAGCACCACAAAACTAAAACAAAATTTGTTTTAAAGATAGACAATATAGAAAATTTTTATGTGAAATTAACTGTTGTGGTGAAATGAAATGTGGTTTAACGCCTTAGTGTTCTGCTCCTATACTGGACTAATGAAGATAGGCATACACGCCATACAGTGTGCTGTGAGGGAAATTTTGCCCTGGCAGCGGCACTATCGCCTACTTTTATATCAAAATCCAACTGCCAGGGGATCCTTTATGTGCATTCCAATATATACACGGGACCTCGGTTTTTCGTTTCATCCATAGGACTAGACAGCTGTCCTTGTCAGGCCCTCTGTTCTGCACCACTGACAATGGGAAACCATGTCGGAAAATTATGATGAACTTTCTCGGCCAATGCAGGGATCGAACACCTGACCTCCAGGCTAGCGAGCCAGCGTCTTAACCACCTAGTCACTGTGGCTCTCAAACTGTTGAGGTAAGGCCTCAAATCGTTTTATAGCTTAGCTGCTCATTAAGTCCAGCTATGGTTGTAAAACATTAGGTTAGTCAAATACTGCAAGTGTAATATAATTAATGTTAGAATCTAAATGCAATCCGTGACATGCAGTCCCAAAATAAGGGATGTGTTTCAAAAAGGACATCAAAGTTTTGTGCATGTTCCGGTATTGAGTATTTCATTGTTCTGTGTAATATATCATGTTTCGACAATCATGTACGATGCCGAAAGTGACAGATTTCACTGTACAGTCAAATACTGCAAGTATAAACTAATTAATCTAAAAGTTGAAATATTTACCCTCCAATAGATTTAGGTAAACTGGTCAGGTGATTATCATCTATTTTAAGTGTCGTTAAATTATTCAGATTACCTGAAATAAAAATAATTCTCATATAATTCATTCTTTATGAAGGATTTTATACACTGAAATTTATGTGAACAATTTGGTTTGTTGTTGTTATCATCTACATCTACTATGTATATTTGCATTCCAACTTTTATGTTTTCTTTTACAATCTTTAGAGAGAGAGAGAGAGAGAGAGAGAGAGAGAGATGGGGTTTAACCTCCACTCCTCTAGGTAATGTCAGGACGCACCTCTTGTTCAATTTTATTTCAATAATTCGCTTGCGTGTAGGGGTCTTTAGCAGTGGGAGGAAACCGGAGGACCCGGAGAAAACCCGAGAGGGTGGACAGGCGACCCTACTCCTTGCCACATACAACTGGGGAAGCGAAACCACGCCAGTTGACTCAATGAAAAACCTTATGATACAGCGCACATGTCAATCTTTTACGAGTACATGGGACATTGATTTTTCGTTTTCTTGCTTGCCAGGCCATCTGTCCTACACCACTGACAAGGGGAAACCACAATGTAAAACCAGGATCGATCCCAGGACCTCCTGGAAAATTCAGAATAAAAGAAAACCATCTTACCTAGAGATTCTGGGAGTTCTTGTATTCTATTGGCTGTCAGGTGAATATCAGCCAATGAAACACAGCCTTCTATTTCAGTAGGGACGGAATGAATTTTATTTTTTGAAGCATCTAAAAACATCAGTTCTTTCAGATTACCAATTCCCTAGAATAATATATATCAATTAATTAAATAAAATTACATACATCAAATAAATAAATAAATGAAATATCATTCCTTCTATTTTTTTCAGTGTCAACAAATAATTAAAGAGTTCTTGATCAAGTTGCATAACAATGCTGTAAACATCAAAACCTTTTTTTTAAACAGCCACAGATGGTTAGATCAACTACCCCCATAAGTGTCTTTTGTTTAAACAGCCATAGATTTTTCATTCAACTTCTGTAGGTGTCTGTTTATGCAAAATAAAATAAAATGAAATGGGGTTTAATGTCCTACTGCATACGCTATACAGTGTGCTATATGGGGAAACTATGCTGGGACAGTGGCAATACGGCCGACTCTTATAGTCAAGTTTCAATTGTTAAATGTTCTTGTACGTGCACACCAATGTGTAGACGGAACCTCTGCTTTTCATCACATCTATTCGACCAGATGCTGTCCCTGCCAGTCCCTCAGTCCTGCACCACTGACAAGGGGAACCATCCTGGGAAACTTTCTCGATCAACACTGAGATCAACCACTGCGGCTCCGTCTTTTAAAGCAATAAAACAATCATTTTGAGAATGGATAAATAACAACTAGCAATTCTAGTAATTGTTGAGGTTTAATAAAGAATAAACTTACACAGGGTATAACCTTAATTTGGTTTGTATCACACCATAACTCAGATAATTTCACAAGATTACCAATACATTCAGGCTAAAACAATACAAAAAAAAACATGTTCAGATAATTTCATAAGATAACCGATACATTCTGGTTAAAAAACACGTTCAGATAATTTCATAAGATTACAAATACATTTGAGGGATTTTGAAACCCTTTGAACCTAACTTATTGTAAAAGTTCAATCTTTAAAATGAATAACTTTACAAAATGGTTCCATTTACAAAGATATTTCTCAACCTTCAACATCCTCTTCAGACAATATAAACAGAAAGTAAAGAAGAAAAAACACTTTAAAACTCACTTTGGTAAAAATGGCTTTTAATTAATGAGCACCGCCACAAGAACAAGAATATTACCAAATTAAATGAAATGGGGTTTAACGTAATACTTTTCTGCTCCAACTGGGCTAATGAAGATGGGCGTATGCCATACAGTGTGCTATGAGGGAAATCTTTCCAACTAGCTTATTCGCTGAACCATTGCGGCTCCCAGCATATTAATAATAATAATAATGTACATTTGTAGAGTGTCAAATCCATCCAAAAGCATGCTCAAAATGCAATGAGACAATAGTTATATACACTGTGAACAGAATGTCTACCGGTAATTCTCATAGCATTCCCGAAATAAGTGAGTTTTCAGCTGTGATTTAAATATAGTCCAAGTTTCACTGTTTTGAATTTTCATAGGTAAATCATTCCACAATATTACCAAGAGTATTGAAAAAGTTCTTAAGATAAAACAGCATTTTCACTTACCAGTTCTGTAAATTCATTATTACCAATATCTAACCTCTCTAGTTCAACCAGACGACCGAATGATTGGGGTAAAGTTTTCAAATGGTTCTCTCGAATTTCAAATATTCTCAACTTCGTTAACCTAAAACAAAAATATATTGTGAACCATACATGCAATGGCCTACTCTTATATCGAATTCCAACTGTCAAGGGATCTTTTATGTGCACGCCAATATGTACACAGGACCTTGGTTTTTCGTCCCATGCGAACGATTAGACAGCTGTCGTTGTCAGGCCCTCCATCCTGCATCACTGACAAGGGGAAACCACTCCGAAAAATCTGGATGAACTTTCTCGGCCAATGCAGGGATCAAACACACGACCTCCAGTCAGGGCAAAGGAAGACTGAGCTATGAGGGACATAATATAAGATGACTTCAAATGTCAAGGGTGCTTTTACATACAAGCCAATGTGTCCCATCCGAACAACTACCAACCTACACAAACGATCTTTACCAAACTTATGTGTTATATCAAACCTATAATCTAGTCGTGCATATGGTATATGTCAAGGTCACAGTCAAATGTCGATTCATTGTAATTTTCGAGAAAAATTCTTAATTCTCTGTTACTAAGGTGTAAGATTTTGTGGCGGGTGATAAATGCTACAGCATTTAACCATTGCAGCTTGTTTTAAAATTTGATTGGATAATATCCTACCTGCCGAAACTACCAGGTAAATAATCTAAGAATGTATCATTCAGGAAAAGATGCGTCAGATTCTGTAGTTGCGTAAATCCATCTGGTAATCTACAAAATATAATAAAATATTTTTTTATAAGAAATGAGAGAGAGAGAGAGAGAAATGGGGTTTAACATCCATTCGACACAAACAAGGTCAATTCGGGGCTAACATATGGTTGAATTCTTTTATTTCAATAATTCGTGTTGGGGTCTTTAGCAGTGGGAGGAAACCGGAGGACTCGGAGAAAAACCACGAGGTTAGACAGGCGACCCTACCCTTTGTCACGTACAACCGGGGAATAAAAAAAACGCCAGTTCACTCAATGATAAACTATGGTTTAGATGGATTGTCCCTTAAATTGTTTAGAAGTGCATTCGAACCATAATTAAATAGTTTGTCCCTTCAAACTTAATTTCATGAGAAGCACCATTGAATCATGATTAAGACAAGATTCTTTTTCTTATGCTGGTTTTGAACAAACTCTCAATTCTCATGGCCCAACCACATTCCTAGTCAAAAAATATCTATGTCTAAATTGACATGGTGTAAACAGCCCTAATTCATTTTATTACATCACATTTGCATAAAAACTTGGACAGAACAAGGTCAGTTTACACAATCGATTAATCACCTAAAAAAAAAACACCATTTTTATTTTAAAGTTCACTTGTACCATGCATGTAAACATGGTAAGAAAAAGAATTTTATTAACTTCCTGTGACATGTCAAGAAATCATCCAGACAATTGGTTTTGTTCAGGCTTCCACCCAATTAATTAAATACAACTATTTAGGCCACATCAAGTTGATTGTCTGCTCTTTGAGGATTTGATAAATAAATAGCCACTTGAATCACATGAAATTTTAAACTTAAAGGAGGTAAATCGCTTTCCTTTGGAACCTAGAAATGGACACAAATGGGTCGTAACGCATATAACAATGTAATATGAAAGTATATAAACTGATTTACATTCAATTGTTTCTGTTTTTACTGTAATTTCTAATTAGTTATGTTCGGCGAAATATGCGAAGAGTCCGAATTGAAAGGCAGTCTTTGGCGTCTGGTTATTCCAGTCTACACTGGTAGTATTTTCCCCTGTGGGATAAGTTAGCCTCGTTCAATACAAATGGCACTTGAAAGCATTCTGCCACGCGATTCGTGTGCCAATTGTAAAATTCTATCAGAAGACCATCTTTTCACGGTAAGTTAACAACATCAATGTTGATTTAAATTGACCAATAAGTCGTGTTTGCAATGTCGAAGACTGTGGATGATATTGAGTTAAAAATTTTGAACTAAAAGCTTTTGAACAGTGCAACCCAGTACTTTTAAATTAGTCTTTTTTCTGCAGAAAGAAAATCTAAATTTTAGCAGGTGCTCCCAAAGAACAGAAAATCCAACAGTTGTGACCTCAAGTCAAGGAGTTTTATATCCAAGCATTTCAACATTATGTATGGCCGACATATTCTATTGCATTGTAATAAATCATAATTAATTACTGTCATTTTCTTTCAAAATAAAAATTATCAATTGTATTTTTAAATCATAAATAATATACTATCAATTTTATAAGAACCCAAAATTATTAGCAAACATTGGCAAATAAATTAATTTTATCAAATTATTTACAGGACTGGAAACATTAAACATTGATGATACATTTTAACACCAATCAAATTACTGTATGTGAACTCGGACATAGAATCTTGATAAAGAGGTTCAAGCGAAAAATTCTCTTAATCCATTTTATTCTTCAAATTTTCAAATAAAACGCTATTTATGGATAAAAATTACACATATTTTCTTACACTGCGACGACGTTTCAAAAAGATTTTAGAAATCGTTATCAAGCATAGTAACACAATTATTAAATGCCATTCACTTAGTCTGTATGACAGCATCAGTGAGATAATCCACTAAGTCTACAGTACAAAATTTCTAATCCTACCAGCGTGAAGGGCATAGTCTTATCTGGGTAGTCTAAATCCATCTGAATGTAAACCGTGGTTTATTTTCTTTATAAAATGGGATATATGTAGATATAATATATATGCGATACATACATGTGGTTACATGTATATAGGATACATGTGGATATATTATATATGGGATACATGTGGATATATAGGATACATGTGGATATATGGGAGACATGTGGATATATGGGAGACATGTGGATATATGGGAGACATGTGGATATATGGGATACATGTGGATATATGGGATACATGTGGATATATGTAGATATGTGGGATACATGTGGATATATGTAGATATGTGAGGATATATGGGATACATTGGGATATATGGGATACATGTGGATATATGTATAAATGTGAGGATATATGGGATACACTGGGATATATGGGATATATCTGGGATATATGGGGTAAATGTGGATATATTAGATACATTTATATGTAGAAATATAGGATATATGGGAACCATCTAAATGTAGATATAATGGATATATGGGATAATGTATAGGATATATGAGATACATGTATATGAGATATATAGGGAGAGAGAGAGAGAGAGAGAGAAATGGGGTTTAACGTCCACTCGACACAAACTAGGTCATTGCGGGACTAACATATGGTTTAATTTTATTTCAATAATTCGCTTGCGCATAGGGGTCTTTAGCAGTGGGAGGAAACCGGAGGACACAGAGAAAACCCACGAGGTTGGACAGGCGACCCTATTCCTTGTCAATGACTCAATGACAGACTTCATGATACAGCGCGCGCACGCTAACCATTCAGCCATCCAACCCCCCGGGATATATAGGATATATGGGATAATGTATAGGATATATGAGATACATGTATATGGGATATATAGGATATATGGGATAATGGATATATAGAATATATCATATATCATCTTCAATAGAAGGCTTGATCTCGCCTTAACTACGTACATCTTATCAAGCTAGATATTGTAAAACTCGCGGTCGTTGCTTAAGGAACATAAGGATATATGGGATATATAGGATATATGGGATATATAAACATTGTGTGGTTGTACTTACTTTCCAAGAGGATTAACACTGGCATCGATTACAGATAATAATTTACATTGTTTTATTGTATCTGGTACATCTATTATACCTGAAATAATATAAATAACATACATTACAACCTACTTTTATACACGCACCCACCATGTTGACAATCACAGACATGAGAAAATTTTACCTGGACAGTGGAGTTCGAGTTCGCACCTACTCTTCATCAAATTCCAACTGTCACAATTTTTTTTTTATAAGTACGCCAAAAAGTACACGAAATAAATTGGGGTTTAACGTCCTACTGTTCAGCTCCTATACTGTGCTAATGAAGACGGGCATACGCCATACAGTGTGCTATGACGGAAATTTTGCCCGGGCAGCGGCACTATCGCCTACTCTTATATCGAATTCCAACTGCCAAGGGATCTTTTACGTGCATTCTAATGTATACACAGGACCTCGGTTTTCTGTCTCATCCGAAGGACTAGACAGCTGTCCTTGTCAGGCCCTCCGTCCTGCATCACTGACAAGGGGAAACCACCCCGGAAAATCTGGATGAACTTTCTCGGCCAATGCTGGGATAGAAAACCCGACATCTAGGCTAGCGACCCAGCGTCTTACCCACTTAGTCACCATGATCCCCCAAAAAGTACACATGTGAACATGTGTTTTTCGACTAGACATGTATTCCTTGCCAGGTCACCATCTGGATTGTTCATAACAAACTGACAGGAAATTTCCACGGACTGGTCCAAGGCCCATCAGTTGAAAATAAATTAATGATAATATGTGCTGATGTATTCAGCGACACACGCCCTCAGTTAACAAAAAATATTTCATTTTATTAAATAACTACTATTAAGCTTCTTTCTTCAATTTATTTATAATTTCTTTTATCAATTGAGCTACCATGTACATTAGGTCTAAATTCAGGTGAAAAGAAAAACAAATTTGAACACAGATAACCCCTAATTATACATACAAACAGGTTATAAAAAAATTATTTTTATTATACAAACAACCCATCAAGATTGTCTGATAAGAAATCAAATTGATTTTCACAAAAGTTCAAGTGCCCTGACCTCTCGTAACTCTCTTCACTGACAAACTACACAATAATCCAGGAAATTATCTACCACAGTGACTATATACTGGGAGTTACCTTGTGGGTCACAAAAATATTTGAAAAGATATGAAACTTCAAAGTTATATACTGTACATATCACAGGTGAAAATAGAGTCATTATTGTTTATTTATTTACTTTTTTTTAACAGGTGGTTGTGGTCGAGTGATATAACGCTTGTATTTTAGATCATAAGGTTTGTCATCGAGTCAAGTAGGGCGGTTTCAATCCCAAACTTGTACATGACAAGGATTAGGGGTACCTACCCAACTTTATGGGTTATCTCCCTGTTTCCTCCACTTTTCTCCCACTGCTAAAGACCATATTTTAATAATAAACTCTCTCTCCTAACAGGTGGTATTATAATACAGCTAATAAGCTATAACTATATAATACAGTCACAGAGAAAGTCAAAATATCTGATGTAAACCTTATTTAAAAGAAAGACTGTTTTATCATTCATATCAAACTATCCCCCTTTTGTGGTTGTCAAGATGTGATCAGTGAAACATTTTAATCAGTAACCAGTGAAACATATTAATCAGTGAAATATGAGGGTAGATTTAAGGGAGAATTTTGTTAACTCTATTAAATTCGGTAACTGATCGATCAATTTGAACACAGCCACGTTATGCTGACACAACTTAATGCTAAGACAGCTATTCTAACACAGACTAAAAGTGTGAACACAGCTTTAGAAAATGTACTAATATAATTGCTGTGAAGGATATAAATTTATATCTTATATCTGATCGATATTTAATACTCTGTTTGTACGATTTTCAGAGCTACATGTATTAACAGAGTCTTTAAATGTGTGAACATGGCTTAAGAAAATGTACTAAAATAACTGCAGTGAGGATATAAACAAATGCATATGTCTGTATCTTATCTGATCTATATTTAATACTACCCATGCACAAGGGTATTAACGGATATTTACTATGTAATCTGCCTATAAACCACAAATAAACGTCAACAGTAGGTGGTAATACTAACATAATTAACGCATTATGATTCTTTAACGCAGGTACTAGATACATGTATAAGCTTACTTTATCTATATTAGGAATTGTCTTGTCCAAAGCTAGCCATCAAATTTTAATCCCAATAAAATTGGATTAATGCATCAGTTCTTCTTATCTACTACAAACATGTACGTTTCACAATCAGTGGACTGATCATGAATAAACATTACAACTCTAAGACTAATCTATATCAAGAATTGTCTTGTCGAAACCTATCCATTAAATTTCAAATCAAATAGGATTATTCGTAATAGGTGAGATTAACGCATGTCTTCTTCTTATCTACAACATTTGATAATTGGATCAGGGATCATGAATAAATATTATTGTCTTTCGGATTCTTAATCTAATCTAGTTGAAACCTATCCATTAAATTTTAAATCAAAAAAGATTATTTGTAATATAAGGGATTAATGCATATATTCTTCTGATCTGCTACATTCAACAATCATGAATTCATGGATTCATGAATAAACATTATAAACGACTCCCAGTGCTTTAAAATAACAGTGTTTAAGATCACATCAAAACTTGGCTTTTGAGGCTGTTTGATGGTCATTAATATTACTGTCCCATCTTCATTAGACTGGTTTAAACACTTAACTTGATAATTTTCATACTATTTTTCAGTATATTGGGTGATGTTGGAATAGCTATTCCGGTAATTAATGCCACTGGGTGTCATTTGAATTTTTCGCAAAAATTAACTATTTGGCCACCTACCCCGCCCCCACCCAGGATTCCATTGGATTAAAAAGAGGGCCATGAAATGTTTCAATGCAGTATTCAATTACGTGTGGATATTATTGGGATAAAGGCCTTTAGTAGTTGAGGGTGGGGTGGGGGTGGGGAGGAGAACAGTGAATAAGAATGTACTGAATATACAACTGGCACAGACAACAGCCCTCATAATCGACATTACATGCATCAGACCACTTGGCCATCCAACTACTATCAATATATAACAGCTACATGTATGATCTGGTTTTCAAAACTTCTTTAACTAAGGTGATATCCATTAATATGATTTTTTTTTTTTTTTTAAAAATAAAGAGTGGTAATGGCTCTTTAATTAAGATGATTCCCTTTAAAATCATAGAAAAAAAAAATAAATAAATAAAAAACCCTCTTTATTAGCCTATTCGGTGCAGATCATGAGTAAGACTTTAAACCCCATTTCATTTTATATAAAAAAAATAAAAATATGGGTGGTGACAAGATAAAGTAAACAAAAATTTCAATTTAAAACTATTTGTTTAGTAAAATGGTGACCTGAGAAGTTATTCTCAACTACTGGGTATTTGCCTACAAAGAAATCACTTGAATGTTTAAGAGCTGTAATGAAAACTTGGTTAGCAAATCTAGCTAACTTCTTGAAGGACGGATAATCATGTATTTATGTCGAGATGGCTCTTCTCCAATCCCCAGTGTACACTGTTATTCAATCTTCTTTACATGTTTTAGAAACACATTGTTTTGACTTACATGTGCTAAATGGATGACATGTTTTGACTTGCTAAAAGACATTGTTTTGACTTACATGTACTGAAAGACATTATTTTGACTTACTAAAAGACATTGTTTTGACTTAATGAAAGACATTGTTTTGACTTACTTTAAAGCATTGCTTTGACTTACTAAAAGACATTGTTTCGATTTACATGTACTATAAAACATTGTTTTGACTTAATAAAAAAAACATTGTTTTGACTTAATAAAAAACATTGTTTTGACTTAATAAAAACATTGTTTTGACTTACCGTTTTTGCTAAAATTTAATTCTTCTAGATTAATAAGACTAGATATAGCTGGTGGAATGTTGATGATTTCATTATCACTGATACTTAACTTTCTGATACCATGACAATAAAATAACTCCTGAAATAATAAAAAAAACATACAAATAATAATAATAATCAATCATAATAACACAACTTTATGCATTTACACTTTCTTATTTTATTACATGTGAAATGTGCTACAGCCTACAAAGGGATCTTTGATGTGCACGACTGCACGCCAATGTGTACACAGGGCCTTGGTTTTTTTTTACCCATCCGAACGAATATACATTGTCCTTTGCCAGCCCCCCTGTCCTGCACCACTGACAAGGGGGGAAACACACCAACAAAATCTGGATGAACTTTGTTGACCAACACCAGGATCGAACACAGGACCTACATGTTAGGGAGCCAACATCTTACTCACTGAACCACTGCAGCTAACTTTATTACATGCAATGCTCTCATAGTCTTACAGATAATTTTATCAAGCAATGAAATTCATTAAAAATAATATTTAAAAAAAAAAAAAAAAAGATAAATTGGTGTCGAAAAAATAATAAGTCTGAATTTGTATGCGAGATTATCATTGACAATGCCTTATATCTTGCCTGGGTATTACTTTAAATAAAACTGTTTAAGAATTCTCAACATTATAGCACAAAGGACATAAATCGCTAAATAAAAACATCAATAAAAACACTTTTATCTGGATTTTTACACAAAGAAATCGTTTGAGAGAACATGTTTAACTGTTCTTCAGGATTTTTGAATAAAATAAAAGAAAACAAAAGGCTTGTTTTAAGGAAAAGTTTCTACTGGTACCATTAGTAAATGTTCGATAAAAACATATGGTAGTTGGCTTAATTAATTTGTTTTTTTAGCAACAAACTCAATCAATTATTAATTAATTCCACATCCTAATCAATCAATACATGTATTCATGTATACACAAGAAGAGGGGAGAGAGAGACGGCGAGAAAAGGTCACTTCAGGACAAACATGGTACAATTTTATTTCAATAATTCGCTTTCACATAGTGGTCTTTAGCAGTGGGAGAAAACCGGTGTACCCATAGAAAACCAACGAGGTTGGGCAGCTGATCTTAAAAGTAGCGGGGAATTAAGATGATGATGGCAACTACAGGGTTAATGTCCATCTCCACCTTTGTAATTTCGGAGACATGTGTCTCCGTAGAAACATGACAAAAAAAGTCGAGAAAAAATAAAGTCACTAATTTTTATTTGCATTATATTATTGAGGATTAATCAATACTAAAATGTATTCACTGATTTGATTATTTAAATTTTACGTTAAACTTAAAAATCCAAGGTAGATAATCTCCTGGCTCGGATTGAACTAGATTAAAAAGAGGCTCATCAAAAGATCTCAACAAAGATTATAGGAGAGCTAGCTCATTTTGACCATACAAGTACATGTATCCTATTTATATATGTATCGCCTGCAGATACTGAATGGAATTGAACCAATTTTTGACTAACATTCACTTTAGAGATTCTACTTTCACAATATTGTAGTATGAAATGAAATGAAATGGGGTTTAACTGGGCTAATAAAGACGGGCATACACCATACAGTGTTCTATGAGGGCCTACTCTTATATCAAATTCCAACTGCCAAGGAATCTTTTACGTGCATGCCAATGTGTACTGGACAGCTGTCCTTGTTATTGTAGCATGCATAAGATTCAAGGTACAATGTACTTCAAAAGGTGAAAGTGAACTAACAAGGAACCAATTTAAACATTTAAACAAGTTTTTGAGCCCTGGTGTTTTTAATCAAGCTAAGACAAAAATAAAAAAAACATAAAAAAAGACGTTTGATAGGATACAGACCACAACAAGCTAATTGAGGAGAAAAGCTTTTTATTTCATGTCGGCTATGTTTACGGTGTTTTAATTGCCGAGTTCGACACCAAGTGAGATATTTTAATCAGCCACCCATTGAGTGATGTCGTGTTTTACAACTTTACGGCATGTATCTTTTACATCCCTAACGTAAATGGCAGACGACCCACCAGTGCAAATAACAAGAGAGTTTTCTTGAACTTCGATCAATCCAATGAACAAGATAAGATGAAATGGGGTTTAAAGTCCTACTGTTCTGCTCCGACTGGGCTAATGAATATGGGAACAGTCTGGGTTAAATCGGAGGAAGGACATTAAAAAGATGGCTGATTGACATGATAACCTGTGTGCACTACATAAAATAAAAATTAATGGGATGTACCACCAACACCCTATAGAAATGAAATAAAATGGGGTTTAACAGAACTTCACATCTTAAAAATTCATGGGGAGATAAAAAAAGTTCTCTTGGTATAGGAACAAATTGAAAATCACTCTTCTTGAATTAAGATCGGGACATGACACATGTAATCGTATGTAATGCTATTTATTCTTATGTTTCTTTTATATTTCGAAAGATGCATCAATGTGATTTAAATATTGTGTGATCGCGATTGACATAGGAAGTAAATATGAAGTAAACATGAATATCCCCTGCCGAGGCCGAGCGATGATGTACAGCAATTTCCAACATTTTTTGTGGAAATAAAATATGCAGTTGGGGAATATGATTACAGGGAAACAAGGATTGCAATAATATACACGTCTAGATTGGGATTTATGTGAGCAAGAGCGCACCTCAAACATGAAGGCCTAGTTTAATGTCCTACTTTTCAGCACCAACTGGAATAATAAAGATGGGCATATGCCGTGCAGTGTGCTAAGAGAGAAAATTGCTTTGACAGTGGTGCTATGACCTATTCTTATTTGAAATTTCAACTGTAAAGGGCTCTTTTACGTGGACGCCAAGATGTACACGGTACCTTGGTTTTTCATACACATACCATCCAAACGACTAGACGCCACTGTCCTGCACCACTGACAAGGGGAAACCGTGCTGGAAAATCCTACGAAACTATCTTGGCCACCACCTGGAGAGAACCCGAGACCTGGTTAGGTATTATGTGAAGGGCTTGGTAAGATTTGAGGAGTTAAAGCGAGATTTTCCAGGTGTGGTTTCTTCATGTAAGTGGTGCAGGATGGAAAGCCGAGCGGGGAGCCAGGTGGCTCAGTGAGTAAGACATTGGAAGGATCTTCCAGGTTAGCCAAGAAAGTACCTCAGGATATTCCAGGTGTGGTTTCTCCATGTCAGTGGTGCAGGATGGAGCACCCAGCAGGGAGCCAGGTGGCTCAGTGAGTAAGACATTGGAAGGATCTTCCAGGTTAGCCAAGAAAATACCTCAGGATATTCCAGGTGTGGTAGACAGGTGGCTCAGTGAGTAAGGCATTGAAAGGATCATCAAGTTGTGGTTTCTCATTGTCATTGGTGCAAGATAGAGCACCCAGCAGGGAATCAGGTGACTCAGTGAGTAAGACAATGAAAGGATTATCTGAGAACCAGAATATTTTTTTGTATGGCCTTATATTTTTACAGATTCGTTTGTTATCCAAGCCAAGTGTATCTAGAACCCGAGCCAGCTCTCTTTCCTATTTAGAATCCAAATTCTTTTTATTTACATCTAGAGAGAGCATTCTTAAACTTTTGGTCTAAGAATTAGTATACAATACAGAGTGCTAATCACATAACTAGGGTGATTTAAGGATATCTAGGAAGCAGTAGTTTCGAACAGTTTGGTCTGTCCAGAGATATGCCAGTATGAAGTATTTGTATATCACATTTCTTTAATTTATTTTCAAGAAATGGTGGTCCTTAATATTCTACAGAGAGAAAGAGAGAGTTTAACCTCCACTCCACACAAACTAGGTTATTTCGGGACTAACACATTGTTCAGTTTTATTTCAATAATTCGTTTGCTCATACTGGGGTCTTTAGCAGTTAGTAGTGGGAGGAAACCAATATTTATAAGTTCATATGTTATTTTACTCACCCTGGGCAAATCTCGAATCTGATTTGAATCTGTCAGAAGTTCTTCTAAAGTTCTTTCAAAATTAAAAACTTCGCTCGGAACGTCTGCTAGACTACAATGTCTGTAATCTAATGTGGTGATGTCGTCCTCTATCTGGGGTTTAAGACAGGGACACTTCCGCACAAAATCAACCATTTTATTACCTGAAAAATACATGTAGTTAATGAATAAAGTTAATGAAATCAAATGAAATGGGGTTTAACTTCCTAATGTTCTGTTTCAATTAGGCTGGACGGGCATGCACCATAGTGTGCTATGAGGGGAATTTTTACCCGGACAGCAACGATATGGTCTACTCTTAATTTCAAATTCTAAATGCTAATGTCTCTACTGCACCACTGATTTTCTGTCCCATCCAAACAACTATTCATTGTCCCTTGACAGGTAGTGTGTCCTGCACAACTGACAAGTGGGATACCACGTTGGTAAATTCTGATGAACTTTCTCATCCAACACTGGAATCAAACCAGAACCAGTATGTAATAATTTGGTCACTTCTGATGAACAATCTTACATCAATTCATAAATATTGTAAACAACACATTTTATATCCAAAAACTTTTAATATTAAAACTTTAATCATTTCTTTCGTAGATAATGATAAATTGTTTTTTAATCAGAGATAAATCAAAACTAAACATCAAAGATACTATCTGCTATAATTGTATGAATTTGATGTATTGTGATCTATTTATCATCGTATATCAACATTTGTTATCTTCTGCTTAATACAATCATATCATTCATAAAAAAATATTGTGTCTTAAAATCTCAACTAATCAAATTGCTTATCTCTACTTAACCTTTGCAGAATAATATGCACGGTCAATTACATTTTAAATATATTTTATTGCAACTATATAAGCCTCAAATTTTATCGACAAAGAACCAGAACAATGAAGAAAAAATAACTTTTGATTCTTTAACGTCTAAATACGTTAGAAGGCCAATAGTAGTTGATTGTCTTTATTACAAATTAACAAAGTAAGGGTTGAAAGGTGTTCTACAAATAATAAATGAGTTATTTTTCTGAGGCTCACTAATATTCTAAGACAGGAAAAAATGACATCATAAATCAATAGAAAGTAATGGAAATAATCGTAACTTACATAAGTCAATAGAAAGTAATGGAAATAATCATAACTTACATAAGTCAATAGAAAGTAATGGAAATAATCATAACTTACATAAGTCAATAGAAAGTAATGGAAATAATCATAACTTACATAAGTCAATAGAAAGTAATGGAAATAATCATAACTTACATAAGTCAATAGAAAGTAATGGAAACTGTTTAAAAATAATCATAACTTACATAAGGATTGGTCCATTCGAATCATTTCTGGACTAATATGTGTTTGTATCTACAGGAATACTTTTAACTATTAATGCATTTAGATTGAAAGCTATATATTTGTCTTTTAATCCAGAATATTCTGCTCAGGTGTTACAGATTTTAGCTCTGTATGATCCATAAGTGCTCAGGTGTTAACAGATTTTAGCTCTGTGTGTTCCATAACTGTGCAGATAATCCTAAAGTATTCTCCAAAATCATTGTTAGCAAGGGTCTTTCGTGGATATACGCATAGTTACACATCACATACTTTAATGTTAATATTGTGCTTAAAAAAACTACTCATATGTTAGAGCTTTTCCCTCTATATGTTCAATTACTGCTGAAATAATCTTGAAGTCTTCTCCAAACAGTAATTGCAGGAAGACCGCACTACACACAAACAAAATCGATAAGACAAGCTTGCGGACAAGACACAAACTACACAGACATTGCAAGCAATAGACAACAAATATAAAGTCTGTGGATATACACTATGCGTAGTTGCACATATGCTAACATAGGTATAATTATTTGAGATTATCTACGAATACAAGAGGCGTATTGATACGTTGGTGCCAGGATTAACCAAGAAAGAAGATAGGCGTAGTGATATGTCAAGTATAAAGTGATGTTTGAAGCCTGGAGACTATGAGATTTAATCGCTTTATAGGTGACTATATTTAATGATAGTATATCTGTTTCACCAGATTGAATACTTGATAGCGCGAATATACTAATTCATTGATAATACAGGATTACGGTGACACAATTTAATCAAAATATATAACGATAACATCGTAGATTCAACACAATAATCAACCCACAAAAATAAGTTGCCAGGGAATGAAACATATACCGCATAGCTGCTAAGTCGGCTGAGCATTCCAAAGGTGCGAATAGTTGACAACGATTTAATACAAAGTCAATTCAGTACAAATTTCCTGTATTCAAAATTAGTGTTTTATTATTTACAAGCACATTATTTTGTTGACTAGAAAAAAAAAATCCACAAAAATAATACATTAATTTTTTTTCCCTTTAAACCTTTGCAAAAAAATTCTGATTGGCTTCTAGGCCTGTGCCCCCTCAAAACAATAAGCAACAGAGATTTTAATCAGACATGAAATTCAAAATGGTTGATAATTGAAAATGGTGTCAAGCTCTAATTACATGAAAGAGAGCGAGAGAGAAATCGGGTTTAACATCCACTTGACACAAATTAGGTCATTTCGGTACAAATATATTGTACCATTTCATTTCAATGAATCTTTAGCAGTGGGAGGAAACCAGAGGACCCAGAGAAAAGCCACCCGGTTGGGATAGGCTACCCTACTCCTTTTCACATACATGTATAAGTGTGGGATCGAAACAACACCTATTGATTCGATGATATATCTTATCATTTGAAGAGCCCACGTTAGACCATTCGGCCACCCAAACCCACCAGAAGCCATCAATTTTAGGAAAAAGTGGTATAAAATAACATACGAGTAATATCTTTAAAACATTCACCATAAGAGCCATTGAATGGCGAGGATTCACAATATGTCCTTTTTTCGAGTGGTATTATTATTAATTTCTCAAACATTTTTAGAAATAGAGTAGTATTTGTGTAAAATGGTTTGCATTAAATTGAACAGAAGACTAAGAAACTTTTGAAGTAATTTTTATAACATTCACCATAGGATCTATTCAATAGTGAGGATTCACATATTTGGGAGGAATTATTAATAATTTATTCAAAGACATCTCTCATCTAATAACTTATACATATATTTTTCAATTCTTTTCCTTTCTCTGTCAACACCCAGGTAGGTAAACAAACAATCAAAACGATCAAACACAAGAACTGAATAAGAGCACATGGTCTGGATGTTTATAGGCTTAGCTTAATGACCCATATATAAAATCCCTTAATACAACAAAATTATTAAAAAGACCCTCGAACCGAGTCAACACATGGTTGTGTATATATTTTATTAACAACCCACAGTCATCCTTTCTTTGAACGATAGATCAGTTGTAATCAGCCATTGTTACGACGATGTTCAAATATTTACGTTAAAATGACACAAGACCTATATAATAATCAATGTACTGTACAAACATGAGGTAACTTTACGTTGATATCTATTATAAAGAAAGGTCATCTTGTAAGATGGATCAATTTGTAAAGAGGGTAAAAAAAAGAGCTTTATAAATTTCCAACTACGGTCGTTTTGTAAAGAGAGAGAGAGAGAGAAATTGGGTTTAACATCCACTCGACACAAACTAGGCCATTTCGGGACTAACATATGGTTTAATTTTATTTCAATAATTCACTTGCGCGTAGGGGTTTTTAGCAGTGGGAGGAAACTGGAGGACTTAGGGAAAACCCACGAGGTTGGACAGACGACCCTACTCCTTGTCACGTACAATCGGGGATTTGAAACCACGACAGTTGACTCAATGACAGGCCTTATGATACAGCGCGCACTTGCTAACCCTTCGGCCATCCACCCCCCTTTGTTTTGTAAAAAAAAGTTGTATAATGGTGGTGTTAGTGGTGCAGGAAGAGGGTTGATAACGACAGCTGCATAGTCATTCGGATGGGATGAAAAACTGAGGTCCTGTGTACACATTGGCGTGCACATAATAGATCCCTTGGCAGTTGGTATTTGATACAAGAGTTGGCCCTAGCCCCGCAGTCCGAGCAAAATTTCCCTCATAGCACACTGAATGATGTATTCGCATCTTCATTAGCCCAGTCGGAGCAGAACAGTAGGACAGTAAACCCCACTCCTTTTCATTTTTTCATTTTGTTTAGTACATCTAAAATTATTATTTTCAGGTCTGCATGTTGGATTTGAGACCATCTACATATCATACAAGAACATTAAATCAACAGCTTGAATTAAACGTTTCGTTAGAGAAATACCGAACATGTAACTCAGTTTTGAAGATACATGAAGAAAAGCCTTTAAGCTTTAAAAGAACACTTTAAAGACTAGGTGAATTTGTCGGAAATGTTCTGGCCCCGCGCCAATGTTTACCCAGACCTTAAATTCGAAATAACATCACGTTGACGGCAACAAGTTGTTGTCTGATGAAGGCATTTGAAAACAAATCATTCCGCCAGTGTTAACATAGACGACATTTGTCCACCATTTGTATCTCAGATTTACTTTCTCAAATAGACTTTTCATGATTAACTAAGCAGTACAATTTACTAGAATATACTACAGCAAACAAAACATCAAAAATCTTTACGAATGTCACGTTTCTTCTAGTTCTGTTATTCTATGCCAGCCAGAATATTTTGTCAATTATTAATTAGCTTTAAATCATTGTTTATTTATTCAAGCTTTTAATCCTACTAAATGTTGAATACGTATATCAATTCAGAATTTCTAACAAAGAGAGAGAAATGAGGTTTAACATCCACTCTGATGTATATTGTTTGGAAGATCTGTCAATGGGCATTAAACAACCAGAACATGATCAAGTTTTTGATAAATAAAAAAAAAAAGCATCTAATTTATAGATTTGATAGTATAAACGCATGTGTTTGAACTTAGAGAGAGAAAGAGAAATGGGGTTTACTGTCCACTCGACACAAACTAGGTCATTTCGGGACTAACATATGGTTCAATTTTATTTCAATAATTTGCTTGCGCATAGGGGTCTTTAACAGTGGGAGGAAACCAGAGGACCCGGAGAAACCCCACGAGGTTGGACAGGCGACCCTACTCCTTGTCACGTACAACCAGGGAATCGAAACCACGCCAGTTGACTCAATGACAGACCGTATAATACAGCACGCACGTG